CATAGTGAATGCGATATCGTTTTCGCATTTGATGAATCCGTGGTCGTGTCTGGCCAGCGTTCTGCAATTGTCCATGGTGCCTAGATACATCGAAAAAATCCTTTGGAATCATAATGCCTTAGGATTAGCAAGGTTGCGGTATCTTGGGACAATTATGGGGTCAGCGCCACAGTTTTGCCTTCAATCATACGTCATGTTACGTCAGTGGTATTTCCCACAGTACGCTGTGCTCTCCATTGCGTTTTCACTCCTGTCCTTGACTTGGAGTATCGGCGAACTCGAGACTGTGAATAGAAAGGGGAACTTCGAAATTGTGGAAAAATTCGCGCTTCTTGTTTGGCAACTTTCCACGCTTATGTTGAGATTCTCTGGAATTGTATTTTTTGCTTACGTGTTCAGATACCACGTGATTCTTTCCCTAGCCTTTCATTGGTTGCTTCTGATTGCATACAAGTTCTGCAAAACCTCGTATATTTCAGCAGAATCGGTTCTCGCTTCATTCCCTGCCCTCTTTCATCCAAATACGATCTTGGAATATTTTTTCATCGTCGCTGAAAACGTCGTCATGGTGACGTTATGTCTGACGATTGGAATCCAGAGTGTATCATATTTGGAAAAGCCGGAAGCCGTTCCTGCGACCGTACCACACGTGGACGACTTCAAACGAATGGCTGTTTTTTGCTTGGCCGCAGGATCAGCCATATCGTTCGTCTTCATGGTTATCTATCACCGCATGAAAGATGTAAATATTAATCATCAAGCGGATAACCCAGTTGTTTAGTTCTTACGATAAGAGAATTTAAGTCTCATTTACTCTTGCCATTTTTGTTGCGATCTTGTGCGCGATTTTCTTCTTTTCATAGATGTGAACGAATAACAAGTTACGAATGCTCAGTGAAATGAATATAACATTATTTATTATACATTTCACCGCGAATGCTCTAATGTGCATGTACGAGCTCCAATTTGCACATAGGTAACTAATTCACTCTTTCATATCTCTCAAAAGTCGAAAATCGCAGCATAAATTGTAGGTGTAAATGGCCCTTGAGAAACATAATCAATCAGAAATATTTTAAATATTTTATCGACAATTTCATTCGCTGTTGAAAGTTAAAGTATAATCCTTCTTGCCATTTGATTACATTTGATTACGTTCGTCGCATTTGACTGCGCATTTAATTTGATGCTGTATTTTTTGTAAAAGAAGACCTGGAGATGCTGCATGAGAATCAGTTTTTGTTTAATAATTTTTATACCAATTTTTGTTAAAGCAAGATTCCGATACGCGTTGATTGAGAGGTGCAGGAAGGCAATAGCATGGTTAAATTTGTAATACCCATACATAATACATTGCATGTTTTGTCAAAGATTCTTTCGAAAAGTTGTGGCATGTTGAGACAATAGAGGGCCTCACGTTATACATAAAACGGCAAACGGAAGACGAAGAAAATATTTTCAGTCAAAAGGCAATAAAGAGCAAATGCATGGAGTCAATATTGTAAAAGTTCAAGCGCAATCAATGTTTTTACATAAAAAAGAAAATGCGAAACGAAGAAGATGAATTGTGCAAAGAAAGTTCGGCCGTTTGCCGTTTCTCGGAAACCGGAAACGCAAGGTTTAATTATAGGTTCCGCTCAGCATAAGACATACGTCTATTATATGTTTTATATTCATTTCAGCCTTTATGTTTTGTGTTTTTTAAAAAATTTCTGTACCTTCTTCAAGATAATTGTAAATTCCATGTAGCTCCCTTACCATGGAAACATAATCTGTGACAGTCAGTAATACAGTAGATATTGATACGTAATCTTACGTCACGAATTGCGCAGTCGTTTTTAAACGGCGAGGTTGTTGTTAAAAGTTTTTCTTTGGTACTCTTCAAACCGTCAAAAAAACTCTTGTTCTTCAGTTTTTGTTCAATGCAAGCTGCACTGATCTAGGTAACTAAGGTAAGTCCAACAATTATGTGTCTCGTAATACTTTTTCTGACACGTATACAGTTGAGGTATCAGTATTATTATGAGAAACTGAGTATTCAACAAGTACGTTCGGAAATATTTTCGCTCGACCGCTGAAATTCAAGAAACGTCGTGCGGTTAGAAATACTTGCATTTATGTCTATCTACGCCCTCGTAGTGTACCTGGAATAAACGGGAAGAATAAATTGAGAATACAAATACTGAATACATACTCTCCTGACGAAGGCATTTATATTTGATAATCCGTTTGCAATTACTGGTTGAATATAGAATATTCATAAAAGCGATGACGACAAAGTAAGTTTACGACAAAATGTCGGTACACATCGACAGCTATGGCATGCAGGTATAAACCGTTCAAGAGTTATATTTAACTCGATTGCAAAACGTATCAGTTTTAGTCCTGTTTAGGAAGATGAACGTTATTAGTGTAACACAATACCTGTGGAACAATGTGAACTTATGCCATGGGAATGTCATAATGGCATTCATCTCTAAATGGTGTTTGCCTAATGAAATTTAACGTGTCCAACGACACATAATGCGAAAAATTCGTCCAACATTAAATTATATTTGCAATGGCTTCGTAGGTCGTGCTTAATGTTTGTCACGACTCATAACATTGCAAGAGTCGATCTTTCATCTTTGTGTGCCAAAACTATGACAGGAAATAGGTGATCACCTGACAGTATGCTTCAGATGAACACTTGGGAAATGGCAACTGAAGAGTTTGAAGTGGAAGTCAAACTCTTTCTGCGAAGCGGTTCTGCGCATCAATTCTGCTCATAACATATTAAAATTGCCCAAATTTCCTGTTTCGAAATTTTCTGAACATGAACCCTGAGGGTTCATATTAATTTAGAAGCGCAGAGAACGTTAATATATATCGTATATTATAACTTATAGTAATTCTAAGCGTAAACCAACCGATACCACAAGCTACTGAACGTACTAAAGGGGAGCTTAATTAAGACGTGCATACCTTACATCAATGAGCGGCCACTCTGGTCCGCTCTTCTTTCTGTTGTTGACCTAAGTTCTGAATACATCTTTTTATCAGTTTTAGACATGGATCGAAGACAGATCGCAATCGTGGGGCTGCTGCTGTATTTATTTGACTTAAGCTCCGATATCTTCGTGGCTTATAAGTACTGGGAAGATGAACATACTTGGTGGTTTTGGATGACGATTTTTTTTATCGTTGCCCCTTCAATAATAGTGAATTTGACATCGGAGGCAAAGCTAAATCATCCATGGTCATGTTTGGCGAGCGTCCCACAATTGTCTTTGGTAGTTCGATACGTGAAAAAAATAACCCGGGATCGTAATCCCTACGAGTTCGCAAAGTTGCGGCATGTGCAGACAATCACGGAGTCCGCTCCACAGTTCTGCCTTCAGCCATACTTCATGTTACGTCAGTGGTCCTTCCCATGGTACACCGTGCTCTCGATTGCAATGTCTTTCTTGTCCTTGACCTGGAGTATAACCGAACTCGAGATTATAAGACAAAAAAGCACAAAACTGGGTCCACTTTTATTTGTGGAGAAATTCGTGTTTCTGTTTTGGAAAGTTCCTGCACTTATATCAAGATTATCTGCAATTGTTTTTGTCGCTTACGTGTTAAGATATTACGTGATTCTTTTCCTTGTAGTTCACTGGTCGCCTCTGTCTGCATTTACGATTCGTATAAAAGCGAATGGTATCGCAAACGCATTACTCACGTCAATCTCTCCCCTGTTTCATTCTAACAACCTCTTGAAGTATTGTTTCATCGTTGTTGAAAATTTCACCATAGTACCACTTTGTAGAACGATTGGAAATCAAATACCAATGGAACCGTATTTGTTAAACTTGGGACCTCGTCCTAGGACCTTAATACGCAAGGACCAATTGGAAACCATAGCAATATTTTGCGTGGCTGGAGAAGCAGTGATATCGTTCGGTTACATAAATCTTTATTATTTTTTTGATAAGTATCGAAATCCTAGTTTATTAGCATTTTTGATGTCTGATAACACAGTTGATATATAAAGCTCTTTAGCTACGGACGGATATAAAACGTAATCAGACGTAAGAGTGAAAATTCTACTGGATACAGTTTTATATCGACTAGTAACTGACATAGTTTCAACGCTATAATTTTAGAAGCTATAATAAAGATGGTAAGGAAAGAGTCTGTTATTGGTGAATAATATTTGAATCGAATACCCCAATTCATAATGTAATAGACCTTTTTCATAATGACGTCAAACGCGGAAAGTCTGATGTTACACGTTTGATTGGCTCGATAGATTTGTGGATAATTTTGAGGTATTAAAATAAGTCTTCGTGAAATAAAACATGCTATTATGGACAATCATGGGTTCCCGGCAGCACCACAGTTTTTCCATCCAGCATACGTCATGTTAAGTCAATGGTATATTAGTCCCACAGTACGTTAATAATAATAATAACTTTATTTAAAAAGTGTCAATCTGTTTAGATTTTCACAAACTAATTGGGGATGATACAATAATCAATATATATAAATATTAAAAATAAAAGTTCTATAATATATAACTATAAATGTTGTATAGTTAAAGCTAATCTCCCCTGGAATATTTATGGAATGAATATATAGCAGGATTTTGATGTTATATATACAAATTCCATGATCTCAACATTGATCGTGACAGTTGCTACATACTTTGATATTGCTTACCATGGCAATCGCTACTGGTTACCATCCTGGTTACCATGGCAATCGCTACTCGTCGTAGAGAGGAATTTAGGGGGGAGGGAACGTATGCGTGCATATTCATGCTCATTACTTTGCTGTTTTGTGTCTTCCCCTTTCTGATATTTGCGACCGAACCCCTCCTGTCTTTTTATATTAATCGGAGGTGGTATACTTTTGTTGCATTCGTGGTTTTTGCCGTTAAGAATAAGATAATGGTTTAAATTGGAAAAGTACGGGTGATGAAGGTGTCGAGTCGTTACGGTTTTCTGAGTTCTGCTCATTTACGTTCATCTTCCGCTTAAGATTTATAATTGCAACACTCACGTCATTTATGAGGTAATGCTAAAAAAGTTAATAGAAGCCTTTGTAGGAAATTGTAATTTTGTCCGGATGACGATCTCGTGGATATATTTTGACTCCTTAAGGCATAAGTGCAATATTTTTCTGATACATCAGCACGTTCAACGCATTGTCATTAGTCCAATACGACAGTTGGTGCTGGACAAAATAAGGTAAGAAATGCTGTAAAGATCAGCTGTTGTCTAGTTTAAAATGTTATACGCCATATGATAGTTATGCCATTATACTGTTTCCACAACTGAGCTAAATTCAATCAAGGTTCGATTTCTTTAATTCTGAATCGTATAATTATAAATTGAGAGCACAATTTAATTTAACAGTTGTTCCTAGAAAAATAAGAAATTTGAATACGATTCGTGCCTTTGGCGTGAATGGTTCATTAATATTTTGGCTTTAAAATTTGTAAAGATATCTGATTCAACTTTTTCACCAGTTGAATCAGATATAGGTCAAGTTCTGAGTGCCGAAATCCTCGCTAGCCGATTATCACACGATTGGAATACAGCCTGTAAGCTGTGAATAAAAAATATATAAATAATAGTAACGTTTTTATATAATTCGATTTTTCATGAGGTGAGACATTCGGTCGCATACATCAATGAAGGAAATTGGCAAACTGTTTCATTTTTCGACCTCTACCATATTACATGGCAATAGAATGTATTCCCCAAAAATACCTTCAACAAATCTGGGCAATGCAACTTTCACATAGGAATGGTTGTAATCGTGTTCGGCAGAACACAAGCCAATTTATTTGAAGTTTCTATCTATAGAAAGCAACAAATTTCGAAGAATAAAGCCATCTTGAAATTCAAGATATGAATTTGAATTGTTTTAACCCGTATCTTGTTTCTTTTTAATTTTTTTGAAATTGTCGGCTGGACGTGGTTTTTATCTATCATTGACGGAATTTTTATAGGAGAATTGGTGAAGATAAAACGGGCAGGCTATTTGCTGTCGGCATGAAGTAAACAGTTGTTCGTTGTTATAGAAATTACTTTTGATGACTCATTCCGGTTTCAGTCAAGATCGCCTCTTGTTATATTGCCAAGTCATTATTTCCGTGCTCTTCATAACTCGTACTTAATGAAAATTATCCTCTTATAACGCCTCGGTAAGGCCCGTTTCAGACACCGAACTCCTCTTTTTGTTTATTTCGGCACATGAAAAGTTCGACGCAACTTGAAAAGTTTTCTTGTAACTTGCAATGCGATTCTAATTTTACGGGAAGTTAATTTGTAGACTGTGTTCAAAATGCTCAGAAAACGTTATCAATTGTAAGAAATGTTCGTATTTGACAACTTTAGATACCCCAGGAGTAGATTGCATTGCAAGTTACAAGGAAAGTTGGATGGTGTATGTAACAACGCCTTAAATAACATTCAGTTCGGCTCCAGACTCCTGAGATGCATCCTAACCGTGCCTTTTCACATATGTACTTTAAATTTTCTAGGTTGATTTTGAAATTTTTAAAAGATGAAAGGAAAGAATCAGTTATTCTTGCTCGTGATAGGCATGTTGCTGTACATCCTCGATCTGACCTCAGACGTTTGGCTAGCTATCCGTTATCACAAGAACGACGAATCGGGATGGTTTTTCGCGACTTTAAGCGTGCTCATCATCGCATGCATCGTGACTAATATGGCTGTATGTTTACACGTGTTTAAGGACACGATCGAAGGGCCTTATACATGTTTGTGGATGTTTTGCACGTGTCCCATTCTGTTTCGCTTCGTCGAAGAATTCGCATATTGGAAGCAGGCGAATGTCGATATCTCTCCGTGCGGTAAGGAATGCCAAATTCCACGCTGCAAGGAATGCGAAAAGCATTTGGAAAAAAGGCAAAGATCGCTGACGTCGACCTATTCGCTAACGTGGCTCCATCTTATGCAAACGCTGACCGGAAGTGCGCCACAGTTTTGCCTTCAAATGTACATAATGTTAAACCAATGGTATTTTCCATCTCTTACCGTTATCTCGACTCTGATCTCGTTTATTTCATTAGCCTGGAGCATTACCTCCCTTGAGCTAGCGAGAGAGAGCAAAAATAAAAATGAACTTTTCAACTTTGGTTCTAAATTAATCTTTCTCTCGTGGCAGATATTTGGCTTAATCTCAAGGTTAACTGCAATCGTGATAGTTGCCCACATACTTCGATATTACGTGTTTTGCGTCTTGGGTTTTCATTGGTTCCTGGTTACCATGGCAATCGCTATTCATCGTAGAGAAGAATTTAGCGGGGAGGGAACGTATGCGTGCATTTTCATGCTAATTACTTTGCTGTTTTGTGTCTTCCCCCTTCTGATATTTGCGACCGAACCCCTCCTGTCTTTTTATAATAATCGGAGGTGGTATACTTTTGTTGCTTTCGTGGTTTTTGCCATTGAGAATACGATAATGGTGGCCCTATCGTTTGTTGTTTCAAAACTTGACGTTGTTACATTGAGTTCGAGTCATGAAAATCTGTTCTGGTTCGTGGTGGCCGCGTGTGTGCTTGGTGGACTGGCTCTAGAGACTGTGTTCTTTTTAGGGTATTACAGATTTTGTTGTAGCCGAAAAGAGATTGATGCTGCCAGTAATGAACCTGTGGCCGTAGAAGATATCGCATTGGAAAACGACGGTTTTAATAACTGCTGACCAAGGCACTTCATCATCCTGCGAGAAGCATTTCTTCTTGTCATCGTAGCTGAAAAATTTGACGAATATACCGGCTCATATTTCATCAGGCTAACCGCTGACATATTCTGGAAGATTGGAACAAACTGGTCACTGTTCCGTTCAGGTCAAATCAGGTGATTTGACGAAGAGATAAAGGCTGGCACTAGCAATAGAATAGAATCGATTTTGCTAAACCTCTTTCTTTGAAGTATTTTAAAAATTTGTTAGTAACTTGCGATAGAGCCACGAGTTCATAACTAAGTACGTCAGTACCACTGAGTCAGTACCCAAATAGATTACCGATCTTAGTTTATAACTGATACCTCAATGTTTTTATCTCGTACGTCATGTTACGTAGGTTACGTAGAGATATACTTGAAGTGCTAGAAAGTCTAGATTGTTTCAAGATTGTTGATGTGAAATGGAATGCATTGGGTGACAAAGACGAAAGACTTGTTACTTCGATTATAAACCGAATCATAGATCAGAAATTACTTTAAATATTTGTTTGAAATTTTCACATGCACGTTATTAAAAAATTTGTTTAATTATTAAAAAAATTAGCCAGGAATAAAATGTTAATAGATTGTTGTGTCGACAACCATTTAAAATCAAATTTGGAACAAATTTCGTAAATTAGCAAAGAACTTTCTTGAACTTACGAGCAAACATTAGTGTATTTGAAGAAAAATTTATAATATAATACAATAATATTCGTGAAATCCAGAGTGAATAAATTGTTAAATGCTTATGACGAGTTATTACCCTGTATGGACATACAATTAATTTATAGTCCAGAGATTTGTCTGAAACAACCATTGTCTCGAAAACAATTCCAACTCAAATGGCTCTTACACACACTTACAAACTAATTTAGATCGGAAATTGTTTTCGACCTGCCCTTGGCCTTTCTAAAATCTTAATTGAATCCAATTCTTGCAGCATTCCACATGGAAGACCAGTTTTTTTTTCTTCAAGCAAGCGAAAGAACACATAGAAGTTCTAGAAGTCGTTTAAGTTATTTAAATAGTGAAGATAAACCACAAACGTAGAATGTACTTTTTGACTTCGTATCTGCCAATTTGACGGTTTTGACGTACAAATAGATTTTTGACATGTTTTAAGGCGGTACTTTCAACAGAAACAATTCAGTTCAAATGCTTATCCTCTGTAAAATTCATGAACAAAAGCTTATCTTCCAGCTATAATCCTTCAACCTCTTCAAAAAAGCTGACTAAAAGTCATTGTCCGACTTTTCACTATATATTCAGCTTGCATGCTTTAAAATATTTGTTTACGAACAATTTATGCGTGGCCTTCAAATGTACCTGTTTGCACGAGGGCGTACCGGTTGCTGATTGGCTAATTGGGGGCGTCGACGTCGCTGATTGGCTAATGGAAGCAGCGATTAATTCGCTTCGAATCGATGAATTTAATATCGTGAATTTTAAATATAGTACTTGAAATTATATTGTCCTATATACATTATACGCAATTTCGAGACTATTATACGCAATACGGCGGACGTAATTTATCTGTTAACGGAAACGAGCCGTATTCATGAAGAATGTGATTTTATATCGGTCCTAGATCATTTATGGAGACAGAAAAATGGAGTAGCTTTAGTGTCGAAGATTTGTTCGGCTCGTGCGACTTGGACAAGTCGGGTTATATCGACCGACACGAATTAGCCGCCGTCTGCGACTTGGACGATCATGATTTAAACGAGATATTTTATCAACTTGACCTGGACAACGATGGACGCATCAGCGTGGAGGAATTTTCTAAAAACTTTCAGAACTTTAGCGACTTCGTCGCTGATCTGAAATCGACAAAAGAGTCCGAAGGCCAAGGAGGACTTTCAAAAAGTCGCAAAGGATTGGCCGCGTTCAAGAACGATTTGGGGTTGGATTCGTGTCTTGATGCAAGGTAAGATTCCAGATTCGGGGAGATTTGAGGAGAAATATGAGCAATTGTATGGTAGTCGATTACACTTTTAGACATGATTCATTCGTGTGGTTGAACAAAATGTAAAATGACTAGCACCAAAATTTTTTACGCGTGTCCTTCGTTAATGAATTTAATTAAATGTTTCCCGTTTAATTGCGACTTTTGTGGAATATGTTCCGTTTTTGCCCTATAAGGTGAAATACGTGTACGATTTCAGAGGAATATTTCCCGGCAACTACACAAACTGTGTTGAATATATATTGTTGATTTCAGTCCGTTTAGATCTATCTAATCACGGATTAGACGATATCTTTAATTCGCCGTTCAGAAAAGCGCGCTGAAGGCGTATGCCTAACACTAACACCATTGATTTTAATTTGGAACGAAGTCGATTGTATATACGCTATAGTATGGCTAAATTTATATGTGACATTCAATCAAAGCAAAAGTGCCGATATGTTTTAGATCCTCAGAGCGCTTGTTTAACTGCTTGGAAGCGCCGTGTATGGCACTTTTGAGACCGATTGTCCGTAATTCGCCCTGATTGCATGAACTATGCGGAAACCCTTTAAAACTAAGTGTCTGTCCCGTCACCAATTTGGCTGTTTGAATTTATACTACAGCTCCTCTTGATTTTCCCCAAGTACGAATATTACCGAAATTATTAAAAATCTAAATTAGGCCGGACGGGTAGTTGACAGGTAGTCAAAGTTTGCACACGATATGATATGAAAACGGATATGAAATTAAATATCACCTTATAAAAAATATCGGTTCTCTCCTGAATTATTTCGGCTTCAACCGGCCTACGGGCTAAACGTATATACTTCAAGACGGTTTCTTGTTATTTACTTTGCAAGAACCACGCATAAGAAAGGAGCGTACAGCGTTTAAGTATTGAGCATTCGATTGGTCGGCCGAGTTGCTTATGCACACACACGATACACGATGTTTACAGATCCGCCTATATTTAATAAATCTATATTGTAAACGTTTAGCTAAATGAATGGGGGTCATCATCGGTAGTCCAATATAATATATAATCGTGCAAGGTCAGACTGGAATATACTACTTCGTTATTTTCGAAATTTTATAGAAATCTAATGCGGCTTCTCCAAGGTAATAGTAACTGATAATAGTAAACTGATATTATATACCTATAGTTGTCAAAAGGTCATGCAATTAAATATTTTAGTTTAGATGGAGTATATATATCGACGTCTGAATATTCTATGATAATATGAACGAAGGCGCAAACGCGAGAAAGACTAAAGAATGCGTAAAAACGAACGCCATATCTCGTTCAAGAACTTGTTAACAATTTTCTATATTCAAGACAAACAACGCGGACAACGATTCTACACGAGTCGATGATCTGCCGTGTGTGGGTTTTGAATAAATTCAGAAGTTTTCTTCTTTCACCAAATGGCCAGTGAATGGTTCTCAGCAAGCCGCCCGTGCACGTTTCATTAGTGGAAGGTAAAGATGTTTCGAGACGTAGCTATATCACAGGCCTCCATATCGATTGTCGCCGCGCGCGCATTTGCATGCCTGCATGTGATCAACAAGGAGAAATTTCGATTTAAACTAACGCCATATTTGTTAACATTTTTCAGGCAAAGCCAACCAGAACGCCTAAATTTTTAATACTTCATATAAAATGGTATACATTGTAATTCTTATCAAAATTTATGCATTCTGATTGGGTTACTGAAAATGTAAGCAAACTTGCTGATTGGTCTAAAACGAAATCCCCTTGTTCGTGAGATCAGCATTTATATTCAGTTCATGCAGGTATAGTAACTCGCACACAAACGACGGCAATACGTAGCAGGATGCTGCTTTTACTGACTGCATGGATAAACACATTTGAGATATTTATCTTTCAAGTAGCTCAGAAACAAGCCATGCATGCTCATACGCACAACCCGTCCTATATTTGAATATGGATCCTCTCACATATAGACGTGGGGTTTGCGTCAATGCAAACATCCTGTAGCATAAATTTCAAAAAATTAACAGCTTTGCCAAAAAACTTATTCTTAAGTTGTTATTGAAGTTTGTCCATCTCAACCACCGACTGCATATATTATTGGTTTGCTTAAGTGCGTAAGCCAATCCACGCGGTGATAAAATTGTAACGGCGGTCCATTAAAATGAAATATGGTAAAAAATTGCTTAAGGCAAAAGACAAATTTATTTTATAAACACGCTGCACACATGGCAACACCATATACTTCGTGTCTGTTAAAGGTTTATGGCATTGGATTTTTGCTGCAAAATGTCTACATATTCATGTCTGAGCCCGCAAAAGATTGTATAGGTGACAAATGCATTCGCTGGTTTTATATATCATCATGGAAATTGCAAGCTCGGTCTATTTTTTCAGCGGCTTCTCCGTTAGAAATTAGAAACTTCTTCTTATGTACTGCAACACTACTATAATGTACGCATGACTTTTTTCATGTTTTCTTGCATATAGAGGCATTTAACAGCGTTCTGTTTAAAAAAGCAGGTTTAATTTCTGCCTGACTTGTTTCTTATAAACAAGCAAGAGTTTCGCCTTTTGCAACGTCATTCATTCAGACCGTACGTATCATCTTAGAAGTAACTGAATTGAAAATATTTAAGCCATTAACGGCTGTAGCTGGAAATGCATCACGCTTCAAACTTCCTTTCCGTAACAGATTCCTTTAACCCGTCACATTTGAAAAGAAAATCAGGCGAAAAGTCTCATTGTCAAACTAGAAGCCCGAAGACGAAGTCATTGCATGCATATGATATTATTAACATCACTACAATGAATTGAGAATAAAGTTTCGTTAATTCAACATCAATGCGTCTGTTTGTCAGCTATCTTTCCTTTAATGCTCTTTATTGCATGAAAACATCACGAAGACATTCATAGTCGGCAGGTATCGTCTATTTTTACATCACCTAACTCGTCTACGGAGTGACAGTTGTAAGAATATCTCCAGCTGTGTTGTCTCAGCTCTTGAACAAACACGTAAATTCTAGACATCGTATTTGTTAATAGCCAACACACAAACGTGCGCATACTAATGTGCTAAACGCTCAAAGAGCTCGAAGATCACGAAACAGCAAGTTTAAGATTTATTTGGAAGGTCTTTGGTAGTACCAAAACTGATCAACATTTGATCTCATCAAAATAATCCGCACTGGACCGACCGACAGCTGTCCAGGTAGATTTTCGAATATCCCACCCCGTTCATTTTATATATTTATATAAATATATATATATATATATATATATATATATATATATATATTAAAATAAGATCAGATGTCGTGTATATATTATACACAGCAGCAATAACTCCGAATATATATATATATATATATATATATATATTTTCATAATTTTTATATATGCAGATTGATTGTGACTAAAGTATATAGTTAAAACCTTAAAGCTATACACTGTAAATCTCGGAGTGTTGGCACAACACCGAAATCGGTGTAAAATCTTGCAGCAATATGAACACTAATATGGTGTTTATTTACGCTATATTTTGGGTTAATTTACACTATTCATGGGTAAAGTTTATGCAGCTATGTGTACACTATGGCGACGTAAATATACACCATTAACGTAAACTAACACCTCTATAGGTTTTCCTACACCTATTTTGCGTAAAAACGCTTGCAGCAATATGAACACCAACTTCGTGTATAAATACACCGCGAGAGTAAACTTACCCCTCCCAAGGTTTTTCTACGCCTATTTAGTGTAAACGTGCTTGCAGCAATATGGACACCGACCTAGTGTATAAATACACCGCGAGGGTAAACTTACCCCTCGAAAGGTTTTTCTACGCCTATTTAGTGTATACGTGCTTGCAGTAATATGGACACCGATCTGGTGTATAAATACACCGCGAGGGTAAACTTACCCTTCCAAAGGGTTTTCTACGCCTATTTAGTGTAAATATGCTTTCAGTAATATAGACACCGATCTGGTGTATAAGTACACCAAAAGAATAAAAATGCTCTTCTAAACAATGGCCCGGTGCCACGAAATTAATTAATTCTAGTGCAGTGGTAAGGTAAAAACATATTTATTTCTATATGACAGAATATATTACATTATATTATACTGTACATAACAAATTTACAAACCAGCTATATAACATGCACTTATGCCTAATATTTCACTGTTCCAGTTCATTTAAGAATAAAACTTTGGTTGGCACCCTTACCCGGTCAAAAATATTTAGAACAGTACGTTGTAAAAAAGGAACGTGTTAAAACACTGTTTCGGGTACTCTAAATTACAAACATAATACAAAACAAAAGGGACGATACTGCTGAAAAAATGTTATCTGTTTCCAAACAAACTTGTTTTTCCCCTGCAACAAACATTTTGTTCATTATGTGACCATCACTGTCCTCCACAAAGATGATGAATGGGCTGATGGGGCTGGCAGCTTTCTTTAACAATACCTCTGGGTTTTCTGCTGTCTACATTTGAAATAAAAATTTTAAAAAATCATAACAAAGTCTTCATATTAAAACTATTCATGATTGACCACTTAACAGACCACTAGCTTACACTTATCATGACAATACATTTCTCCAAAAGGTGGTGTAATAACATTGATAAGCATTGACAAGGTACTAAAGTATATTATACATACCTGATAAAGGAAATTTTCTGGATGTGGATTACTTTTTGTTTTCCTTTCCAAAAGGTGTGGCAAGGTACAAAGTGCCACAACAACTTTCTCATCTAGGAACAAAGAAAAAATTACATATTTAATCTTAATTATTGCTCTGACTGTGTTAATAAAGAAGGAGAATAATCAATAGGGTGTATATATTGAAACCGCACACAGCATAATAATTAACTTTTGATAGTGAAAATATATTCATTTAAATGAGTATGAATGGGATTACCATCTGTCAATCTGTTCTCCTCATCCAGTTCATCCTCATTTTGTACGCAAGCTTGAACCAGTTCTTCAAGTTGAGGGAGTTTCTTCTTGCTGGCAGCTTTCAAAATCTTAGGTGCAAGCTCACGTAAGTTTGTAACAACCAAATCTTTAACACTACTGCCAGACACCAATCTTTCATACTCATCTTGCAACTATAAATCAATATAAGTTATAAGAGTAATTTAAAAGTAACTTATCAATTATATTACCCAGTGCCGGATTATATGTTTATGCACAGATATTACTAACTATATAATACTAACCTGATCATGTTCAAATAAAAAAGGGTATTTTGCATCAATTTCATTAAGGGAACACTTCCCAGCATTTATGTACTTTCTTCTGAAGGAGAAAGTCAGTTGCATTTTCTGCTTAACGACTTCCATGTTTGGGTGCTTTTTTCGGTACTCCTTCTGCATCCATTGAACATGGGCTTTGTTAGAATGTAGGTCCTCACCATCAACAGCAGGAGGTTCCCAATTTATTATTCCCCTTCGGCTGCTTCCTGGCACCTTAGCTGTCAAATCCGAGCCTTCAATTGACTTTCTTTTTCTTGCTAGCACAACTGGATCACTCCTTTCATGCCTTAATTCATTTTTAACTTTATCGCCTAACTGACGATACCAGGTTTCCTAAGGAAAAATTATATGGTCTCAGTATTTTTCATTAATACATGGTTTAATTCAGTATTAACATACAAAGCAACAGTGTTTTCCCCTTCACATGTAAATCATCTGGCATCAGATATCAGGCCATGATGGGATTTCAATAAGGCTTGTGAAATAATATTGGTACATGAACTTTTCACAATCATAGTCCAATACATAATAAGCCACAGGAAATGTTAAAAAAGAGCAAACAAATAATTGCAAAAAAATAATGCTAAATCATTAAAATATTACTTACATAGCTGCCACCAACATCTGCCAAGGAAGGATATTTTGATATAATTGCCCTACATACATCACGGCGTTGGTCAGGTGTTGGTGAACTAAAATGTATTAAAATAAATAAAATTAAATAACAAACAATTCAGTTTAATGTGTCCTACATAAGCAAACCTACATACTGTAGCCCCAAAAGTGCTGGTCACTTCACTTTCATGCAACACAGTAAAAAAAAGTATACATACATTGTAAAAAGGCATATCTTGTCATAAATCGCCTGGATAAATTTCACACGAATCAACTTTGGTAAGGCTATATTCTTTGACAAGGCTTCTTGTACAGCTGGGGGAAATCGTTCAGGTAGGCAAAATGGTGTAACCCAGGTTTTTCTTACAGTGGAGCAATCATTCCTAAATAGAATTAATTTTGTGGATAATTCGTTAAGTCTTAACCTATTAAGCATTAGGTGTGTTTACTGGAAGTCACAGATTATTTGCAACTGTGAATTATGCTTTCAAAATTAGGCTAAACTTGCTTTACATGTTTTGAAATTGTTACATCTTAGTGAAGTAACGATCAGTTACATCAATAAGGACACCTGAATGTACTCGATTTATACACATACCTTGGTATTGGCGAAGAACAACGAGGCGAATCTTGATCTTTAGAGTTATTTGGGCATTCTAAATCCCAAGGCAAACGTGACAAGCTACCACTGTTGCCGCTTTCAACAGACTCAGAATCACTCCTAACCATCTTCTTAATAACGCCTAAAAGCTTCATTCTTGGCCCAACTTTGTCGACAAGAGACTCGAGTGCATTCTCAGATAAAAGAGCGAGCGCTTCACCGTCAACATCCTCTTCTAGTTTCACAAATACAAATACAAACGGAAATTTATATTGTGACGAGTGATATGAACGCTAATATAATCAATCGGATCAACAAATAAACTAAATTGAGAATCTAAATAAGTAAAAGTGAACTAGCTCTGTAGGCTATAAACAACGACTAGCTTGGAGTATTTATCTCTATAATAAAACTCACCGATAAATTTATCACTAAACGTTTCAAATCCATTGAGTTTAAGCCATTCCGATACTTCTTCGCACGAATAAGCGATGGATGGGACCTTATCCATTATCGGAATTTCAAAAATTTTGTGATGCCGATATAAATAACAATGTTTCAACTTTCAACTGTCAAAAGTCAACACGTGTTGTATATAATCACTTATCTGTGTATATAACCCCAGTGTTTGTAAATAGGTTTGCAGTAATCACTATTGGTTTGAATCGCTTATTGGTCGGATTGTCTGCATTGTCTGAAACGTGATTGGTTTAGAATAGTGCGTTACGATTGGTCAAAGAAAATATCAACTTATAATTATCCTCTATTCAGCTGAAGCTCTGGCTTACAATATTTTTTAATTAAAATACTTTATTATCCTAACAATTTGGAACAAAAATGCCCTCGAAAATCGCAAGGTATTTAGGATGCTTTGTGACGTCGAACATATTATATTATACGAACATTATTATATACACAGCATAATCTTGTATCCACCGGCCCACTCATCCTCAGTGAGGGTCATGTTTTCGAAAGTGGAAGCACTGTTATTGTGTTTTTCGAACTTTTGGCATAGATGCAAATATTATTTTAAATTTTTTATATTATTTTTATACCAGCATGGTTGGATAATGGCGAGTAGTTTTCTTTGTCAAAACCGGAGTGTTTTCATCTTTCCTTTACTACATTCAATCGTTTTTTAAACCACCTACGCGATAATCACATTCATGAGCCAGGTTCAAAATAAAATGTCCAGTGCAGTCATGCTTTCGCTCATATTCTGTTCTCTCCTCTCTAACTTCGCATGTTTCCCGTAAACATGGAAAGGAAAAAGTAATAAATGATGACGTTGGTTCAAGAATTCCCGAAAACGATGCACTAAACCGATTGGATAATACAATCGAATGTATACCGAAGACACAGGAGAGGCTTTCTCAAAGAGACATTTAGCTTTATTTGCCCTAAAGACGCAAGAATTAAATCAACTAACTGACAGTACAACAAACAAGGTGATAGATACAACAGAATTACTCCAACAACACGAGGCCCATGTTAAAGAAAAGATTAGACAGTGTTTGGATAAAAGTGGGATTAAAATCAGTGATATTGATGGATTGGGAGTTGTCATGAACTTGGAACAAACACCCAACATGGAATTCCTGAAATCCACTAAGAATAGGAACAATTATATATCTCAAGAATTTAAGATAGTGGTATGTATATAGTAATGTATTTTTATGTATGGTTGTAAACAATGTCTAACAATGTCTGATTAGTTTATATTAAATGCTGAGTGCATCCTTATCTTACTTATATCTAGAATCCAATTGAGATAGTCCTTGGGGAAATATATGTATGATGAGAATACAGCGAATGGTTCATCGAAAGTGAAAGTGCATTCATTCCAGTACATATCATTCATCCAGGTCCTTCAACAGCTGCTAAATCAAATTGATGTTTACTCACAGGTCTTATTCATTAACAACTATAAGTGTCCTGGAAATTTAATATGACTACCATAATAATATGACTACCATATTATGATAATATATTTTATTGATTTTTTTTTAGATTGAATTCTCATGAAGTGTTGATGGGAAAATGAGGGACCTTTGTGATGGTGCTGATTTTGGAGTGGGCAAACATCCACTTTTTTCCTTAAATTATAAGGCTATCCAATTAATTTTATATTATGATGACTTCGAAGTTTCCAATCCACTAGGATCAAAAGCTGTTGTACATAAAATTGGTAGGTTTTTTTATTGTCACAAGATCAACAACTTTGCAATATTGGACTTTGATAGTTCAATTGGATTACTTTTTAAAAAAACACTGATTTGTCAATAAACATTTTCATTTTTATTTACATACTTGCAGGTGCCTTCTATTGGGTGTTAGGAAATTTCCATCCCAAGTATAGATCATGCCTAAAAAATTTGAATCTTTTGATTCTTTGTCCAGTCAAGTGGATTAAGATGTATGGTATGGATAAAGTCCTCAGGCCATTCATGAGTGACCTTGCTATGCTTGAATCAGTAAGTAATGAATTAATACAATACATTTTATTGTGAATATCACCAATTAACAATATATTCAAGATTCCCTATTAAAGAATTTGCCTCAAGCTTGCCAAGAAATATGAGTAATAAATCTAATGCATCTCAAAATGTAATTTTGCTACTTTTTTCAGGAGCATGGCGTACAACTCAATATAGCAAATCAAATTATTCCAATTAAAGGAACATTAAGTGTAGTAGTTGCAGATAACCTTGGTAGCAATTCAATTGGAGGTTTCATGGAGAGTTTCAGTGCAAATCGGCCGTGTAGGTTCTGTCTGGGCACATCGGTGGAATTTCAAGAAAGGGTAATTTATTAATCATATCACAAATTGCAATGCTACTAAAATATTGTGAAACATGGTATACCAGTACACAGTTTTTTGTAGGAAATGCTATTGATATCATGAGAAAACATTCATTTAACCTACTCAGCTTTTTTGCTCTCATGAGATTTTAATGGGTGTTAATCAATGTTTGTTAATGTATGTTGTTCAGATTTGATTATACCAACCCCAGTATAATATCCAACTATTTAAATTTCCAGTTTTCTGAAGAATTATTCACAATGAGATCCCGAGAAAATTATGCTAGGCAGGTGGATTTGGTTTCCACTGATCCAGAATCAGCTTCTGTATATGGTGTGAAAAAGAACTCAGCCCTAAATGCTTCTAAATATTTTCATGTTGTTGATGGACTTCCTTCTGATATCATGCATGATATCTTAGAAGGTGTACTTCCTTTCCAAATTAAAGTGATGTTGAGAAAATTCATCATGGTGGATAAATTTTTCACACTTGATCAGTTCAACCATGCGCTTTCAGCATTCCCATATGGTGTTTGTGACATCAAGAACAAACCAAGCTTGGTAAAGAATGTCAATCTTAGTGATTACCATTTACGCCAATCAGGTATTTAACTATTTATTTAAGAGTTGCCTTAAACCTGAGGATGACTACATCAACCACAGGTCCCAAGTTCCCATAGTTCTTTTAAAAGTTCTTATAGAATCAGTGTTTAGTCAGTGTTTTAACATTATGCTAGCACTAATTGAGTTATATTTCAGCATCACAAATGTGGTGTCTTTCTAGAATCCTGCCATTTTTGGTTCACAAATGGATACCAGAAGGAAATGATGACTGGGAATTGTTCACTGATTTAATGCATATTGTTGATATATTGTTTGCCCCAGTGATTGAGAAAGGTACTACACTCTATCTTCGGCTCATAATCAGCGAGTATCTGGAACAGTTTAAAAGGCTCTATCCTGAAAGGAAACTTATTCCAAAACAGCATTTCATGGTTCATTACCCAAACCAAATTCTAAGGTATGTCTATTGATCTGGTTCTCACAGGTGGTGGCTTCAATGCTGAACACCCCAGTACATTTGATAATTTTAATTATTTATTTTATATATTTTAGATATGGACCCCTTGTGCGCAACTGGTGCATGCGCTTTGAGGCTAAGCATCATTATTTTAAGCTTTTGGCGCAGACTGTAGGTTGCTTCAAGAATATAGCAAAGACATTAGCTACCAGGCACCAACGGCTTCAGTGTTACTGGCTTAGTGACAGTGATGGCTATTTAAGGAGTGATACTGAGGTTGGACCAGGTTAGTGAACAACAAAAGTGCATACTGGATATTAGCTGGAATTTTGTAATGGTTTTTAGGATGTTAAATGTTGTTATAAGTATCCTTTTATTCTACTTCATGTATTTATTAATATTCTGCTTAGGTAAAGTTTTTTATGTGAAGGATCTGGAAGAGAAAGAATGCACCTCACTGTGCCAGTTGGGCAACAATTTGGATCAGAATTCAACTGTGACACTGTAAGTTTGTTCTTATATATGGTAAAAATTATTTAAAACTGGACTGAAAAGTGAAAACTATATTCACATTCTAGGTTGAATTGGGTGAAAGTCAATGGATACAAGTATAAAAAGAATATGATCATAATCTATCAGCAATTAATTTTTCCTGTGTTTCTTTTTATACATAATGTTTTTTTATGCCAAACATGGATGTTATGTTTTCTTGCAAGAAAGTAAATACAGTTGCTTTTAGCAGGCACATTCATTGCTATGAGGTTGAAGTTTTGGAAGAATTTGTGCCCTTATTATTTTCTGGGATGCTAGATCATCATCCTCTAGATCTTTATACCATCGTTGTAAATAGAGAATCAAAACACTTTGTAAGAATGAAGTACGACCTATCTGATGCTGAACAATAGTATACATGTGTTAAAGAAATTATTAAACATAATAAAGAAATTCAGTAAATAAATGAATTGTCTGACTCATGATACTGTGCCTGCCTGGAAACATTTAACGAAAAAACTGCATGTGCATGCTTGCTTAGGAACATTTGACGAAAACACGTTTTCGTACCTGGTATACAAATTGTTGTGACCCAGGGTCTATTGGTCTCTTAGTATGTAGTCAATTCCCATTCTTTTGTATCTATACAACCATATATACTCTTTTATTTTGCAACAAATCAAGCATTTTCCGTCGCGGTCTTAATTTATAAGGCATTGAATTTTGTACACAATTTAGATGTAAGTTTACGCTCTTCAAGTGCAATTTTGAAAACTCATATCGGGTAAATATACACCGTAGACGGTAAATTTACAACGCTCTCGGTGTTTAATAACCTTGTTTTTACTTACACCAGATCACGGTACATTCACGTTTTTTTTGGTGTATTAATACAAAAACCAAAGTGTAGATATACACTTATCGAGTGTAAGCATATCTTACACTAAATAGGTGTATACTAACGCAACCGTTCAGTGTAATATAACCTGAGCAGTAGGTAAATGTATGCCATTTTTAGGTAAAAAAACACCAAATTTGGTGTAACCTAGGTTTGTTTGTTTTTACACCGAGAAAGTGTTACAGAAACGCTAGCATAGTGTAGAGTTACGCTTTTTAAGTGTATTGCTACACTCCAATGGTGTTTGACTTGGCAAAACACCTAATCGGTGTTATCCTACACCAGTTTCGTGTTGGCGTAACACTGCGAAATTTACAGTGTATAAATAAATATTAGAAATGAAAATGTTTATGGCGCAATTACTCCAATAAGTACTATTGCTATGCAGCCATATTTTATTTTTTATTGATAGAGCTATCGATCTAGTGTATAGATCACCACTGTCAGTTGGTTTCATTTAGTTCAGTGTTGAGAGGTTGCACTTAACATACAGAATGCACTAAAACAATCACTGAGACTTATTGTACGCGTGAGTGAGTTAGCATTTCGCGAGCTATTCAATTTTGGATGTGGAGAGAGCTCGAGATGTATACGTGAGTCATTGTATAGCCTTACTATAAGAAATCAAACTAATGCTGGATGATCTTTAGAAAAGGGCCGTGCATTTATATGATATAGATACTATTATATATACATATATATGTTCTACATACTCTAGTCTCCACTATTGGGAACTTTAACAGTTTCTAACGCTATACTATAGTTATCTCGACTCTTTCAGCTCGGAATGAAAGGTTATTGTTCAGTTTAAAAGAACCACACCTTTTCAGCTTATACAATTTAATTGTTCATTTCAAAGTAGATGCTAAAAAATTACGTTAAAGAAAGCCGTGTTTTCGGCATGTACGAATTTGTCAGACCTTCACTTGAGCCGGTTTCAAACTCTAGAAAACAATCCCCAGGACCGCGGGTCGAACAAAAAGTTCCCTTTGTTTCAAAACCATTTGCGCTGGTCGAGAACTCGTTTTCAAAGTAGAAATTTCCTGTCGACTTGGTTACAGCCGGGATAACTTTCCTCAGTGAAATCAGGCTTTTTAATCGGACACTGCGTGACTTGTGGAATTGATCGTTAGACTTCGTTAATCAGCTTAGAAAAACAGGCCTAAAACTGTAAAAAAAAACACCTACCTGAATGCAGAGTACTTCTGCTAAACATGTATAAACGTGTCGTACGTATTTGATGAATTCAATAACATTTTCTCCCGAAGTAAATGACTACGAAACTATTTAAACTATTTCGAAAACACAAACTTCAATAATCCCATTTTGAAATGACCGTACGCCATTACTGCTTAAATTACTGCTTAATTTGCAAGCTTAGACAAAGTTTTTTTAATATTCGATCTCATTTCACACCTGAACGAACTCTCTTTTGTCTATATTAAACCCTGCATGCCAAATATGGTCTAAAGCACTTGAGCAACTGCAGTCAGTGAACAACTTCAATTTCGAAGTTGTCAACAAAATATTTGCAGAGTTGTGTTTATATAGCTCGGTGGAATCGTGATGCGACTATGTGTGCACTATATTTCACCTGAAGCGATTTCGTATTTGTTGGTAATATCGTGAAAGTATATTTGTTGGTTGAGTTTAATAATGAAAGATGGAATTCGAAACGCCGAACAAGCAAACGTTGGTCCGTTTAGTTCGAAAGTGTCTAAGCGAAAATTCGGAAGGTTTTATCGAAAGGGATCAATTTGTTGATTTTTGTTCAGAGCTTAGCGTTAGTACAGACGAATTGGACAGCGTATTTAACGAACTGGATAGCGACAAAGATGGTAGAATCAGTGTCAGCGATTTTACTACGGGCTACGAAAATGTTGCAACGTGTAAATCGCATCGTTCGGACGAGACAGTAAATGGCGTAATCGGTTCATTCGATAAATCTTTGTATGAATGTCAAGTAAGCAGTCTTGAAAGTCCTATGCAGGTTATAAGCACTAGCGGGTGAGTATATAAACGAATTAACTATGGTTTAATACGATTTTAATCTTCAAGGTGTTCGGGTGTTCACTGTTCACCTGTTCACGGACACTAACGATTCTTATATCAGGTGACGTTGTGAGAATATCTCATTGTAAGTCGATGCCTTAAATTCGCGTTGTTTGGTAAATATTTAAACAGTGAAAAATACAGACGGGGACTTTAACATTCGAAGCAATTCCCTTAGTTTATAGTTCGTGATTATCCTCGTACAAAAGGCTATCCTCTTTCGATATAAAGCTGAAACTATATAGCTCTATATAAAATTCAGTCACTTCAGTACTCTAAGATAAGTTGTGAACGCGTTTGAGCCCACGACTAGAGACACTTTACACATTAAACTATACCCTAATTTCAAGGTGTAGAATCTGGACTATATAGTTATCTTAAAATTGAATTAGATATCTAGTCAATTAAAGGCTTAGACGAGGTATGCATAATATATTCAGCACAATATATTCTCAGTGACATTGTAATCGTTTCGATTGGGAATAAACCAAAAATATTCAAGGCCATATATGCTCAGTTAACTTACAGTTAAAAAGGCAAGCCAGGAAAAAGTCAGTTTAAATTGATAACTGCTACTGTGCATATATATATGTATATATATATATTACAGTTATATACACTAAACGCTATAGAGATAGTTGATTATATCGTTATTTATCTTGATAATTCCTGTCGATCCATGCATGCATGTTTGCGATTAGAATTTTAAGTCAATAAGTAGGCATTCGGCTTCAGCTTTTTATTAGTGTTTGGTAGATGATTGGCAACTGGAGTTTGACAGTTATTTATTTAATGATCAGTTGACTAGCTGTTTTTGTTTTCAAACTGTTAGTTTTAACGTTTGCATGCAGTACGTTACGACCGCCAATTATCATGAAACATACCGTCTGTTACCCGCTGGTGTTTTGTGGTAGCTCTTATACAAGCCTTAAAGGCTTAAACCGTAACCTTTTGATGGGTTTCGTACTTGCATGTTGTAATAATTTTGACGACCTTTTTAAAATTATAAAGACCTGTTTTTCACCATTGTTCGGACTATAAAGGCAATGCCTCAAATGGCAATGTCTCAGAATCTATCGGTTATCTAATTATTAGCCTATATATACAATTGAAAATCAGTGATAACGGATGGTCCTTGAAGGCTGTTGCTTTTATCCAGGCTCACTCAGTGTTTCTTTGAGCCAGCTATAAAGAGAATTATACAGATATATCTATCTAACAGCTATAATTTCAAAGAGTAATTGCGTAAATATAGATCTATTATTCGTGGCGGAAAACCCGGAAAGTTTCGATGGTTCTGGTAAAGGCCTTGAACGTATGCGTCTGACGAAGTTTGTGTATCCCATAGCGACACCAAAGGTGTTAAGAGATACAATCTTGAAGTTACTAGGGAGGGTTACAAAGAGTACCCTTTCTTGATAATAAGAGAAACTTGTATTATACAAGTTTTTTTGTAAAGTGTCCGGCTATTTGAAAGATCTATATAATGACCGCCATTATATGATATTGATCAGCGTTTTTTAAGCAACTCATCCCATTCAAGAGAGGTTTTTATCATGTGATTACTGTGTCAAAAATTATCCGTGCATAGTATATAGAACTTCATATAATATCTATGACTATATATCTATGACTATATCATTTTATATATAGCCCTTAATTATATATAGTTTTGCGATATAAACGTCTGCGATTCTGCGAGGGTATATTTTATTTAGTTATCGTCGTATAGGTGAGAACTTAAAACCTTTATGTTGCATAGGCTCTCATATTTATTATATACTATACGTTTCCAAAAGTTCCCCTGGATGTCGTGACGATCCATAGGTTTTGCCGAACTCTTCTTCAAAGAGCTTATAATAGGTATATATGCACATGTGAATGAGTAGTCTCTTGTTGGATATATATAATTAAAAATACAGTTATAATCAATAATAATAAAGTTGTAATCAAATCATTGAGTTATGATAGCGAAAGAATGCAACCTGCTTGCCGAAAATTGGATCGTGTGATCCTAAGTCGGTCAGCCGGGTTAGTTCAGGTCATGCAAACACGTTTTAACAAAAACCGTTATTCAGGACAAACAATTGCATGTGGAATTTTAATGAGTCATTGTTTGACGAGTGTAAGGGAGAACAATCGTCGCGTGCAAAACTGGAAATAAATCTTACAACGAACATTGTGTAAAACACAGCAAGAGCACTTTCGTATAGTTTGCGAGAATATTATTTGATATTAATAAACACCCGCAATTTAATGCACTCATGAAGATAACTTCGTTTTACCATTCGCGATGATCAAACCAGCTTTCCCTATACCGGCCAGCATGCATATCTGCAAAATAATTAAATTCGTTAAATTCGTTAAAATTGTCTGTGAGGTCATTCCGTGCGTCCTCTTATAGTTTATGGCTCTCGACCAATGAAATTGCTTGAATTCTTAACATTATTATTTCTAAAAGTCAGATATCAAACATTGCATGTCCTTGCGCATCCTACCAGCAGCCATGAGCGACGTTCACCTAAAAGTTGAAACCACAACACTTTCCAATTTTTTCTTTTTAGCTTGTTTAATTGAACTCGTCAGTTATAGTAAATGTTTCCACACTCTTGACAAACTATTCCAGATTCAAACGATTCCAAAAATCGCCTATATTGAACACTGGCATGAATGCGACGACCTTTTTATGATATTCATATAGTTGTTTAGAAGGAGCCGAACTAATCTTTCTCTCTTTCTACATTCCAGTCAACAGTATATCTCCGAACTCTACTACAATCTGACGAACTCCAACCAGCCAGATCTTCTAGATCTGTTCGAGAAACACTTGGCAAGCGTTGTTAAGGAAATCAAGGCCAAGGCCGGAGGAACCAGAGATTGGAAGACGCATTGAAAGGTATTGTTGAGTGCGATACTTTTAATAAAGTGTCTTTATAAAGGATTAGCTTTTGAGAGTAGATTTACTTGCAATTGCAATATTAGAGTGAGAGAATTTTGACCATTCACTGTAAACTATATGAGTAAAATTATCAAACATTTTTTCCATAGGGCAACCAAGCAACATGCAAGACAAGTTAGTAATTTGGATAGGGAGGTCGAGCAGCAGATGGAAAAACTGGAGACAAAAATTCGTCAAGAGGTGAGCATTGAAAATCAAGAATTTTTTTCATTGAAGTAGACTGCTGCGCATTCATAGACTGCTGTCCGAGATGATATGGACATCATTCTTAGCAATGCATGGTCTTTCACTTTGTGTGCGTGCCATTCTTTTCTATAAACAAAGCGATAACAAATTCATGGAAAAGATCATGATAGTGTTATCCTCTGATGGCGATCTCTAAGTAAATCTATAGGAAAGAATTTCTAGCATTGAATGCAGAGTTCTTGAAACACTCTAAAATACCAGTAATCTATCTGAACCGATATACAACAGGACTGGTCTGGCCTTTTTCTCCGTATAAAGGAAAGCGCCCTAAGTTTCTTCATTTCTATAGTTCCGCAAAAATGATAATTGCTTTCCTTTTTAGGAGAAATCTTCGTACGAAAAGAAGCTGTCTGACTTCGAATGGCAGTTGGAAGGGAAGGAGAAAGAAATCTCAGCGATGAACAAAACGATTGAAACGCTTCAAACGCGACTTGACAAAGAGACGAGCAAACCAAACACTCGTCGAGAAGAGTTTGAAAATGTCGCACAAGAAAATAGATACTTGAAAAGTCAAGTTACGGACTCTCAAACGACACTAGCGTTGCTTAGGAGCGAACTTGCCGAACTTAAAAGTCAGTTTGTTGAGCAATCTGACCAATTACAAAAGGAACAGAACAGAGCCGAGGGCTGCGTTCAGGAATATGATAATTTAACGAGACAGTTACAGCTGTTGCACGAGGCGAACCAACGCCTGCAAGATGTGAATGACGAACTTAGAGGCGCTCTTGAGACGAAGAAAAACTCAGCTCCTGAGAGGAAAATCAGCTCGGAAGTTCTGAGGATGTCTGGTGTTTTTCCTGATCCTATCGTGTAAGCTTGATATCTCTCTGTTTTTGTAGCGATCTGTACAATTCTGAAGTTTCTAGCCTGATTTTACAAATGTCTTAAGCCCGGTTTAACTTATTCGCGATAGCCATATTGTCGGTGGACATAAAATGCTTTGCCAATCGAGAAAGATAATCTTCTTCATTGATCATCGACAACCGTGAATAATAAGTCTCGACATATATAGACCAGGCTTTTAAATACACGTAGTAACTGTCTAACTTCAGAGATATAACCTCCCTCTACTATTTTTGTATAGAAATCATGGGTTATCGTCCAGTTTGCGATCCAACACTTTCCCGCGTTCTAAATCTGCCACGCCACCGTTGGGATCCAGGCACGCCGAGTACCACGGTGCTGATTTTAACGACAATACCTTTAACGAGGATTCGTTATTCTCTGAGATTCACCGAGCGAGCACGGTACGTACTACGATTTTTGAAAATGTTAGAACAATATGTAGCACTAAAAGAGCAATTAAATTCTCGACAGTATGTCATTGTACGAGTGACTTCAAGCTTATATGTTATGATCACTTAAGGCTAGTTTCCATGCACCCAGGAAAAATCTCCTTTGGATCGGAACGGACAGGAAAAATTCTTTTGTCGGCGAGTTCTCAGGCGGCGTTGATACAAAGGAAACTTTCCTGTCCTGTCCGATCCAAAGCAGAATTTTCCTGAGTAGAAACTTTAGCCGCAATTTAACTCGGGAAATACTTAAAAAGACTGCATATATTCATATACTGATTTCGACTGACGTTTATCAACCTTACTTGACGTGCTTTTAAATTTAAACAGGCATCTAAAACAGATGAAAAAACTTTGGGCAAAACGATATGTGACGACAACGTTACGAAAACTTACGACAACGACGTAAACAAACCAAATCCTAACAAAACCGATGTGAACATACAGACTCAAACATACAACGAACATGAGCCAAGCGCTTTAGCTAAAATAATGAATGCTCTTGCGACTAGAAATAGGAACACAAAACCTGTTTTTAAAAATGCGTATTTACACGAAATCGATGTAAAACACTCCACAAACAACCCGAACTCTGGTAATCAAAGCAGCACGGATATTTCGCCTTCTAAGTTTCTCGGTTGTGATGATGTAATCGAATGCACGTATGGAGAATTTGAAAATGATCTGAAAGCGGGCATTGACATTTCATCATCCTCGGACTCGTTTGTCCAATTTCATGAATCAAAGTCTTTATCAACGGAGGTATAAATTACCTTTTATAGCTATATATAATGAATGAAGTCATCTGCATGGAACAGAACTTCCGCTTGCCCTCTTTTATACTGAATCGGACCACAGGAATTAATCAATAGACCTTTTTCATGATACCGCCAAACGCGGAAAGTCTGATGTTACACGAAGTTTGATAGTTTTGTGGAGCCAATCAAATTTCGTGTAATATCAGACTTTCCGCGTTTGACGTCATTATAAGAAAGGTCTATTATATTAGTAACTTTATCGGTGTGTTTTGCGGGCTAAAATGAGCAACAATAAATTAATTTCCACTTGCCTCGTGGAAGATTCAGAAAACTCCCAAACAACATTACAACTCTAACACTCCAATCTCCGTGCAAACATTGCTAACTCAAAGTGTATTACCATTGAAAAAATGGAGGACTGCATGCGGTGGACATGTTTTTATTGGACTAATTTGAAACTTTTAATTTGAAAAATTCTCATATAGCCATACAAGTCAGACTCTATAGACGAAGATGACGATGAAGCATATGGCACGATGTCAAAATCAAAGAAAGCTCAAGTTCAGAGACAGATTCAGATTCTCGAGTAAGAAATCGTTTAATTCTTATTTGCCATAGTTTTGTTGGCATTTGCATGTATATATTTACCCTCGTATGTCGTATCTACAGTCAACGAGATTTATAAGCAGCCCGCGATAGGATTCCGCCTGCTCCTCGATTGCATAAGAATTCAGGGCGGTGCAGATGGAAAGGTGGATCGATATACAACGCTAGTCATTTGATAATGATTCTTTGGTAGTAATGAAATCATCCCATATTTGCACCGGTCTTGATAAATTAACGTGACAGATCACGAGATTATAGACTTTAAAATTTATCTTTTTAGGGACACGAATAAGCGACTAGGTTCAAGTAATGATGAACTAAGAGTTGCTCTGAAGGTACGTTCATATCTTATAACACAGAGTTTACATTTTGACATGCAAAAATACATTGCTTCTTCATTCTATTTGCAGATGATGGCAAGAAGTGGGAGCTTTCGCAAGGTAAAACCTTTAAATACAGCGTTTTCATGATTTAATCCTGTGTATGACTGAGTGAACTTAAACAATAAGCTCACATAAACCTGAGGAGACAATCGGCATTTCTTTTGCTACCATCCCTTAAGCGCTCAGAGTTTGGCCAAGGTTTTTATAAGACAGTCTTCACTAATCAACTGTATACGAGCTGATGTCGTTTTTTATCGTTGGTCTATGAAAATCTGGAGTTTTTCTTTTCAAAAATTTATTGCCTTTACATTTCCACATATATTATACTTGGGCATCATGAATTAAGCTTTAAAGCTATAGAAACGCGATAATATATAATTTTTTTTTATATATACTTTAGCCGAAAAAGACGTCATCTGGAAGTCGCCGTCCCCACAGTTTCCATAGCGACTACAGTTCTCTCTCAAGTAACAGAAGTAGTCGAAGTCTTTCACCAAAACAGTAAGTAAAAGGGAATTCAGCCAACCTTTTACAAGTGTATACACCCACCTGCACAATAAATTTTCACGAAGATTTAACGGAACCCCAGGTCCACAAGGCTTCACGTTTGTATTGAATTAAGTTCCAATCTTGGGTTGGTTAATTAAGGGGTTACATTTGATTCAAGTTTGAATTTCTTTATATTTCAGCCAATCTTACATGTGTTTTCTCGAATTTATATATGCAACTGAGCTAGTTAGACTCGTCTCAATTATTTTCATCTAACGTATTCCTTTTGATATTGTAGAAAGCGTTTGTCCAACGGAGATATTGGTGAGGCCACAGATGAATCAACGACTTATGACGTTGAAGAAGAAGAGAATGTCGGAACAGTAAGTGAGAATGTCCTACATTTATTTATTTACCATCTTGCTTCCATGCAGGGTAAATGCATGTAGAGTGTATAAATTAAATTGAAATACTGAATTAAAATGCTCTTATATTTTTAACAATTAATGGCAAATTATATGCTTTACATTCCGCGCTGTAATTTGTTCCGATCACAGGAACGTACGTTATCAATTAATATAATCATGTTTACATACCGTAATAACACTGAATTGTTCTCAAAAGAAATCAGTCAGGAATAGCACGAATATGCGAATATTCGTTTTTCCCAATTATTTAGGTGACTGCAGTGTAGTTTAGCATGTAGGAGACATATTTTAAAATTTCCTCCTATATAAAATACAATTTATACAGGTACCTAAACAATTTTAAGTGGAATCATGCAGGGTTTGGAAATGCTACAACAATAATTTCCTGCAAGCACACAGTACATAACCCATAACGAAACATTAAACACTACGATAACCATTTAACATGTGTCGGAAATTTCTGTTGCATTTATTAAATCCTAAAAAAATTACAAAAAATAATCTTAACTAAATCATACTAACCTAAATGTCCAGATCCGATTAAAATTTACCCAGTTCAGCTACGCGTATAAACGGTAAACTCTTACGCCTATAAAAAAAACAGGATAAAAACTGATAAAATTTTAAACTTTTTAACATAAGATTGTCGAGGAGTCATTGAAAGATTTGGTTCAATACTCAAAAGAAAGCGAGCTTGCTGTCGACCAATCAACTGATGATTGTAAAATTGAAAACACGACTGACAATCAAAATAATAGTCTATGTGAAAATGCGACAGAAGTTCCAGAAACGCTTGGAGCTGGATTGCAAAAGTCTAGTTCGAATGGAGATCAGGTTGATCGGACAGACTACGATGCTTGTGTGGATCTAGAGGATCCTTCAAACGAGAGAATATTAAACGGAAAAAAAGTAAAGACTAGATCTAAGAGTTTGGAGATGTTTTATATTGAAAATTTTGCTCACTTAGACAGAGATGAAGGTAGTATGTCTGACGGAATTCGCCATGATCAGGATTTTGAGGAAGAGCGATTAGAGGATTTGTTGCAAAATCTGGTATTGGAAGATGATTGCTGTGATATTGTCACTGAAAACGATGGCACGGTAGACAATGGGGACAAAAGCAATTACGACAACACGAACAGCCGTGATATCGCAAAAAACAATTCTTGCAATGGGAGCAACGAGGAGAACAAAGGACTTTGGGAGATAACAAAGGCGTTAAACGCTTTCGAAGTGTACAAGAGTCAGACATCGTTGAACGAGTTAAGTTGCATTGAAGAGGAGGGAAGCAATGAAGGGGATAGCTGCAGTCAAGAGGAAAGGGAAGAAGAGGGTCTTGTGGGGAAAGAAAGCAAAACTAACGCCTTGGAAGAAAGGTTGGTTTGTGCGAATTCCAAGGAGGATGTACAAAATAGAGACAAATCAAATCGCAACAAGCACAATGATAGTAGGACTGAGGCACAAAAAGGAGAAAAAGGGAGAATTGAAAAGAAGAAGGATGATCAAAAAGATACAGATATGGATTCATTGGAAGATGAAGAAGGCTCTGAAGATGAATTCTCAAGTGGGAATGGTTCCGCGGAAGGGGATGGGTTAGAATTGGAACCATTGGAGCAAATGAAACTGGATCAACGCGAGTTGGAAGGAAACAAAAACACGGTTCCAAAACACCAAACATTCACTGAGAATCGTCTGGGGAAGGTCAAAAAAAGATCACCAAATGAGAGTTTCGAGGAAAGTAAAATCGACGATCAAATGAGCAATAAACATGGACTCGTAAACGGGGGAGGGTTGGATTTAGATAAAGGGGCGCAGAGGGGGAAAGTTTCTAAAGAGAGGGAGCTACCAGAAATCAGACATCAGGAAAATGGACTCGAGGAAAATGGACTCGAGGAAAATAGACTCCAGGAAAATGGACTTCAGGAAAATGGACTTGGTGGTGAAGATAGTGAAGAAGATGATTTTGATGACGAGGAAAGCGAGTTCGACACGGATGAAGAGGACAAGATCAGGGTGCGAAAAGGAGGCGATGGAAGTGACAAGGGAAAGAAGAATTTGTCGTTCAATGAGAGTTTAGAATATGACGATGACGAAAGTTATGATGATTCATATGATGAAGAGAGCGAATATTCAAGCGACGAAGAATTGTCAGACTCCTCGACTGAACAACATCAAAAGGTAGAAAATAAATCATTCAAACATTATAAAACATCAGTACTCGAGTAAACACTGGTAATCAGTTCGTTAAACTAAAAACCTAGTTCCAATTATAATAAAATAAACTTCATAATTAAAGAAATCTAAACCTAAATCAATCCATGTCTTTTGCAACATTTTCGGCCCTCGATTTGACGGCAAAGCAAGAAAGATTTGCTACTTTAACAATTCCTAAAATAATTTAATGAGGGGAATTTAATTATGTTTTTGAAAATGGAGAGTAACGTTAACTTTCCTCGTGTTTCATTTAAACCATATTATTGCAATTTAGGACCTTATTAAGCCAGTTTTGTTTTCGTTGTTGACCTTTATGTAATATTGTTTCTTCTATTGTTTCAGGATAGCACGGCAACAATGAATTCAGAGACAATCGCTGAACTTGAAACTCAGGTATGCACCTATAGAATTAAACCACTCGGTCGAAGTGAAGAGTATTAACAGATGAATTAAATCAATGACATGGAAGATTAAGTCTGGACCACTTTGTTAGGTTTTAGCTTGAACTTCTTTCTTATTGTAACAACACGATTTAGTGCACAATTTTTTGACATCATGTATAGTGGTAACTTGTGAAATGATACGCTGTATCATATACACTGTAATGACATGTACACGAATTCAATGTGACCCAGTGACATCACTGTTTATGAACCGGCTTTTCGACGACGATTGTATACCTATTTTAAATTTTGCTTCTTAGTTTAAGAAAATAACAGAAAGCAAAGATGAGGAGAAAGACACTAAGAGTGACCTTGATGACGACGACGATGAAGATGGAATGGATTCTACTGAATTGGCAGAATTGGTTGCTATGGCATCGGACTTGACTGACGTCACCGACTCGGAATCCGAGACGGGAAGATCATCAAGTGGCAATAGAACTGGGGAGATATCGACCATGACTGAAATGAACGGTTCTGTAAGTTTTAAGATAAGGTTCAATCAGTTCTCAGCTATTTTCGATCTTTTGACTTTACGGAGAAAGAAAATCAATTCTTATATACCATAATTCTTTGACAGCCATTTTGCATTAGCAAAAACGGAGGTTGATGTTAAATCAGTCCAGTGCAGGATCAGTCTTGTCGGGTCTCAGTCTCCCCAAAGCTCGATCAGTTGTATTTTTTCGCTCCTGATCTGTTTTCGCCGGGGTTGACGACGTGACACGTGTGTAATTTAAGTCACATTTTGGATCAAACAGATTTGGTATATAACAGTTATAATTCTTCATTTTTCCTATTTTCTCTTTCTTAGCCGAGCTACGCCACCCCAGAGAGAATGTACAAGCTGGTCTTGGCCGGAGATGCTGCGGTCGGAAAGTCAAGTTTCATTCTTCGTCTTTGTAAAAACAAATTCCATTCCAGTCTCAATGCGACACTTGGTAAGTGGAACAAAACCTACTGGCATATGAGTGCACTTTTCATGATGTTTTTTGTCATTCCGTTGAGGTTTGGGATTTGGTGTATGCATGTTTGTCTGGAGGTATGTCAAAGCTTCGGAAAGCAATAATCACAAACTGACGCTCTCATTTGCTGTTTCCAGGTGTTGATTTTCAAGTGAAGAATCTCAAAGTGGATTCAAAAACTGTCGCACTTCAACTGTGGGATACCGCTGGTCAGGAGAGGTATTGTAGAAATTTTACTCAGGTGTTTCATTCAGGTTCATAATGTCCTCAAGTGCATGGGTTTTGTTCGTTTGTACGCTATTAGATAAATTTGCTCGAGTCATTTTGCAGATCGCTCGTACCAGACTATATAAGCTCATCACAGTCCGATTGTATAGCTAATTATTTTGGGGATTCAGACGCCAAACGTTGTTGTTGAAAAGAGATCGGATTTTTTATGAGAGTCGATAAATGTTCCAACTCTTATCAACTCATCCTAAATCTTTCAGATTTCGTAGTATCGCAAAGTCATACTTCCGTAAAGTGGACGGTGTACTACTCTTGTACGACGTTACGTGTGAGGCATCATTTGTTAACATCAGAGATTGGATGTCCACGATAGAGGTAACTTCATTTCATTGTGTTTCTTCATAGAAATTACGCAACACGCAAGTTGAACGTTGAGCCAATACTACACTATCTAAAGCCCGCCGCACACGAGAGAGCTATTAGCTGAGGTAAAGACCACGCGTGGCTGTTAGCTGTGCAAGTTACTCTCGTGTTCGGATAGTTTTTCGTGTGGAATTCGCCACGAAAGGCAAGTTTCTCACGTATGCGGATGGTTTTCGGGCTGTGCTTACTGCCTTGCGAGGTCGTTAGCTCAGCTGATAGCTCTTGTGTGCGGAGGGTGTTAGCGGTACGTAAGACGTGTTAGCGGTAGTTATTAATCCCTGAGTCCTTGCATCCCCGGGTAAACATTCCATAATACATTTTTATTTGAAACCGCTATCAGTTAAAATCAACCGCAATGCAAAGCTCTAGGGATTCTTGATAAGGCGATCAAGTAGTCATAAATGTTTGATGAAGATTAGCTTGTGCTTGGTAAACAGTGTTCTGCAATTATAGCAATGTTAGTTTAATAGACAGACATATAAACAAAGTTTTCATCTTGAAATAAGAGTTCAGTTTATGCCCAGCACAAGGCACGTAAGCCATACCAAAGTTACATTTATTGACTGTTATTATATCATTATATTGACTACTGGTGTTTATTTTACTAATTATATTATCATATTGACTATTGATGTTTATTTTACTCGTTATATTAACATATTGACTATTGATGTTTTACTCATGTTTATATTAAAGAAACCATAATGTTTTCACTCCAAAGTTCATCCAATAATCTTAGTGGTAATGTCCGTTTAAAGTGGTAACGCTTCATTATCTTATTGTTTTTTATATTGTTTTGCAATAGGAAAGCTCTCAAAAGAAAGTCCCCATCATGCTTTGCGGAAACAAATGCGACCTTCGTGACGAATTTCTCATGGAAGGAAAAAAGGTCATCTCGACGGAAAGTGGCCAGCGGCTTGCGAAGGTATGTGTGAACATATCGAATTTAGCCCATAAATATTTTGTTTTCTTCCTTCTTGCTAGTATCAGCATCCAATTTATAAGCCAGGTTTTCACCGTAGCTCCTCGTGCTATGTGCACACGGTAACGTTTTCAAGCGTTTTCAAATTCGTTTTCATGCCCGAACGGTCTCAAAACACCGTCAATTTACAAATGATAGAAGTTAAAGCTAATTTAACATATTTGGGATATTTTCCTTGGGTCGTGTGGACAACGCGTCTAAACGATAAAAAAGACAAAAACGATTTTGAAAACGCTTAGAAACGACGCTCGTGTGCACATAGCCTTAGACTAATTGATTCCTAGCGATATAGTATATTGACTGCATGTATAATAGAAAATTCACCTTATAAGGGGAACAGACATACTATTACATACTAAACAGCCAACTAAGGCAACCATTACTTTCGTTATATCATGTAAAATGGTAAAATGTACATTAGTATCGTTTTGGTAATCCCCAGTAACTATACGAGATAATCTTGGCATGCATGACAGTTGACATCTATACATGAGGAGCATTTTGAATTTGTTTCTCAAGCATCGGGGCATTGCCAACTGTAGCGTTGGCATAGCTTCAACACGTTAAAATAAATGTGAAACACAATTGTATTTCCTCCATTCCTTTTTAAGCATTATGACGCGTTGTTCATCGAGACAAGTGCAAAGGATGGAAGCCGTATTGAGGAAGCTTGTAAGGAACTCGCGAGGTTTGCAAAGAGTTTAATAATATTCTTGGCCACATGTTTCATTTATATAATTTGCTATGTTCATGCACAGGCGAACGTACGATGTCTTGTTTTAGCCCAAGTTTCTCCATATCAAAAATTCATTTGTGTGTGTTTGGATAACGAAAATAATGCCTTAAGGCTTGAGTCAGTGCACAATAGACGTTTTTTAAATGATTGGAAATTTTATGCACTCCATATAGGGTTGCAAACAATTCTTATATTCGAGTTACCTAAAATCTAAGAAAAATTTTCCACTTTCGAAACTCCATTACGTCTTTTTCTAAAAATGCACATAATTTTGCAATGATTTGCACGTTATCAAAAATTAGACTCCATGATTGATTAATAATTATCGAATTTGAATTTAGTTTCTTGTCTAACAGAGTTCTCACCTCATTGGAGAATGAAGAGATCGAGCAGAGTGGTTTGAGACTTGAGAAACCGGAGAAGGAGAAGAAGAAGCGTCCATGTTGTCCCTCGTAACGATCCATACGACGAAGCTCGTATCCGGATTATGCTGGTCGACGATTGAACGAACCACAGCCAGCCAGGCTTTTCACGTCGCAGTTGACGCTTAGAATAATTGAGACAAGATTTGTAGCAATGCACAAATGGAAAACATTTTGCGTACATCCGTTGGACATGCGTCTGCCGTTGAACCACAATCGGTCTGGTATAATGATCCAGAATATTTGACTCTTAGAGACACTTCAACCTTGAAACATTCAAGGAAACATGTTTGAATTTGAAACCTTGATTCAAACTACTATTGTGAATACTAACGCAACATTCATCGTATAACCAATCCAACAATGTAAATGACTCATTCGTAGAAAGGAGAGTATATTTAATTTAGTAATTTTATTGGATTTCAAAATAATATAGATGATGTTATTTAAACATTTGTGAGCATGTAGTATGTGAGCGATATATATGTGGCAACAGTGATCACTGAGCTGGTACTTTTGTTCCCATGCAAGGCAAGTATATAACTTTATAAGCATCAGAAGCATCCAGCCACGTAGTGACTAACTCTCCAATTCTACTGTTTGTTATCGTTTTGTTCTATTCCATGCTACCATGAATCGGAACACGAGTAAATAGGCTAATGCGTCATCCGAAATACTGCATGAGTGAATCGGATCTCAACTGGAAGCAGATAATGTAGTTACCTAAGGTAACTAAGCGGGTAGGTATTTGTCTTGCTCATTACCACTACCCCCAACTATTGAAGGAACATGAACCAAACAATTGCGATAAGTCTATAAAATTAACCTGGAACGAGCGCCAAAGATTCATCAATGCATGAGAGCTCTGCAGCGCGAGGTGCCGCTAGTGGTAATGGAAGGTAGTTATAGAAATATCGCATATCGGAACCTTTGCCAATTGACAATAGAATAGATCTGTATGCTAGTGCTAGTGTGCATAGTTCAATGTGCATAATGCAAAACCATCTAAATAAACGTGGGGAGGAGAATAGCGGGGTAGTGCGCTTAATTGGGCGAAGAAGGACCGGGCATAATTTCACCTTTCACAAAGTGAAGGTACGAGGCTGCAGAGACCGCGGAGCAGGGTGGCTCGCCGGGCTTTAGCCCCACCAATAATTTTTCCGCAATTAGTCTTTAATTTCGAACATTTTTTAGTTCGCTAAATTTAAAAGCAATATTTTTAGCAATTTGTATTTTTTGCTTACATGCAAGTATATGCAGTATCTTATAAAACATGCCTAAAACTTTACATAGGACCAGCATTTGCCATTATAAAACAGCGTGATTATCCATGGTCGAGCAATATGCTTGCAACTTTCCAGAGGAACAGCATTTGCATGACCATTAAAACAGCGTGGCCAGAATTAGACCATGGTCGAGTATACCGCTCTTCGGCACATTCGACCATGGTTGCATGAGTATACCGTTTTCCGGCCGGACAAATTCGATTGCAAATTGCAACTTTATATAGATGTTTGTATACGAGCACCAAACATGCTTGAAACTTTACATAGAACCAGTATTTGACCATGAAAACAGCGTGATTATCCATGGTCGAGTATACCGTTTTTCGGCACATTTGACCATGGTCGACGGTATACCGTTTTCCGGCCATATTCGAAAGTTGCAACTTTATATAGATGTTTGTATATGAGCACCAAACATGCTTGAAATTTTACAGTAGCACCAACATTAGACAATTTAACCTGCGTGGTTATCCATTTCAAAAAATTTGACATCATAACCAAAGCATGGTTATATTGTTTAAAGTTTGTATATGAGCGCCAAACATGCTGGAAACCGTTTACGAAGTATCTACTATTTTTCAATAATCCTTAAATATCGATTACACTTTATTCATCCCTATCTATTATTAACTAACTTACTACTCTTGTTTATATAAGTATTTCCATGCATAAATTAGAATATAGTTATATAGTTAGAATAATGTCATTAAAGAACTAGGTTATTATGCCCGGATACTACAGTTTTCCGGCCATATTCGATGCTTGCAAGTTGCAACTTTATATAGATGTTTGTATATGAGCACCAAACATGCTTGAAACTTTACAATAGCACCAACATTAGACCATTTAACATGCGTGGTTACCCATATCAAAATATTTGACATCATAACCAAAGCATGGTTATATTGTTTAAAGTTTGTATATGAGCGCCAAACATGCTGGAAACTTTACGAAGTATCTACTATTTTTCAATAATCCTTAAATTGAGAGGCATTTGCGGCCATTTTAGAGGCCTATGTAAAAATTTCCCGGACTGTCCTCGCAGGCGCGCGGTTCCGAGCCCCAGCAATACGAAAAACGCTCGCGGTCCGTGAGTTGTCAAGTCACAAAGTAACGTGGATTAACGTGGATGAAAGTAATACGAAGTATTCCTATCACTACTCACCGCAGAACATCGCTGGCTCAAAGATTTATCCTCACGTTTTTCGATTGATGTAAAAAGTAAAAACAGTGCAAAAATCATTGTTTTTTGTTGATTTTTGTCAGTTTTTCACGGGTTAAGACGCCGATCACATTACAAAGAGGTCTGTAGTCTTCTGTAGTGTCCAAAAATGGATTTTCAGAACAGAGCTGGCGGTAAGACGGGTAGTGGAGGCGTAGCATCGTTCTCTGAAAGTAATCGTGACAGACGAGAACGATTGAGGCAACTTGCTTTGGAGACCATCGATCTTAACAAGGTTTGGAAACTATAGATTTAAATAAAGTATAACTTGTGATTTAATACAGTTTGAGTTTCGCACGGGTATATCATACAAAATAAAATTGTTGTCCATTATTCAGGGGGGGGGGATAACTCATTGTTTAACACTTTTTTAGTTTCCTCATATATTTCTACCATCATAACCTTTGAAACATAGAAATTACCCATGATAAAAAAATTGTCGCAATGTCATTAAATAAATGTTCAATGGTTTGGCTTAGTAACAACTGTTTTAAAGAAGAGCGTTTCTTAGTGCACTTAATAGAAATGTCTATGTTGGCATCTCGACAATAGACCTTTTTCATAATGACGTCAAACATGGAAAGTATGGTGTCACACAAAGTTTGATTTGCTCAATAGTTTCGTGGAGCAAATCAAATTTTGTGTAACATCTGACTTTCCATACATGTTTGACATCATTATAAGAAAAGTCTATAGCATTGGTGCACTGATGTGCCAACATTTGTTTCAACAAGACAGACCACAGGAAGTCCAGCCTTATGTGTAGGACATAATTTGCTAGTAACTGCAATGTATAGAGAAATGAAAATATGTTAAGAGCTTTGTTTTGCAATCCACTGTAACTAATACTTAATGTGTCGTGTGTGTATTTTTTATAGGATCCATATTTTATGAAAAACCATCTTGGTTCTTATGAATGTAAACTCTGCTTAACCTTGCATAATAATGAGGTATTGTTTGATTGTCATAAAGTATCATTAAGTTTTATTGTGGTAATTTTTAACTCAACGTGGGTTTTTTTATAACAGGGAAGTTACTTGGCCCATACCCAAGGAAAGAAACATCAACAAAATTTGTATGTTTTTAAAATTGTCAAAGCTGCTGACATTTAAAATGTATCTGTGTTAAAATGTTTCAAGTGAAGCCATGAGTATAGGGAGGTGTCTGGGGGCACTAGGTGTCTAAAACATAGTCTTATTTTTCCAATATAGGGCAAGGAGAGCTGCCAAAGAAGCAAAAGAGGCTCCAGCACAACCTCAACCTGTAAGAACTTTTTGTAATTGGAGAACATTACTTAGAACTATGCTTGTCTAACTATTGGGTTGTTCAACAAATACCTGTGTTTGTTGAATCATGTAGGAGAAACCTAGAGTGTCACTAAAGAAGTTTGTAAAAATTGGTAGACCTGGATACAAAGGTATTGATAAATGTTTAAATATCATAAATCTGACATGAATGTGAAATATTTTGTGTCTAACTGCAATATTCAAAGACTTTGCTGCATTAAATTTTAGTGACAAAACAGCGAGAACAAGGCTCCGGACAACATAGTTTACTTTTTCAAGTAAGAAATTTGCAAGCTTGAATTCAGGGAATTTTGTAGTAATTTTAATTTAGCTTTGTGTTGCATTGTCTTTTTTGCTTAGATTGACTATCCTGAGATCGCGGAAGGTCTGACACCCAGACATCGTTTTATGTCTGCCTACGAGCAGAGGATTGAACCTCCGGATAGATCTTGGCAATACTTACTATTTGCTGCCGAGCCTTATGAGACTGTGGCTTTCAAGGTGAAGAAATTTGTCTTCTGCGATTAGCCAGATAATTGTTCTTGTCAGCTGCTGTGGTTAATCACACAAAACGCATCACAAATGCAGCGGTCCAGTGTACTCTAAAATCTTGTTTCGCATAATCTAATACTTTAGTTTATTTCGTTATTTAGATTCCCAGTCGAGAAATTGACAAAAGTGATGGTAAATTTTGGACCCATTGGAACCCAAACACAAAGCAGGTAAAATACAGTAGATTTTTTTAGTTCATCATGAAAATGGCTAAGTTCTAAAACTAGGCTGACATCTTTGAAATCATCAGGAGATTTGTGTCCAATACCCACCTCATTATGATAAACATTTAGATATGATCTTCACCGAGACTGAAATACAAATGCTATACTGTTTGAAAACCCACAATCTTTTTTTGCATACCATTCTTAATTGCAAGACAAACTCAAGTCAGCCTTGGAATTGTGGATTTTTTTTTCAATCAAAGAGAAATAAATGTCAGTGTTTTCTTTTACTCATCACCTTTAACAAGAACCTTTCGTTTTTTAGTTCTTTTTCCAAATGCATTTCAAGATCTCCGCCCATCAACAACAACTGATGCAGCAGATGAAACAACAGCAATCCCGCAATCCTCGTCGTCCTAACCCAGCCCCAGGTGCCCCACCTCCACCTCCTGGGGTGACTAACAACCCTCAAGGTCCATCTGGTCCCCCACCGCCTCCGGGATTCAACCCACCTCCTCCTTCTGGCCCACCATCTGGTCCACCTCCAGGACACGGACCGCCCTCGGGTCCACCGCCCGGCCACGGACCACCCTCGGGTCCACCACCCGGCCATGGACCGCCCTCGGGTCCACCACCCGGCCATGGACCACCCTCGGGTCCACCACCCGGCCATGGACCACCCTCAGGGCCACCTGGCCCCCCCAGTCTGATTCCACCGCACCTCGTACGTACCCTCGGAGAACCCCCTCAATCCATTCGCAGCGAGATAACTCAGAGAACATTTCGTTTTAAACATTCACACGTCAGTGTAAGAAATACGACGATGAAGACCTCTAAGTGGACAATTTTTCAACTTACCTATTTTATCATTTCCAAATTATTACTTGTACCAAACCTTTGTAAGTAAAACAGCTTTTCAAGAAACTTCTCGCCTATAAAGGTTATTCAATTCCAACTCGTTTACTCGTTTACCCCCTGCTAATTAGCACCCTTTGTCTCTTGGTGGTCGAAAGAAAAATTTGAATAACGTGCAATTTGTCTTTGCGAAATCCGCTCGAGTGCGTAGCGTGAGAAATGTTGCTATGTTTGAAAAAAGCACTTCAAACGACGGAACTACTTGTTCTTCAACACCTCCCTGAATTGGTTAAAATTCGAGCAATTTATAGTATTCTGTGGTTTGGACATAGTTACATTTAGCGGGTTTCATGTGCTTGTCGCGTGATTGAAATTGCTTAATTAAAAAAAAAATTGAAAAATATCCCGAGACAAATACATATTAAGCAAATAGGTTGTTTTAATGAGCTTTTTTGTCAGTCAAATTTTGGTAAATGATATTCGGGATATGCGTGACAAACGTGAGAAAGAGGAGATGATCAACCATCCAAACTTGTCGCTATCATCTGCCAAAGTCTGCCTTGCAATCGCAAGTGTAAACTTGAATTATAATCATCTCAATGATTAATTGATGAAATAATCCACAGCTAGCCACCCTAGCTTCAGTTCATTCTTTTCACTGCGGGTGAAAGTTGTTTTGCGGGCTAGCTAGGTAACCAAGCCTGAAACACCTTAATTCCGATCCTGCCCGACAAACTGGTCGAATTGGCATTGCCTGAGTAGCCAACGGCCGGCCGCCATACTTCGTCACACCCTAGATAGTTCATGGATACATTCTGATTATTTTTGGAAGAATAATCGCTTTTTACAAGATTTCTCAACACGGAACTACATTGTCCACATTCGAAGAGTGTATCTGGATCATTTTAAAAGCGATCGCGACGGAGTTTCCTCTAGTTTCAAGGCATAGAACGTCGACAAAGTTCGCGCTTATAGACTGGTATGTGGTTGATTCATGCTATAGGCTATTAAATCATATTCAAATGAACTTTAAACTACCCGGAAAATGTTAGTTGCTTCGCGTATTTCTACTCTGGCTTATGTACAAGACAGAGCGCTGAAGTCAAGGCTTAAATCTGCCGGGTCCTCGACAATTTCTTTCCGAAATTTACCCAGTATTTCGCAAGTTCAGAATTCCTCGTTCGATTTTGTATCCGACAGATTTTGAAATGTGAACCCGCCGAGGCTTGAAGCAGCTTTTATTTTGTTTGTTTTGTGTTTTTGAAGACAGGTTAGCAGCGTTTTTCTAAAACGTTGTCGCGTAAGGAATATAGAAGAATTTCCCACAGGTGAAATACACGCTGGTGAAATACTGCATTCTAAATTTTTGTATATATATTTAAGAATATTCGAGAGACAATTTGAAATGATAAATGTCGGTATAGCAATCTACGAATTCCAAGCTGTAATTGTATGAGTTTTTGTTTCGATTCTTGCGCAGAAGTGTGCCTTATTTTCTATCATCCAATAACTTTTTATAGGTCTTTATTTTATTTCAAATTTACTCGATGTTAAACTGTTTATACAGAAATGAGTTGAATGAAGAGTAATCTAAATCCTTGTCAATACAAGTGCTTTCTTCCAAATAACATGGGATTATATATAATTTAGCCAACCCTAGACTCAGCACATCTCAATGTCTTTACATTCTCCGAAACAATTCTGCTAATCTTTGGCAGAATTTTGCAATTTGTGTCAATTTTGTGAGGTATTTTTTCACACAATTGAAGGGTTAATTTTGTGTCATTTATTATTTATATATTTGAGTACATGTCATGGCTGTTAAAATTGACCAATGTAAGCCTTTATTTGTGTATAGCTTGGTAAAAATATTTAGAGTTTATGTCCAAAGCATTCAATATGTGAGTAATTTGTCCAGTTTTTGCTTTGCCATTGAACAAAGTCCTTCTGATTTAAGTTGAATTTTGAGTTGAATCCATTCATTGTGAACACAGCCTTTTTAAGTCAATGTTCAATACAAAAACAATGTCATAAAGAATAATTCACACATGTATATCTGCTGGAAGCACAGCACTGAAAATAAATAACACCACACGTCCACAACATATAAAATATTCCTAACAAGGTTTTTCTTTAAAGATAACTAAGTGTATAAAAAGGCCCATGTAGTATATTAACATGCAAAGATATTAATATTGTGTTTGTTTTTGAATTGACACCTGTAGGGCTTGTCTGTAAAAGGAAAAAAATGGGGTCTCGCCCAACATACCCATATACATGTTACTTCCTATGCTTCCATATGCACCAAGGGCAAATTTGCCTTAGGTCATGGCTATGCTTAAGGCAAAGAAATATGGAGCTTGTAATAACAATAATGTATATAATCAGTAATAACAATAATGTATTCCTGAAATAGCATTTATAGTTAAAATAGCAGTGTTGATTATTTAATAAGACACATAAAAAAGCCTAAATGAAACCTAAGTTTTGCTTTTAGAAGAGAATTCAGAAAGTGACAAAAATCTATTTAAAGTCTTTACAAAGCTTGCAATGAAATTTGTGCTATTTTGTGTACTTCAGTGTGTTACCACTTGTCAAATTGAACTATAAGTTGTTATGTCAATGTCAAGAGGAATTTCTAGATATTGTAATTTGAACTCACAGCTCTCTTTCATGGCCCACCCCTCCCAATAAATGGCCTTTTGTTTTCATTATTACAATAAAAAAGTGACTGGTTTATCGAGTAAAAAAACTTAACCACAGTGGAATATTTTATGCCAAACCTGTTTCCATTTCACACATTTCTTGAACTGGTAGCAAGTTTCAAAAAGAAACTACTTTGTATGATGACTAGACCTGTCCAGATTATTATCTTGTATAAATTATATCTCAAAAATGCTTTGGTTCTGTTGTACAAAAGCTGGACAGTGCCCTCCATCCTTATATTTACCCTTGGAAAACTTTTTTACAATCTTTCTTTTGTACAATTGACCCACATCTAGTTTTGATTTATGATTTTAAAACAAAAGCTTTTTCTTACTGTTGAATTGGCAAATATTGTTAGGAAGTCTAAGTTTCTAGAAATATGTGTTTGTCATTGCTAAACCTATGTATTATTTTGTCAGGTAATTGAGTGAGGCTCATCTTCGATCATCAAGATGGGCAAGTTACTGTCCAAAATCTTTGGCAACAAAGAAATGAGAATATTGATGTTAGGGCTTGATGCTGCTGGGAAAACTAGTATCCTTTTGAATTTGTAGAACAGCATTTCAGTTTATAATTTATAACATTTATAATTTTTATAACCTTTCATAAAGGGGAATGTACCCTCTATTTGTCTTTTTGATCTAAGAGGGATATTTCCAGGATATACCCTATTTTGGTTTAAGAGGGTCTTTCATACACCCTCTCTTTGGTCTGAGAGGGATATAAAAATATTCCCAATGAAAGAACGAAAGGAGGCAAATTCATAAGTAATTGGGGAGAAAATCAAAGCTTAAAAGAAGGTTCTGAGAGAATAAAAATTAAAGATTCAAAAGCAATTAAGGATTGTTTAAAATATTGTACTTCTAGCTATTTTATTAATGGCAGTGCAGACTGTTCTTCAAATTTAAGGTGACAAACCAAGTTTGTTTTTTAAGTTGGTTTCCTTCACAACTTGTGTAGCAATATTATATAAACTTAAGCTTGGTCAATCTGTGACGACCATACCCACCGTAGGATTCAATGTTGAAACAGTAACGTATAAAAATGTTAAATTTAATGTCTGGGTAAGTATATTACACTGAAATCCAAGTTTTCATCAAATGTGGCATAAAAACTGCCTGAAGTAGAGAGAAAACCTCTTGAGGTTAGACCCAAGGTGCTTTGTCTTAAGGGTTAGCATGACAAAAGCCTTAGGTCGAAACACCAAGCAGTTTCTTGGTTTGTTTTAGACAGTTTTCATACCACACTTGATAGGAAGTTGTGATAATCCACTGAGCTGCACTTAAACTGGAGTACTAGCCAGTGCTTCAAGATATTTGAACCACTGGAAATGCGCAACTAGGCCTACTCATTTTCAATTTTTGGCCTTTAAAAAGTTCCAGTTATTCGACGTCAGTAAATTTAACTTTTATTATTATAGGACGTTGGTGGGCAGGACAAAATACGACCGCTATGGCGCCATTATTATACTGGTACCCAGGGTTTGATATTCGTCGTGGATTGCGCGGACAGGGATCGTATCGAAGAAGCGAGACAGGAACTACACAGAATTATAAACGATCGGGAAATGAGGGATGCTATAATTCTAATATTTGCGAACAAACAGGATTTACCGGACGGTAAGTCAGCACGTGTTTGGATTGATTTTGATCTCCATGTGCTCTGAAGTGAGGATAAATCTTTCTTTGATGCTACATTACAGTGAATAAAACCCCATCTTTTTCTGTTTCTAGCGATGAAACCTCACGAAATTCAGGAAAAACTCGGCCTAACTCGAATTCGCGACCGGAATTGGTACGTGCAACCGTCGTGTGCGACAACTGGCGATGGTCTTTACGAAGGATTAACATGGCTGACGTCAAATCACAAATCGTGAGTCCGGAATCATTTCGCGCCGCAAAAAAAAACCCGAGAAATATTAGACCTTAAAAATGTATGATAGACAGAAAAGTTATTTTCGAATTTTCAAATATGCACAATGCTGTACAATGTGCAGAATTGCTCGTTTCAGAGCTATGGCTAAAACGTGATGAAAGTTAACAGTGAGGTAGGAAATAAGAGTTTTAGCACGAAAGCCGGCGTCTCGCTTGTTTCAAGGTCCACCTGGATTGCAAACCCTCTTTGTTCACTTGTGCAAAAAATGAAACCAACTCAACATTGACAATAAAATAGAAGTGATAGGCTAACGTATACTCCTGGTTTTATTTTTTCGCTATATTTTATTTCTAAATCATTAATTATCACTATATATAGAAAGGTTTGCGGCACTGATCTGAAAACTAAACTGGATAGCACGAAGTTTACTCGAGGAAAATGTGTAACCTGTTTATCGGGCGCGTACATTTTCATAATTGAAGGGAAAATCGGGCAGAGATGCGTGTAGGCTAGAGGGTAGATATATGGTAGTGTTGATGTGATATTTTGAGTTTAAAAAATTGAAGATATAGTTTCTCTCATTTCTTTCCTAAACGTCTTGGAATTTTAGAAATAAACAGTCCAGTTTTGTTTCCTGATCAGGGTCAAAATTAGCATTACTCAACAGTGAACTCTAAGGGGACTGGAGCGAGACGAGCATTCATCGTTTCAGTAATTATTGAGGTCACTGGCCCTCTTCAGCACGTATAAAGTATTTCTGAGTAAAATACGGTCATTCGAAGGAATTGTGTCCGAGTGATGATATCCCGTTACGCGCCCAGAGTGTTTTCAAATCCTTTTCGGACTGGAATTTCTATTTTCGAATTACGAAAATTTCAACGAGTTACTATATTTTTAGATAGAGTTAATTTGTTCCTCGATAAGTTATTGTAAAATATGGCAGTCGGCACATAGCGTTTAGCCAAAATTGACCTTCGCACGCATCCTTATGAGTTTGCACATGTTATATACAGAAACCTGCCATAGAAAAACATTCATGATCTTTCAAAGTGATGAGGATTTTATTGCCCCGTATGTACTGGTATAACTAACTCCTGTAAATTTAATCTGTTTATTATTAGGACAAATAAATTGAAACGAAACCTGTATATTCTTAAACTTAAAATCTTTTTTCTTATTGTGTTGCAACTTTCAAACTCGTGTGACATCGCACGCTGTATAAAGCAACAAATTTTGAGAACCAAGATGGCGGTATATTTTTTACAGTTTCCAGGTACCGGAATGTTCTGGAACCGTATATTAGGAGCTGTTTACATGAGCCCGGTTACCCGAGATTCAACGAAGCGTGAGATGATTTTGAGGTATTGAAATGAGCAGATAACATGATCCTGCAGTCGTATAATCACCACAACAATTTAGCATGTGCTTGTTTGGTGTCATAAAGACTCATTTCAATACCTCAAAGTCCTCTCACGTTTCGTTGAGTCTCGGGTAACCGGGCTCATGTAAACAGCCCATTAGTTAGTATGGGATAAGTGCTGACTTCACTGAACCATATATAGAGATTGGTGATTACGTCTAGTCGGTTCATTGAGCAAGGCAAATGAACCAAGATTGCGACGTGTGCCTTTAAAATGGGCTTTTTTGGACAACTAAACAGCGCACTTCAGGTTTATTCATGCCGACTCTATTTTTTTATTATACCAATTTCATCATAATTACGACAACGTAATTTCGCTTTTATAATCTAGATAATCTGATTTGTAACGTCAGTTGTAACAGTTGAGTCCTCAGACTGCGTAGCCACAGGGAACAATAAATTAGGCATGCGACGGCATTGCTTGTTTGTTATTTTTATTTCGTCGACATGAAGAGTTAAATGTTCGTAACAGGCCAAGTTAATCAGGTTTATTATGCTCTACGTAAAGTTAAAATAACGTCTACTTTTTCGTGAACACACGGTCAAAAAATGTTTCTTTCCAGCATGGATGCCAGCGTTTTTCCTGAAAATTCTTTAAGTTTTCACGAAATTTGTCCAGCGACGATTGATTTCTGGGAAAACCAGCCAGCAATTCTTGCAAATGTTCTGCCAGCTGTTCTGGACCATGAAACACTAGACCATTTTCATCATGCTTGACCAACTCGTGAAGACTAAAAGAAATGAAGGTTCGTTTCTTTACTAAGTTCTAATCATGCTGGATTTCAATTAAGTAAAATCAATTTTGATTTTTTTCAATGAAAAAGGCGAAGTATTATTGTGTTAGATAAATTTGAATAGACTTGCCAACTCAGGCAGGTATTTATTTGACTAGGAATAAAAGGAGTTTCAGCAAACTCTTACCATGAAAAACCAATTGCACAAACTGGCACACCACAGCCAAACATATCAACAACTTTCATAGGCAAATCGAGGCCTGAAGATGATGTGTGCAAACATATACCCAAATCAGCTGACCCAACCAGGGTGGGGTAGTCCTCAGCCTCCAACCATGGTGTGCAAATCTCAACATGATCGAAGTCAGTTTTTGATATTATATCCTGGTAGTAGGCCTTCAATGGACCTTTTCCTGTGATGACACACACAAGATTGGGGAGTTTGGAGGCTTCAGTCATTTTGTCATACTGCTGCAATGCCTCAAAGAGGATTGAAAAGTCTTCATCCTCTGTCCAGCTAGTGCTGCTGATTAGTAAGGCAGGACGGTCTGGTATTAAGGTGGTTCTGCCACTCACGGTAGTTGTAAATCTTGTTTCAGTGGTATTCTAGAAATTTAAAAACTGTTTAGGTTATGGACAAAATTATCCTGGAAGAGACTGAGGGAGATGGTAATTTCTTATATATTATTTTATATTCCTGTTGCTTTTATAGAATCTGGATATTCTTTTTAAATGATAGAAGTTCAAGGCCTATTTTCAAACACAAAACAAACCTCATTTTTGACAGATTTGAATACATCATAGCTTTCAGACAATTTAAGAAAGATTGTATGTCTTGCATTCTCATCCACACTTTTAAATCGCTTTGGTGGTCTATCGTAAAGTGTAGTTGCTGTTACATTCCATCTCTTCTTTAAATCTTCTTTCATTGTTTGTGTAACACATATATTGTATGCAGCCATGCGTCCAAAGATGCCCTCATAAAACTTCGAAAACCTAACAAGTGGATTTTTGCTGCCAATGGTCAATGAGAGAATGGTATAACCATAGTTATGCCAATCTATGATAAAATGCGATTGGCGAATCAGGCAAAGTAGCCATGCTGCAGCAAGTGTTGGGATGGCCGGAGGGTTTTGGACGAGAATGTGAGAGTGCTTTGATGTTTTCCATAAGACAATGATAATTAGTTGCAGAAATAGGAATATTGTCTTTGCTAAATAAAAAAGTAAACGAGGTAGCAATCTTGGCTTTACAGGAGGTTCAGACAGAGGCACAACATGAACTAGCTCTTCATCCTGTAATTCTTGAATTAGAGGTGAATTGTCAAATCCGACAATGTTGACTTCAAAACCTTCCTTGGCAAATGACAAGGCATGGTACTGCATTCTTGGACTGCGACCAACATCCCCCAAAACTATAATTAATATTCTCTTTTGAACAACTGTCCTGAAATTCTTAATACAACCAAACAATATAATGATAGTTATGGAGATAAACACCACTGCGAATAAAGCCATAAACATTTCAACTATTTTATTTTAATGTTGTACAGATACTACCATTTATATAGATCATGTCGGATTTCCGTCGCGAAATATTTTTCCGGAAGTAAATCGTCAACCAAATCGAACGCCATCTGATTTCTTACTAAACGGAAAAAGGCAATCAATTTTACGTTTTTTCAATCAAATTAGCCAGATTCAAGTCAGAGAAAAAGTCCATCTGCCTATCTAAGCCCTCAAATTTGCTATAATTGTCTTAAAATTCACAAAACGGGGTAAAATTTGAGATATTTAACCAGGCTAGGCTACGATTTTGTTTTCCCGCCAAAAGTTTTACGAGAAATTTTGTATCGTTCGAAATTCGCTGGCTCATGTTTATGTATTGGCACGGCGATTTAAACTTCGAAGTTACGAAGTTGTTTATATGCTTTTCATATAGTGCAATTCCCTTGGAAATCGGTGCGATCTTTAGTTAAATTTGGACGATCGACGAATTGTACGAGCGCTGCAAAGTGTTTGCTGCGCCGTTGTCGTCAAAATTATTTTGGATCCGAGGCGTTTGACATTTTAGTGAATCTGAATCGTACTCGTACTACCGGTAAATTCTTAAAGGCTTTCACTTTCGGTATTGAGGTGTAATCTAGTAACTGAAGAAAGAGCATCGTATCCTGCACAAGTAGAATTTGTACTTTTTGAACATAAAGGTATGTTATGAATGGTAGCTTGAATGGTATCTTGATTTTTGTGAACAGTACGAAATACAAATATGGACAAATATATTCTGGTTCAAATATAAGCATTGTATATCGGATGCCTTGAAGATATATTGTTTATATATTTGCAAAACTTTTGAACAATTAAATTGAGGAATAATCGAGCAGATCCGTACTAAAAGTCTATTACTATATCTTACGGAAAATAGGCCATTTATGTGGACATTCGGGTAAGATTCCTGCCTATATAGCCTGCGATGCAGACCCTTGATCAAAATCAACAAGAATTTCTTTTACTGTTTACAGAAATGAACAAGCCAATTCCTGGAAGTTTAGCGAAAGCAAATGGTACCAATATTCCCATAGGTCATTTTGATTATAGTTATATAAAGGATTGTAATGATGCAAAAGAACTTGAAGAAATTATTGAGGTTTTAAGGTTTGTCAAAAAATATTCTTTAAGGATACTGTAAAATGAGCAGTTTGATGGAGAAGATATATGATTTCCCTATTTATAAAATATCCTTATTATATTTAGATATTTTGAAGAAGACTCGAAGTACTGAGTCGAAATTAAGCTCAATAAAAAACTTGCAATCCAAGAACATTCATTGACAAACAAATAATATGCCTAGATTACAAATCTTTACATTCAACATGATTTTCTTATATATAATTATTAAAAATACATTGATTAATTAAAGTGGAGAGATTTACAAAAAATAGATTGGTGTACAAAATGACAAACACGTAGCAAATTGAATTATTATAGATATGGTTTATTGAATGCAAACAATCCATACACTGTCACTAACCAGGTTCTATATCTCTCAATTCTGTACCAATAGAACAGGCAAAGAAGGGTATTATCCTGATCTTCTGGAATTTGCTGAGAAGAAACTGAAGGAACTCAATCCAAAGAGGTTCCTTTGAAGCAATGATTTTATTTTGTGATTAGCTATTTACTTCCATATAACCTTTGATGCCTTTTCTTATTGCTTTTTTTGTTTTGTCATAGTGAAATACTACGGAAAGACAAACCAGCACCAACTGTGAGAGATCTTGATGCTGATGAACAGAAATCGGTGACAGAGGATTTCCAAGTATGTCCATGTAAATTTCTGTTTAATGCAAATTAGAGTTGGGAACTTGGGTTGTAATCCATGATTCCTATATGCTCCTGTAAGCATTGAACTAATGCAGCCAAAAAAGGGGGTTAATGTGTTATTTAGCAAATTTAAGTCAATCACTTATAGGAATGGATAGAGCAGGCAAATGATATTGACAAGAAGCTAAGGGAGTCAAATGGACAGGCTGAAGAGACAAATGTTGATGGTTTGATTCCAGTCAGAACTAAAAAAACCATTGTCAGTGGTTCAGACACAAAAAATGTAAGATGTTGTTTGGAATTGCCTGGTGCCGGTTGTATAGAACTCTTTATATAACTACACTTCGCATAGTTAAATCCGAGTTAACTCAAAATAAAAAAACTCTGATTGGCTAATTCTATCCTTAACTACAGTTAAAAGTTAACTAGTCTTTTATACATCCGGCTCCTGGTTATAAATATGATAGTTCAGACACCTGTTATATGTTACTAGAATCCTAATTATGTAGTAGGATCAATGTATTATGTAATTCATCATTTTAGGCTGAAAAACCCGCAACTGAATCAAAGAAAAGAGTGAAACCTAGGGATTATAATGAGTGGGATAAGTATGTTTTAATTATCAAAAATAATAGGTCTGGTACTAGGGCACAGTTCGTTGTAGTTAGCAACTTAGCAGGACATGATCAAGCTAGTGCATGCACCATTGTGTCACTTTGATCAAAAAATTTTTGATGTATTAAATATTTCAAGGAAAAAAAGCCTCTAGACGCCTCTGATGCAGAGGCGAGACGTGTCAAAATGTGTTATTATTACTGAGTAATCTTGGAAATTAAAAAACCTGCTAAATAAGGTGTTTTGTAGTAAAATGTGTACACATGTTGTAGTCTTAAAATCCCTCTAAAATCCTCGCCAAATTAATAAATGAATACGTCGTTTTCAATGCACATGTACCATATGAAATCGGTACCGGGTATTAAATTGTAGGCTTAACGTCGACGAGGAACTGAAAAACGTGGACATGAAACAAGATGGTCCAAAACCTAAAGTTGCTCAAAGTAAAAGTTCAATGAATGGACCAGCAGTCTCAACTAAAGGTTAGATCAAGTTATCCGATCAGTATTTTTTCTTTATCAGTTTCGTTCAGTGGTGAATGATGATATGATTGAAAAAGGGCGGATCCAGGGGTAATAAAGATTGTAACAAAATTACTAGCAATAAAGCTAGCAAAAGCGATAACCGGCAAAAATAACAAAACAGCGCACGCAAAAAGCAACTGAACAATAGCACCAAAGATGCAACAAGGAATACAACACGAATAAATAACAAAAACAATAATACAAAATGCAACAAGAACAATGGCAACACTGAGTAACAAGAAACAATAACAATAACAAAGAAAACTGAAACAAATACGATTGCAATTGCCACACAGACAACCAGAAAAACAAACAGACAAACGTGATAAAATATACCGCGCTGCAGCAACGACAAATATTTGCACAAGTAAAAATGTAGTCGATCATTAATTTATCAGATATGAATGCAGAGGAACGGCTACTACGGGCCACAAAAGAGAAAGAAAAAGGAAACGAAGCATTTCGTGCTCAGGATTACTCCGAAGCAGTTATTTACTACACAACAAGTTTAAAATACGAACCTACGGCTGCAAGTTATAACAATCGGGCTGCTGCAGGTTAGAAATGGTCCGCAATTATGGGTGAATGGTTTTGACATCCGGGGCTAGTTGTATAAAAGATTATAGTTAACTTTTAACTGTAGTTAAGGACAGAATTGGCCGGCAATTAGAGTTGTGTATTTATTGAGTTGTGTATGATTCCACTCGAAATTAAAACCCTTTAAAAAACCTATGCAAAATGTAGTTAAAATTCTAAGTTGCAATAGCTAAACTTTTCCTGACTTCATTCGGATTTTCTTATTCTAGAATTGAAAATTGAAAGATTTTCTGAAGCGATCGAGGACTGCTGTAAGGTCCTTGAAATAGAACCAAAAAATTTAAAAGGTATGCCGGGTTAGTGTTTTGCATTTATCTTGGCGTTCAATAATACTAATGTTCCTTGTTTTTTTTCCAATGCAGCTCTCATACGCCGTGGAATAGCCTATAAAGCATTAAAACAATATGAACTCGCTGCAAAGGATTTCAATCTAATTCTGAGTATCGACCCAAAAAACAAAAGAGCAAAGGTGCCGTAAAAACATACGTTATCTACCCACCCATATTTGATGTTAATTTTTTGACTATATGTTGTTGAATGTTCCATTTTTATAGGATTTATTAGGAGAAATTCAAGCCACGAAGAAGTAAGGCTTAGTTTTATTATTTTGTCGATTGACACCTCGACATGCGGGTCATACTCCGGGTATACTCCATATGCGGGTATATACCGGAATATGGTATACTCAACCTTAGTAATAAAACAATAGTGAAGATCGAATATACCGGAATATGGTATACTCGACCTTGGTAATAAAAAAATAGTGAAGATCGAATATACCGGAATATGGTATACTCAACCTTAGTAATAAAAAAACAGTGAAGGTTGAATATACCAGTATATGGTATACTCGACCTTGGTAATAAGAAAATATCAAAGGTCGGATATACCAGAATATTTTTTACGGACGTGAGTTGCCGTTCGCAAAAATAGACGTCATTACTGGTACGAGTTGGTAGCCCCACTCTAACTCAGAATATTTATATGTTAATATTATAGGTCAAATAACGTGCAAACCCAAACAGAAACAAGAAACGTTGATAGCAACAAAACTCAAAATGTAGATCAAGATATCTCGGGCGCAAAAAGAAAGAAGAAGCGGTTAAATATAGTCGAAATTGATAGCAGCACCAAAGACACGGAGTGTGGAAACGCACAAAATAGGAAAACTGGTTTGTCCAATCACGTTGGAGAAAACGGTTTGGAAGCTACTAGTAAGGGGACATTGGATGACATGGAGGTGAAACGTGGTGTAAAACATGAACAAGTAGGATTGTCGAAGGATAATAGCAAGGATTCGGCAACTGAAAACAAACGCAATCTTGCTGGCGTAGATTGTTGCTTGGTAATGGAATCGGAGACAGAGGTTGAGGCTGAGCCGGGAAACCAATCATCGGACGGGAATCTTGAAAATCCGAGTGGTACTGGGAACGAGGAACCTGTGCAGAACGGGGTGGAGAGTGTGTTGGAGTTACCCAACGAAGTAAAAGAATTGATGAAAGATGGAAATGACTTGTATAAAATGGGTCATCACGCTGAAGCTTTACAGAAATTTAGTAATTGTGTCGAACACCTGTGGGAAGGTAATTTAGTACTTTCTCGCGAGATAACTTAGGGCGCTTTGAAATTGATGCACATTTCAAAAGGAAACGAAGAAAACTGTATTACTGGGATGTGGTTTAGCTTTTATTTGCTTTATATACATTGCTTTAATTGTTTTCTTTAAATTTTTGCAGACCGAGAGTCGTATACTAGCGCTGTATCAAGTCTTCTCAATAACAAGGCGGCGTGTTATTTCAAGATGGGTGATTGCAAACAATGTGTAGTGGAGTGTAATGAGTCGTTGAAGCTGATTGATGATAATATCAAGACTTTGTTGCGTCGTGGAACAGCTTTTGAAACGATGGAAAAGTAAGGATCCTGTTTTTATAGTGAAGAATTGACGTTTTCGGCCGAAATCGCTCCCAAACTGTTCTTTTATATAAAGATATACGAGATCTATGAGAAAGAGATATTATACTTGAATTTAACGGACATAGGTCATTCTGATGGCTTTAACAATTTTAAACCGTACTATTTAATCCGTAATACCTAATCCGTACTATTTAATCCGTACTATTTAATCCCTACTGTTTAATGCGTACTATTTAATCCGCACTGTTTAATCCGTACTATTTAATCCGTACTGCTTAATCCGTATTACCTAATCCGTACTATTTAATCCGTACTATTTAATCCGTACTGTTTAATCCGTACTATTTAATCCGTACTGTATAGTCCTTCTATTCCAAAACGGATATCGAATACGTTCATCGAGAATATATCATAATTTATGATGGAATTTTGAATAATTATAAGCAAGGATGCTATAACTAGGATCGACCGGAAAATATTTTTTAACTTTCAAGGTATGCAGAGGCTTTTAGGGATTTCAATCGCGTTCGACTCATTGATGCAACCAATAAAATGGCGCAGGAACATTGTTCGAGGTAAATTGAAGTTTTTAGAATAACGTTCATGGAAAAAAGTTATGGAAAACATTGTTAAAAATTGTTAAACAAGTAGAGAGTTATGAAAAGTGAATCCTGTTTTTTCTTCTCTTTCGCGTAGAGTAATAAAACATCTGGAAATGCTTCATGGGAAATCCTGGCGAAAAGAGATATTTGAGATGAGCGGCGATGACGATAGCAAGCAGCAGATATTCCCGGATGCTGGAAAATCTGTCAAAAATTCCAATCAAGTGCAACAAAGTAAGAAAGAAGACGAAGTTTCAAAAATGCCAGAGGAGGCTAGCCCGTTGCCTGACAGCAGCCCGAATGCAGGAAAAGCCGGCGTCCTAGGGGCAAGTAAGGAAGAGTCTGGGGCGAATGTAATGGCAACATTTCTCAAGTTGAAGGAAACTGGGAATGCCTTAGTTAAAAAGGTGAGTAGTAAGATATTTTTGTCCAGGGGCCGCGGAGGATCGTTAAGTGGGGTGACAAATATTCATATAATTATTCCCGTTCAGCATTATATTAGTTTCTTTTGAAATTGATTGTTTTTACGCTCTGCTAACATGAATATATGAATATGTAAAACTACGAAACTATGATTTATCTATTCTAGGGTAAACATGAAGAGGCGATAAAGAGTTACACAGATTGTATTAAGTTATGCCCGAAAGAGGTGGCCATATACACCAACAGAGCATTGTGTTATCTGCAACTAACCAAGTATGATCTGGCTGAAGCGGACTGCAACACGGCGTTGAAGATCCAAAGCGACAACATAAAGGCTTTCTTTAGACGAGGAAAGGCAAGAAAAGTAAGGAAATTTAATAATTTTCTATGTATTGTCCTGGCAAGGGGGCATTAGCTATTTCTTTTCAAGCTAAACTGTTCTTCCTCGAGTTTTACTTGCATGCAACCTGTTTAATACTGTCATTCGGTTCGTCCTTTTTTTCAGTTCTGCATGCACTAGTCGATGCCTTCCTCAGCATAGGCACGCAGTGCAAGTATGCAAATATATCTTCTCGACTTTTAAGACCCAAGGAGTTCTTCATCTTTTGCTTGCTTGACGCAGCCACTGAAAAAATGCAAGCAAATTCCCGCCAAAATACCGTACCGACAATTTCTCACTCAAATTCTAATTTGCTAGTTTTAAAAATGCGAAGGCGTGTACTCAAAATTTTCATGCATCGAAATCATATGAAATGAAGGAAATGATAATTCAGTTTTGTCGAAGGTCTGGCTTCTGATTGATTGATTGATTTATGTACTTAGAGCAGCTAGCATGAAAACTTTGTTCACGTCAAAAAAAATACGCTGGCATATGCGGACACACACACAATACGTATGCATGCTCGAAATTTGCATATGCAGACGCACACACAATACTTATGCATGCTCGAAATTTGCCAGCGTCTACGAGCATATATGAGATGCTTGTTATATAGTCATGCCATTCGTCAGTCGCAAAGCAATACGCATAAGGTTTGGTATAAATAGGATATCCATACATGTCGCCAGCTCAGCACAAGAATTTTAAAGTTTACATTATCCTATATGTGCGTGAACACAAAAACGTTAGAAGAAACAAGTATATACTTAAGCGGGATAAGCGGTCTACTTTTAACCGATTTTCTATATTTGTATTAAGGTTTGCATGTCTGTACGAATTTTTTGTGTCCCCATTCCTTGTTAGTTGTGTTGTTGTTATATTTTGCGGGATTAGAGCGAAGTGCTGGAACAATGCACCACACTTTAACATGCAGCTGATATCAGGAATTAGATATAGACCGAAATTGTACATTTGTATGCGCTTGAGTAGTCTGATCAAAAAAACGAAATGGAAATCGCACACTTTTAATCAGAATACATAAATTTAATTATTATTTAATTATTTAGTATTGAGCACTCTATCCGGACGACTTTGTTTTCCACGGAATCAGTTTTCTTGCCAAAGGTCGCTACATTTTTTCTGGTAATCGTTGTCAAAACCAAATAAAATGAAGCTAATTGTTACAAATCTGGTAAAAATTAAGATTCGGGCACATTGTATAATAATTCAAAAATTCGGGCGATTTTTCTTTGCGAAGTTGCGCCCGTACGCCTATGTTTTTGCCGAGTGCCATCTTTGAATCTTTTGTACAAGAGATATTTTGTTAAATATTTAGAAATCGTGATCATGCATTGTAACTAAGTCTATATGAATATAAACCATTTTTGGGGTGTTAATTGTAACAATCATACAGTAACATCTGGTGTGATTGGTGTCTCTGCCATTAATATCCTTTGTTTCCTTAATTTATAATTTTTATTCTGTTTTAAGTATTTTCAGAAAAGTTTAACAAGTATATAAATAAGTAAATAAGCTATAGATTGACTCATTTCAAAGTCCACTGGTGTCGTAGAGTAAACTACACAGAAAAATGAATGCGACAGTTGAACAAAGAGTAATCGAAACTTGTTATGTTTTAAACGAAAAACTGGTGGTTCTCAGATTTCCTACAACTTGGTGTGTGCCCCTGTATTGCATTGCGCTCCTCCTTAGTGCAATTCTTCTCTTCACCTCCATTTCTCTGAATGGAATTACGGTAGCCACGATTTTAAAGTCCCGAAAACTCAAAGAAAGGGTGGCCTATTTCACCATTTTCATTCAGTCTGTAGCTGATCTTTCAAACGGAGTAATTCTAATCCCATTGTCGATTGTACATTTCTCAGGGGACTTCATTGGAAGGCAATCATGCGTTTACCTTTATGTATCGAAAAAGATTCGGTTCCTCCTGTTTTTTTATTCCTTAACAACGATGTCTGCAATGTGTTTGGAGAGGTACATGGGTATCCTGCATCCTTTCATTCATCGCGCTAAAGTGACGAAAGCAAGACTGTTTAAATGCGTCATTGTTGTTTGCTCTCTTCAGACTCTTCTGTTTGGCGTGAACTCCTTTTACGGAGTAAATGTAGACGGTCCATTCTTTTCTGTTAGCACTCTTCTGTTCCTTGCGCTACTGACATTTACATACGCAAGCATATTTCATGCCCGCCGCAAGCAAACCCAGGGCGTTGGCATCCCAGGGGACGAAAACAGAAACGCAAAAAGACGTAATCTGAAAGACTGGAAAATAGCAAAGTCGTGTTTTCTCGTAGTGTTCACTAGTCTCGTCTGTTTCATGCCCGCGATAATTTTGCTTGGAATCTTCAAACTCAAGACATGTTCCATTTTAATAACTCTTAGAAGGTGGTCCTATATTTTTTTGATTTTTAATCCGACGGCGAACGCTCTGATCTTTTTTTGGAGAGACAAAACACTGAGAGTCGAAGGGCTAAATTTCCTCATGAACTTGGTGAACAGAATGCAACAGAATAGCAACATTACGGCCCCGGCAAATAGTTAAATATTTGCTGCAGGATCAACTTTAAACAGTTTAATGTATATAACAGATATTTATGCGGCAGTAAAATTGCATGTCATTCGAAAACAAAAACACGAGAGTTACTGCATGAGGCCCCGTTCACATGCAGCATATATACCGGATTGCTTCCGGGGTCAAATTTTGTAGCTATTAAAAGGCGGTGAAAATTTTTACTGTCAGAGATCGAAATAAATATACCAAATGTATCGAAACACTAAGCATTTGCTTCTAACCATTGCCCTTTAAAGGCAAACTATATAAGATATCGTGTCAAGCGAATCCGGTATAGTGTAAACGGATAAATCCCAAAAGATGCAACAACACGGTTCACAACAAGAGATCTGATTTCAATAGAACGAATACTTTTGGGGGACACCCTGTAAAAAATTAACTTTCACAGCAGTTGAACTGTATTTTTAAGTGCTGGATATTGTCGGTATTGACAGTTTGAAGAATAAAGTACTAAAAAATCTATAATTTATCGTTATTAATGATATATTATATGTCACTGTTTTTAACTGTAGTATAATAATATATACAGTAAAGCGATTAAGAAATATAATTAATAAAATGCCTTTATCTGGCTAGGCTAAGAAGAATTTAACAGTGATCGACTGTATTTCGAAAAGTATATTATCATTCAAGTGCTGCTGGAGTGTTGTCAGTATATTGAAAAATAACAAAGACAATGTACTTAAAAATATCTGCATTTTAATGGATAAATTGTCGTTATTTCGCCGCTATCATTCACTGTGACAATAAGATAAATTATATGCAATAAAACTAAAAGAACTTCAGTTTAAGATAAATTTAAATATGGCGTAGCCGTGCCGTAGGCGTAAGTCAGATAAAAGAATAGACTTTTTGCATTATACACTACGTTTTTAGATATCTATATGCATGAAAATGCAATTAAATTACCACTGGCACTGCTGAAAAGAGCGTGCTAAAATTTGTAGAAATTCAAAGTTTGATTGCGAAATGTTGTAAAATACGAAAAATAAGAATAGCCTTGCAAAGTTTGCAAATCTTTTCAGCAATAGTAATTTAATTGCATTTTCATGCATATATAAAGATATAGCTATATTATTTAATGCAAAAGGTCTACTCCTGCGTGATACTCGTTAGAGTCTCAATGTAACCTGCTAGTTTATATAATTTTACTGTTAAATATTATACATGGAGATATTTCCAAATCACTCTGGTTCAACCAGATGCAATATTTTTGAGTTAAAAAAAATCTGTATTTTAAGTACTTTTAACAGCTATTCACTGTGAAAATAACGATAAATTACAGTAAAACGTTAGAGAAAAACAAAACACTTTTTTTAAAAGACAAAATAAAAAATGTTGTGTGTCAAATAAAAGAATTCTTGGTATATATAGTCCTTGCAAGCTGCCAGTTTATATTTTACTGTTAAACTAACCAGCTGTAATATTTTACAATCATTGACATTGGCGTGTAGTTACAAACTACATGAAAATGTTGAATTTCAAACGAAACGCGCTTGTGAAAGTACAAAGTTTTGTGAAAGATCGCGACGATTGAGTAATCATCATCATCGCTCATCAACGATGAATAACCTTAAGTTTTCTAATCTATAATAAATCTGCGGCCAAACAAGAACTTTGCTATTTCATTTTAGGGTTTAGGGCGGTATCGTGAGGCGAGCGAAGATCTGGTTCAAGTGTTAAAACTGGATAGCAAAAATGGTGCCGCAAGGAGTGAGCTAACGAACGTGCTTACCTTGCTTAAAAAGGTATGTTTCCACTATCCTATACCGTTCGCAGCTTTTCACTTGTGTTTCCATTATGTCCTTCAGTTAAAAATAATCTGCAACAACAACAGCGAATGCTGAAAGTTCCATACAGAAAGGCTGTGAAATCCTTATTGAATATTGAGTGCATCGCATCTCCCTGGAAATATTTTCTTCGATTTGGATTTAGCATGCAGGATCTGGATTAATCTCGAAGATGGGAAGTTTGATTTCTGCTTTTTGAATTCTAACAGGAGAAAAAAGAGGAGGATAAAGTCCCCAAGCGGAAGAAAATTTTAATTCAAGATGTCGACGATGACGAGAAGAATAAAGTACGTTGTCTGTAACAACTTAATATACTATACCAGAAACAAAAGCTCGAGGGTTGCTTCAAACACTGTCCCATGCACAAATTTTGTTTATCAATTAACTGCCTGGTGTAGTAATCTACAATGACTGCATTAAAGTCATTCAAGCATTAAATTTTATACGGCGAACGTGAAACACATACGGCAAAGCTGAATTTGCTGCTTTGCTAAGATAATCAATTGCTTTCTTACATTACTGCTGAACATCACGAGTTTGATGTAGAACGTTTTGTAATTTAGCGAAATTGCTGCACACTTTAGAATAGTGGAGTTAAAACACAATGTTTATTACCAGTTTGGCGTTTGCCGTAAACGTCAAGCTAAAGGTCACTATAGATTAGACCATACCGAAATTTTGTGTTCCTATATATAACAGCGAGGAATCGCAGGCTAGATAAACGAGTATGATTGATGAAAAGTCAGTCTAAAAAGCTTCTTGTCCCAATCCCAGTTTCAAACGCTTATCTTGGCTCCTTGCAAATTCTGTGCCTTTTTTTTCATAGCCTGACATATCTGCGCCGCAAGAACCCAGTAACCTTCCTGCTAAAAAGAACGAGACGCTAAAAACTGTCCAGAAGAGGTCACCTCCTGAAAGTAATCAGAAACCGAATAAAACAAAAACAGCAAATTCCAAAGTCAGTCAGAAAGAAAATGCCAAGAAAAAAATTGAAGATATGACGGCAAAGGCCAGTGTCAGTGCCCCGGGTCCAGTTAAATATAACGTTGTAAGTTAAGAAAAACTTAGAGCTTTTTATAACTACTTTTGGCCATGAATCAGGTTCAGTGTCCCCTCCAGATTTTGACTCGGTTCAAATTGGAGAATTCCGATATTTTGGAGACTTGATGGAGTGTAATTTTTTATTAATATTTTGTTATAGTTTGCCAAAAATTTATTACTGGGCCACTTATAACCTAAAAACCAGTGGATTCATTGCGATCACAGTAGATAGATAAAAGATCCTCTGTTTTAGAAAACTGCCTATCAATTCCTGCAATCATGGAAAAGTGTCAAGAGTGAAGATGCATCGGAATACTTGAAGATCTTAAAACAAGTCAATTTAGCTGACTTGCCTAAAGGTGAAAAATTTTAAGCTGGAAATATGATGCAAATTTGACTAAATCATCGCTCATATAGGAAATTTTGAGCCGAAAGAAAGATATCGTTATACATCTTAATATCTAGTACGAAGTATATAGCTATTACCTAGCCAAGTTTTGTATAGGTGTTGTGATAGAATGTTTGAACGAAAGTCCGTAATAAGATTATACTATTTTCTCCACCAAATTTACCGTTTTCAAAAGTGAAATGAAAGCAGGAATTAATGTTTGATTTCATCGCTTCAGCAAGCCGCTCATTCTATAGCCGCCAGTGGGCTAAGAGTATAATCTTATGTCTATCTATATAGCTTCAGTACCTTGTAAGGTTTAGATTCGTTTAATAAGGTTTGTGCGTAATGCTTTTTAGTACTCAGTAACAAACTGGATGGCGATATCCTCAAGTCGATAGTCAAAGCTCTGGATCTCGAATTAAAGAACAATGGTAAAATTGTTAAAAAGTCTTTTCATTTTTTAGAAGTTCTTTGTTATAGAGACAACACACGTTATTATTACTTCTTGCATGTAGTCACGTATATTATAGGACATCAATAAACTCCTGAAAGTTTTAATATAACAATGCGTAACTAGAGTCTGAGAGATCTCTTTAGTTAGATCAGTTAAGGACAGTTATATGGATATATTTTATAGGTGATGCGAAGTTTGTTTACGAATTTTTGGGGAAATTGGAGACCGTGGACCGTTTTTCAATGACGCTAATGTTTCTTTCGCCTGTCGAGAGACAAGGTATAAACGCAATTATTAAACTGATTTAACATGCATTGAAATTGAAATTCACGGTAGTGGGGGATTGTTGTGAAATGAAATATTACAAACATGAACAAAATTTGCAAGCCTTGCTATATTTGGAAACATTCTACCATATTTCGCTTTAAAACATTGCGAACTTGAGATAAATATAAGATAAGCAAGTTTTGAGATACTCCAGGATACTAAGTTTGTCCAATAACCTAAAATCCGTTCGTCTATTTTTAGCGCTACAAAAGATGTTTGAAGATATCACGAGGAAAAATATCGAAGAAAAGATTGGAATAAACAGTGAAGACCTATCTAAAATGAGAAAAAAGTATCAAGTATAAGGTAAGATCAGTAAATGTCACTCATTTTTGTGTATAAATTAGCCGAAAACTCTTAGAAACCAAAGGGGTCTTGGTCACAAATTAAAACTACCTACACAACAGTCCTTATTTTTTTAACTGTTTCATATTAAGTGATGGAGTTATTGACAAAACAACAATTTTAAGTTTTTTTATTTCGTGCGGTTTCAGTTTGCGACTTTTTATAAAAGAAAATTTCCCTGAAGTAATTTTGAAGTGTAGTTATGTCTAACGGAAGCATCCTTGGACGCCATCTTGGATTCGGACAGAAATATTGTAAAAAAGTATTGAAAATGTTTTGAAATTTTTTGGACTTTGAGAAAGATTTTCCTCACTTTAAACACTGTTCTGGGAGGTTCGGTTACATCCTGGTTTTATCTATTGGACGGTGGAACATTTGTAGGTCGCAAGGCACTATTGACAAGGCTATCTATTATTTAAACAGACATTTTTTTATTATGCCAAAAGTTGTTTCTAAAAGCTTCGTTGTTTCCGATACAAGAGATAAAGAAGAGTACAATGACCTAAGCTCAAAAGTTTATGTTTACTACTGCCTCTGCGGGCAGCTTGCGTTAATTCTCGACACCACAATCGAACAATTGCCCTTGAGACGGTTAGACCACGCTCGGGTTATTGATGGGAAACTGCATGCATATAAACTAAGCTGTATTGATGGTGATGAGGTATTCTTGAAGCGAGAGAAAGGGGTTGAGAGGCAGTTTAGGCAAAAGTGCAAAAACTGCAGCTTGTGGATGTTTTACAATCATGTAAAGAAGGATGCTAAAGTTACTTTCATTGTTGACGGTGCGCTGGTTTTACAGAAAGATACGGGTGAGTATGGGTGACAGAAAAACCCTAGGTGGCAGTTGATGCAAGGTCTGGTAGGCCTGACTGGAAAGTATGCAAACTGCTCAACCAAAATTTTAAAAAAATACTAGTAAATATATAGAAGACATCAAAATTGCCCGCCTGATATCTTGGTTGCGGCGTTGCGCTATACAAACTTTTTACACTGGCTGGTAGGCATTAACCTATTTGGCAAAGCACACCATAAGACAATCCACAATTTCCTTAATCTATGCGTACCAAAACATTTTAAATTGTATGCTAAATAGATTTTTTTAATATAATTGTTTTTGCCAATTGTCAATAAAGTTTTTCCATTGTTCTATTACCTGTGAAATATCTTATCTAAAGTAGTTTGATCTATTATACCAACACAACTAATCATTTCTTTTCTTGTAACAGATGAAAAGAATCCTTTACAAAAAAAGAAACCCAAGAAGGTTATGATGACAAAAAGAACCAAGGAATTTGGCAAGTTCAGTTCTGTTACTGTTTCCACTGTTGATGAAGAAGAGGAGGAAATTGAACAGCAAGAAGTGGAGACATCATATGCACATAATGCAAAAATAATCGAGAAACAGCTTGAGAGAAAAACCACTGCCCAAAAGCGTGCATCAGATGCTGGCAGCGAGGGGCAGGCTAAAAAACCCAAAGGGACATTGATTGATCGGTAGGGAAACTTGTATTTCCCGTCTCAAAACTTATATTGCATTTCATATTCTGTTTTTTTATTGATTGTATGAAGTTTTTTTGGATTTATGTGTTCTTATATGAAGTTTTTATGGCCTATTCCACTCTGGAATGGTTCAAGCAAATGAAGCACATCTCATTCACTACAAATTAATAAAACCACTAGTTAGTAATTACATACCTAAAGTTGATATAGTTTTTATAAAATGCCTGTGTTGGTGGACAAAGCATGTTCCTTATTAGTCTGATTGGCCAATCAGGAGCAACCAGGAGCATACTCTGTAAGTTTGTAGATATTACTATTCCAGGTTCATTTACAGTTCAGTAGTTGGTCTTTTGTTTTTGGCTACACAAAGTACATCTTTACCAGTTTGCTGGCCAGAGGAATTGATATCGCGGGCGCAGTAAATTTATATGAGTACTTCATGTAGTTCTTTAAAGACGACTGATTTAGGTTCTTGAAATAAAAAGTGTTTCTACCGAGTTCCTCACCAAATAATGGTCAATTTAACATCAATTGTTTGTGGACGACCACCGCATTTGATCTACGGTGTGAAAAGAGGAAAAGTGCCAACGTCGTTAAGGCCACATGTAATCCTGAAGAAACAAGCTTTAGGGAGTAAGTAATTATCATGAATTCATTTGATCAGTCTGATGCACTGGTCTCTATAAATATCACTTTTTAGTATTCATAAACATCTCTGATAATCAGACCTAACCTTAGTAGATTCATTCAGTCCTCATTGGCATTGTGTTTTGATTATCGAGTGTAGTCTGGCAATTATTAAACAACCCATAATTGTATCCTTTCAAGATGCAACATGTATGGAAGAAATGTCCAAACTGATGAACTGTTTTAAAAGGGAAAAGTTTGAAGATCAAAAATGCTCGAAGGAAGTTGGCGAGTTCCTAGAATGTGCCAGAATAGCGGTGGGGTGTAAATTTCATGTTGGGAATCAAGTTTATAGAAGGGAATTTGAGTATTAAAATAGAATATTTTCATGGTTAAGGCAAAAAGCAGAATGGCTAAAAAGTCAAGTCAAAGTGGTTGGTCATTAGATGAACTCAATGCAGTGCTAAAGGAAAACACACAGACAATAAAAAAATCCCGTGTGAGAACCTAAAATGCAGGTTTGTGTTACAATCAGTAAAACATGGTATGATGTGGTGTACTTGTTGAATACAGAAGCTTAAAGCTGAGCAGGAACATTGTGTAAATCCTTATCAGTTACTGCAATCCAATATTATGATCCCAACCACTGTTATTTTGCCCAGAGGGAAAAATCAATGGTGGGAAAAGGATAGATGTTGAGGAGATATTTGTGTTATCCTCCAACTCTCAAATAGAAACTTGTTTGCCCATCCCTGATACTGTGACCTTTGTGTAGAATAGTATAATTTACAAAAGCAAATGCATTCCTTGCTTTTTTTAAAAAAACAAATGTTACAACATAAATTAATGTATGAAATACACAACAATTATAGCAGATATCCTTGGCTAACTGACAGCACCAGGCTGCAATATAGCAAAACCTGCGATCCTAATTCACCTAAATTAAAAACTTATATTGTCTATATATTATTATTTAATTATTTTAATCTTGACACATCTATTTTGGCAAGTACTACTTCTGGTACAAAAAACAATCCCTGTCTATTTAAATGTAGGTACTTTAAATATAACTGCAATTTCTAATTGCAATTGATTTTTAACCTGAATTTTGACTAGAAATTGAAAATATAAAAGAATGTTCCAAGTTTCACACTGGAAATTTTTTCAAGTAAAGAAGTTACATATAAAGATAGGTTTTTCAGTAAACTAGCAAAGTAAGGGGATATGTTTTTGCACCACCTAGTAGTACTATTAATGAATTAATTAATTAAAATCCTGTGTTACATGCTCCAAATTATTTTTCCTAGTATTAATTTTTTAAATCCAAAATCTGCAGACTCAAGTTATAATGTTATATTATATCATGCTGACTGGACTTGAAGTATGTCAAGTCATAGTCAAGTACCAGTACATCAATTTGCCAATTAGAATTACCAGTTTTTAAAAAATTTTTATCATTGCTCGCTGTCATCGCCTCATTGTGGCTTCAACTTCACTGAATACTTCATTTAAGTTACTCAATAAGAATTCACCATCCATCCGGCTGAAGCACATTGGTGGCTTGAATTTTAATACATTCTCGTCTGGACCATCAACGCTCAGGATTATATACCTGTCTTTCAGTCTGCAGTGGCAAAAGGATAAGACACTTCTGTATTACACTTAGTATAATATACACACTATACTTGAGAAAATTGAGAAATATGGCTTCCAAATATTGATTTTGGCTTTCGGTGAATGTTAATAATGAATGTTGCCTTGTTGGTGTTTATGGTGATGGTCACGTTTTCCAGGTTGATTTCAAATGCTATCAACATTGGTCCAACAAAATGTGGTGTGAAAATACGACGTAATTGCTGATGATGACCGGAAGACATTTTACGGAAAAATAGATATCACCTCCCCGTTTTTACCAAAAGAAAGACAACATAACATAAGTCAACATATAAAAACTCACTTCGTTTTGACTTGCAAAGCCTCAGCTGTTGCAGGAATCCTCTTGTCTCTATCTGTAACCAGTTCAATCCCAATGTAGAATCCTTTACCTCTGGAAAAATAAATATTGAAAATGTTGTAGTGATTTGTGATGCAGCTACCATCAAAATATGAAAAATGCTTCTTGGTTGAACTATTAAAATCGTGACGAGGAGCTTTTCTGATCCGTTTCTCAATGGCAAGCATTTTTGGCGAATTTCCTACTACAATGGCTATAAACGGTCACGATTAACCGTGGTGACACATCTCTCACTTATAGGATGAACTTGTGCCCCGCATACCTGACATCTCCTATGAGTGGATGGACTTTCTGTAATTCCTTGAGATGTTTTAACATGAAGTTTCCAACTTCCAAAGCATTTTTTTGCAACCCTTCTTCTTCAATGACATCCAACACTGCATGAGCGACTTCGCATGATACTGGATTGCCACCAAACTGGAACGAAATTAACTCTATTACTCCCCCTTCAATCCTGAATATCCATTGGAGGTCGGTTATTCTTTGCGGGAGCATTGAGGTCATTATGGGTCGCATAAAGGAGGTCTAACTACCCCTACCGTATTGAAGTAGGTCGCACCAGTTGAACCGAACGAGTCTGCTATTTCTTGTGTAGTTACGACCAGAGAAATGGGATGACCATTGGCAATCGGTTTACCCATTGTGACAATATCAGGAACAACATCTGCGTGGAAAAAATGAGTATTTACAACAAGGATGTGAACTAAAATATCAAAAAAGAAAAGCCTTACCTTGTCCTTCAAAGACCCAGAAATTATCACCGATCCTTCCAAATCCTGTCTGAACCTCGTCAGCGATGCAAACCCCCCCTGCCTCTCGAATATGTCTATACAGAAACAGCATAAACGTAGAGTGAATTTCTAGAGAATATCATATATTTCGTTCCAATGTAATATTACACAATTTGTATTTTACTTGAACGAATGTTTAAGAAAACCATCAGGAAAGATAATCTGTCCTCCACATCCTTGTGCTGATTCGACTAGAAACGCAGCCACCTGTATGGATTTAAAATTTAAAAATTTAGTACAGGAACTTCTTCCAAGCGTAAACATGTTAAACCATTTCTTTCTGTTCAACCACGCTGATAATGGTTTTGTGCAATGCAACAATGCGCTTACCTTCCGGCCGTTTTTTTGAGCATTTTCCACCGTTTCGTTTACTTCATTAGCATATTTCACGCCCGTTTCTTCCGTGTACCCTCGGTATTTACCTCGGTAGGGGTCTGGGGTTGTGACGACATGAACGTAATCCTTATCACAAGTTTTGTTCATCTGTTTTTGTTTATATGCAGATAACTCCATTAGCAGACTCGTGTGTCCGTGGTAAGCACTGAAACAAAGGGTCACAGATACACCAACATAAGTTATGTCTTTGTGCTTTACGCATCCAAAGGAGAATTTTCCTGAGTGGAAACTAGCCTTAATTACATGCATACTTGTCTAAAACAACGATGTCCTCGTGTCCCGTATGTATTCTAGCCATTCGTAGCGCGAGGTCGTTCGCTTCTGATCTAAAAAAACCAACTGTAGTTAGTAGCAGAATTGCCCAATCACAGACTGTCCAAGAAAAGTAAGCCTAAAATTACCCCCTTTTTACGCTAAATTGCAGTTACTTTTCCCAGTACGGCAGTACCTACCCAGTACAAGTGAAGAAGCAGACTTTAAGTTTTTCAGGTAATTTAGCAAGAATTCTCTCAGCATATTGAACAATACTGTCGTGTAGAAATCGATTGTTTGTGTTGAGTTGTTTCATCTGATTGTCACAGGCTCTTATAACATGTGGATGACAGTGGCCAACTGTAAAAAAGCACAAACTTCACCATGATTTTCTCTTAAGAAAGCTCATTGTTAGAGACATGCAAAGGGCACTTGAATTGAAGAAAAATAGTATTAGGATGGACTGATTAAAGACAGGACTAAACTGACTAATTACAAAGAAGAAAAACGCTCAGGTTAATGCAATATTGATATAAACAGGATGGAGCAATGTTGTGCTGCCCACATTGTTCAGAGTTGTCATCAACATTGAACAATATTGTTGACACTGAATCGGGTGTAACAATATTGTTCAATGTTCATAACAACCCTGAACAATGTGGGCAGCACAACATTGCTCCATCCTGTTCATATCAACATCCATCAATCTGGGTGTTTTTAGTTGCGTACATTAAAAGTGAGCATGTTGGAGAGTTTTCTTTATTAATAATTTCTATGTCATACAACATAAAGTATTCTGAAAGTTCTTTGCTCAAAATTGTGACAACCCCCCCCCCACCCCCTTATAACCGACTATATCAAATACCCTTTCCTATGTAGAGATAAAACCATGTACTGATTCATATTAAAATCATGTACTGATTATAATTCTATACTTACCATGTGTAACATTATTGACACAATCTAGATATCTATTGCCTTGCTCATCATATAAATATGTGCCGAGACCTCTGACAATCTTTATAGGGTTATTTTGATAGTGAATTGCACAAGCTTTGCTAAAAATGAAATAGTAGATGATCATTCATTACGACCTCTAGAGTATAAGTTGCAGAAAGATCTAGTTGGGAAAAAAGACAAGTTGCATACCCAATTAAATTGTGTCTTAATCTGATAGTTTCATCTTTTGGGAGTGCTTCTTTGCATTCCACGGGTGCAGTTGATAAGTTTGCATTGATCTAATACAATTGATAGAAATGATACATTACCGCACATTGGCAAGAGATTCACCAATTGGCAACATTTTTTATTTGCAATTTATCATTATTTTTGTCATCAATAGACTACAACCAGAACTTAACACTATAAAAGGAATATGTTTAGGCACTGTTGCTTATACATTGCTTATAATTATATTCTATTTTTCAAAATCTCTACCAAAGAATGTGAGAAAAATTGCATTTTTGAGACTGTACATTTTAAAAATATTTCTCAGAGCATACCCCTTTGGCTTTGTCTTGCCCGTGGGATTTTTCTTTCTTACATTTTTAATTATAAGCGACTATATCACAGGAACAGGAAAAACTACAAGTACATCTGTCAACTCCTATGTTTAACCTACGCTTCAACTATTAACTCGATCATTTTAAAATAATGGATAACAAAATGCGTACGCGGGTAAATACCAGACTAGGTTCATCGTTCAGTTGCTAAACCGCCAGTACCGGCGGGGTTTCCACCGGGGTTTCCACCGGGTCAACAAACAAAACATTCCTTGAAACGGGTCACATGAGAATGTCAAAGCAAGTGACGCTGCACTTATCCGTATATTAAGAACATATTACGATAATAATATTTCGATAAAAATGCTAGGATTTACATATGTTTACATATATTGTGGCTACCAGACTGCTTTTCATAGAAAGTCGTTCAATGTCAACGATCCATCTTATCTGTTACGCAAGGCGAAAAATAATTGCATGACAACTGTCGTACCTGTGAAGACCAGCTTACGAAGTCCAAGCCTTTTCTGGGCTTATTATTTACACCGTGAAGCAAAATTGTAGAAAAGGGCAGCACAGAAAACATTCTTAATACAAAAATTTCCACTGCCGCCGACGGGAAATGTAGTATTACTTGTCTTTTGACTTTTGCGGTGTTTATCAAATTGGCCACATCACTGAATGCGTTCTGAATGCGGCGGAAGTAAATTATTATACTAAAGAGAAAATTTGCATAGAAAACCGGTTTCTCCCGTTTTACCACCGGTCGTTAGCACAGTTGTTGATAAGTTGTTGATTATCGCGGTAAATCAGCGTTGCACTCACTTCTCACTGTGTGGTGAAATTAGTGTTGTGTGATTTTTCACTTTTTATCATTTATAGACCCGGATTTATGGACTCAGAATTTATAAATTTCATTATCACGGGAAAGTACACGGGGATTTAAATCATTTAATATAATAAACCAACGTCGTTTAATTAATAAACAATAATAAATAATTATGCAACGTTTGCATACTTAACTTGGAATCTATTATTGTTTATATGCAATCTACAAGAATATAATGATAGCTTAAAATTTATTTGATTTCAGAAAATAAATATCGTTTAGAAAGTAAATTTGCGTCGCGTTGCCAATTCGCGTGATCGCGTCCTGTTTGTGTGGGTCTAAATTAATCTCTTACCTCGGCGATAGAGCTTACCTAAATTAGAGCGTCTGAAAGAGCTTACTAAAATTAGTAAAACTGCCAAGTTTGGCTGCGAATTGTTGTAAATTTCCGAAAATATAGCCATGCGAAGTTCACGAATTTTGTATGGTTTTGTAATACGGCCGGAGTGTGTAACTAATCTAGTTACAAAGTATACAAAATATGCCATCTTCGCATGGCTATATTTTCCGTATTTTACAAAACTTCGCACCCAAACTTTGCATTTGCACTATAATTTAACATCGCTTCATCGTGGCTTCAACTTCACTAAATACTTCATTTAAGTTACTCAATAAGAATTCACCGTCCATCCGGCTGAAGCACATTGGTGGCTTGAATTTTAATACATTCTCATCTGGACCATCAACGCTCAGGATTATATACCTGTCTTTCAGTCTGTGATTTGAAAAAGATAAATTATATGTACTATGAGATACACACTATTTTTATATACACATTAAGAAATATGGCTTCTATATACTAAATCTTGATTTTAGCTTTCGATGGTCAATATCATGGTCTTGTATTGTTCGTTAATTTCAAATATTATCAACGTCGGTCCGACAAATCGTGGTTTTAAAATACGACTTAATGATGAAGGATTTTGGCAGCAAAGTATAGATGTGGATATTCGATAATAAAGATAGCATAGACTACAACTGTTGAACTTAAAATTATGATATGAAAACTCACTTTGTTTTCACTTGATAGGCCTCCGTTTTTGCAGGAATTTTCTTATCTCTGTCCGTGACGAGTTCAATCCCAATGTAGAATCCCTTACCTCTGGAAAAGGAAATATCGAAAATGTTGCAATTATCGTAACGTATGACTTAGGACTGAGGTTAACTTAGTATTGTGATGCCGCTACAGGCAGCTATTACAATGCATGTTTCCACATGTTTCCCCTTTCTACACATCTCTGATTTACGGTTTATGTCTCTATACCTGACATCTCCTATGAGTGGATGGACTTTCTGTAATTCCTTGAGATGTTTTAACATGAAGTTTCCAACTTCCAAAGCATTTTTTTGCAACCCCTCTTCTTCAATGACATCCAACACTGCATGAGCGACTTCGCATGATACTGGATTGCCAGCATACTGGAACAAAATTAACTCGTATTACCCCCGTTCAACCCTAAATGGCCATTGAATGTCGGTTGTTCTTTGCGGGTGCCCTGAGATCATTTTAGTCTCGCACAGAAGAAGGGTTTAAGTACTCTACCGTATTGATGTACGTTGCACCAGTCGAACTGAACGAATCTGCTATTTCTCGTGTAGTTACGACGAGAGAAGTGGGATGACCATTTGCAATAGGTTTACCCATCGTGACAATATCAGGAACAACATCTGCGAGGAAAAAATTATTTACAAAACATGCAACAAAGATATAAACTAAAAATATTAAAAAGAAAACCTTACCTTGTCCTTCAAAGACCCAGAAATTATCACCGATCCTTCCAAATCCTGTCTGAACTTCGTCAGCGATACAAACCCCCCCTGCCTCTCGAATATGTCTACAGAAACAGCATAAACGTAGAGTGAATTTCTATGTAAACTGATTGGGTCGAAAGGTATAGAATAGTATTATATAATTTGTATTTTACTTGAACGAATGTTTAAGAAAACCATCAGGAAAGATAATCTGTCCTCCACATCCTTGTGCTGATTCGACTAGAAACGCAGCCACCTGTATGGATTTAGAATTTAAAAATTTAGTACAGAAACTTCTTCCAAGCGTGAACATATCAAACCATTACTTTCTGTTCAACCACGCTGACAACGGTTTTGTGCAATGTGACAATACGCTTACCTTCCGGCCGTTTTTTTGAGCATTTTCCACCGTTTCCTTTACTTCATTAGCATATTTCACGCCCGTCTCTTCCGAATACCCTCGGTATTTGCCGCGGTAGGGGTCTGGGGTTGTGACGACATGCACGTAATCCTTATCACAAGTTTTGTTCATCTGCTTTAGTTTGTACATAGATAATTCCATTAACGCACTCGTGTGACCGTGGTATGCACTGAAACACAGGAGCACGGGTGAGCCATAGAAGTTTTGTTTTTTGGTGTGCTTTACGCATGATTGTTTGTTTACAGAGCAACTAAATGAGAGCAACACACCCCCCCCCCCCGCCCACCGCCTTGAACCGATGAGCAAACAAGCCTATTTCGTCGGATCCAATCAGATCCATTCACTTCTGATGGATGTGTTATAGCCTGTCGACGTGCAATGTATATAGGGACAGATCACAGATAATCAACTAAAGTAAATGCAGTACTGCTCTAAATAACACATTCGTACATTCCATAAGTTATAGGAAAATTGCATCCGAAAAAAATTAATAGTTTCAACAGGCCTAACAGCAAACATACTTGTCTAAAACAACGATGTCCTCGTGTCCCGTATACATTTTAGCCAATAGTAACGCGAGGTCGTTTGCCTCTGATCTAAAATAAAAGTTGGATGAAAAGCTTTGTTACCTTGGCTGTGTAGTATACTATCAGCTTTAAATTTTCTGATACTTTAACACTTCTGGCACCCCTGATCTCAACTGGTTCCCAGTACCTACCCAGTACAAGTGAAGAAGCAGACTTTAAGTTTTTCAGGTAATTTAGCAAGAATTCTCTTAGCATATTGAACAATACTGTCATGTAGAAATCGATTGTTTGTGTTGAGTTGTTTCATCTGGTTGTCGCACGCTCTTATTACATGTGGATGACAGTGGCCAACTGTAAAAAAGCGCAAACTTTACTATGATTTTCTCTTAACAAAATTCATTGTAGGGGCCTGCAAACTGTAAAAGGCACTTAGATTGAAGAAAGTTTTTTTAGACTCATTACAGATAGGGCTTGTTATGATTAGAGCTTATTGAAGTGATCATGATTTGAGAGGATTAGGCTTACATACTAGGGGTGGTTTTATAGAGAGGAGAGCTCATTTCAGAGTATGAACAAGCATAGCCAAGGTACAGGCTAATCCCTCTTTAATAAAACAGAAAATGTTTTACCTATGTCATTGTATGCAAAGTTTCAGTGGTGATTATATGATTTCATACTTACCATGTGTAACATTATTGACACAATCTAGATATCTATTGCCTTGCTCATCATATAAATATGTGCCAAGACCTCTGACTATCTTCATAGGGTCATCCTGATAATGAATTGCACAAGCTTTGCTAAAAAATCCAAAATTGTAATCGACTACTTAATCGTCTACTCACATTATTGTGTGTAAACTCAGCTGGTATGTTGGTGCGAGAAGATTTACTTGGGAAAAAGACAAGTAACATACCCAATTAAATCATGTCTTAGTCTGATAGTTTCATCTCTTGGGAGTGCTTCTTTGCATTCCTCAGGTCCTATTGATGAGTTTGTGTTGGTCTACATGTGTGCACAAATCATGTTACCACAATAATGGTAGTGATCAAAAAAAGCATTTTCTACTGCACATTGCACAAATAGTAGAAATAATGATACATTATTGCACACTGGCAAGGGATTCAATCAATAGACAAAATTTTGGCGGCGGGGTTTCCTCCAGGAACAAAAACCAAAAAAAATTTACAGGGGTCATATAAGAAAGTCAGGACAAGTGAGCTAGTGAAATCATACCAGCAGAAGTGACGGCTATGTACGTATTTGTATAGTATATATTTTAACATATTACGATAATCATATTTCGATAAAAATACCAGGATTTATATAATTATATGCATGTTTAAATATACTGCGGTAGCAGACTGCTTTTCATAGAAAGTCGTTCAACGTCAAACGCTCGATTCCATATTACGCAAGCCGACAAATAAAATCATCAATTGTCGTACCTGTGAAGGCCAGCTTACAAAGTCCGAGACTTTTTTCGGCGTATTATTTACACCGTGAAGCAAAACTGTAGAAATGGGCAGCAAAGAAAACATTTTCAATCAAAAATTTCCTCTGACGCTGGTTATTCAGTATTAATATTACTTTTTGCCGAACGCCAACGGAACGGAAGTGAATTATTTCTGGGTACAGTCCGTAGGTGATTAGCACAGTAAATTAGTCTTGGACTGTTTGGTGACTGGTTAGTTTATAGTGTGGTCACAGTGTCAGTGTGGTGTGGGGAGGCTATGATTTATACCAACAGTGCTACGAGGAGGCTATGATTTATACCAACAGTGCTACGAGGAGGCTATGATTTATACCAACAGTGCTACGAGGAGGCTATGATTTATACCAACAGTGCTACGAGGAGGCTATGATTTATACCAACAGTGCTACGAGGAGGCTATGATTTATACCGACAAATGACAATGCAATTGCAAGGTTTGAGCGCGGACATTCCGGACAAACTGACAGCTACTTAAGAAGAAATGCATAACTACATGAGATGAAATATCTGAGCATACGCCCAAGTTCACCCAGGTGAATCTGTATGTAGTAAATATTCAGTCTTTACAGACTTCTGTTTCCCAATAAAAAGCCTTTTTTAAAAAACATTTTAGAGCTGGTTGACTAAAATTCGAAAGAAAAACGATCGTATCCGAATGTTTGACTCTATAAAAATACCTTCATACATTTACAATTTACCATTATTTCCACCACCACCATACCACCACATTTCCGAGAATTTAGCGACACGGGGGGATAGTGTTGCTTTTCAAGGCGGTACATTCGTCATTCGAGTACACCGGTTCACACAGACATCAATGGATCACAATGGATATAATTATCATATCCATTAGGATAACATTTACTGATTTACATGAAGTATTGAACTATTTTTAAAAAATTAACACAGCATTTGAGATTTTTTAAAGGAATTTTGTTTTTTAGTGCAATTTTATGTTGGTTGGTCGTACAGATCTCTGAAAATCGCAAAGTAAAGGTTATATGTTAAAATGAGTGAGAGATTGAAGGCGATCAAAGAAAAATCTAAGCTAAGAAGACAGCTACTGGCGCCAATAGTAAGGACAATGTGATGATAATAATTTGTACAAAGCGTGCGTCCCATGTGATCAGATTGTGATCAGATCCGCAATTTTTGCTCAGTTCCAGCATGTTTAAAAAGCAGATCGACAGACCTCAAAAATTTCTCCATTTTCGTCTTCAACCCTTTCGCCCTAAATTCACTACAAAAAATCCCATTTCAGGTTCAAATTATAATAATGCCAGAATTTTTATCCCGAAATTTGATGAACTTTGATTTTTAGAGGCCTATGTGTTTACTTCAGTTTATAAAATCATACTTTTGAATGGATGAACTTATATTTCCCCAAATGCCAAAACCGCTGCTAAGCTGATAAAATACACAGTGACTAAAGGACCAGCAGCTTGCTAAATATAAAAGATGTTCAACAATTGGTTTTAGCTGCCAGTCAATTTATAATAGTCATGGGGGATAAAATATATATTTACCAGCATGTGAACAAGTGTGCTAGTATGGCCATACGTGGGGAAGGATAGCAACTTCACATTAAAGATTTTGTGCATAGGTTGCATATATTGCACTCCAGCATGTAAAAGTTTTTTCATATACAAACTGTATTCTTTTAACTGTGTTCTAACTGATTAATGTGTCAGATGTTTTAATTGTTGTTTTAAACTTCATAGCTTGGTGCTAGCGATACTGACGGCATTGGTCAGGTTCTGGGAAACAAGTCGGACGTTGTTGCCAAACCTGATGTGAAACCAAAAGGTCAGACTAAAGCTCCAGAAAAGAAGACTAAGGAGGAATCTTCATCATCAAAAAGAAAAGCTGTTGAGGCATTTGAACTTCCTGGTATTCAGGCTGAAACATCTCCCAAGGTAAACCATGGCTTAATTTTTAATCAACATACTGTGGTGGGTGAAAAGAGGCAAATATATAATCATAAGTGTAGATGTGATAGTAATTAAGTCTACCTGCATATTATAAATCTAGTTTATTATAAATCAACCAGGTTGTGACACCAGAAGAAAAAGCACCATCAAAGAAGAAGCCAAAGAAAGAGGTACAATGTAGTCTATCCTTAACGCTTTTGGATGTAAGGGGATGAAATCCTTTTAACAACAAATTCACTTCCCAGCTATTTAAAGTTAAGTTCATTTAATCTTCATTGAAGTCTGAATATTTTTTCCAGTATGCAGATGAAGATGATTATTCTGAAGGAGAATTTGAGGAAATGCAAGAAGCATTTTATAAAGACTCAAGTACTTTCTTAAAGGTATTTTAGTTAGCTTCCAATTCATAGCACAAATGACAAGTGACTGTGTTCATCTGTTTGATTTTTCATTTCTCGTATATCCTTTATTTCTACAGGGTACCCAAAGTGCAAATCCTCACAATGATTATTGTCAGCACTTCGTAGATACTGGACAGCGACCCCAGAACTTTATTCGTGATGTTGGTAAGCAGTCAACGATCAATTGGCATGAACATACTATATTACAAAACCTTTTACCCATCAGCATTGCCCCAATGTCCTTTATTATAAGAACATACCAGATATCTTTTTTAGGAAAAACAGGACACCTGTAATATATTGATTATGAAAGTATTCAAAGTCCCAATAGGGAGTTTGAATCCTGAACTATGGCTTGTCTTCTTGAAAAACTCTGTGTGTACTACAATGCTTTTTTGCTATTGCAATGAAAAACATGATTATTATTGAAGAAAATTATTCCCGAAAATATATTTTTAAGTGTTTCAGTAAGATAGTGGCCTTTTTAAATGGAAAGATTGTGTCATCTTCATGATTAGGTTTGGCAGATCGTTTCGAAGAATATCCCAAACTTAAAGAGCTTATTAGACTGAAGGTAACAACTTAAATTTTGTGCATCATAGGTGCATGTTAACATACCAGATTTCTGAGGATAAATACTATTCAATTTGAAATACAGTATGTAGATGGAGCTTTACTTTTGTTAAACAGGATGAAATTATTGCCAAGAGAGCTACGCCACCAATGTAAGTTGCATATGAATGAGTCTACTATATTGTGAGCTGAATAATCTCTCAGACTGATCAGCAGAACTGTGGTAGCATGTCTGAAAACAGGTCAAAATCTATTACTTGAGTATTATGTTCATCAGACACTCGATGATATATGTACGCTTAGCGTACCTATTTTAAGGGATTCGAAAAATTCCTAAACTCGTGGACAAAATTGAGGTCTTCAAATTTGTCCATATTCGTATTACTACATTAGGTATTTGCAATGTAATCTTGAAACATTTGATCTACGAGAGTTGGAGTGTAAGTTTGACGCCATATTAGTTGATCCCCCTTTGGAAGAATACCAGCGTCGTGGCTCTGGGATCTCGCACAACTGGCGGCCATGGACCTGGGAAGAGGTATAGGCACTCTATATATAATACTATGGTAATAATACAGCGTCTGATGCATGGTACTCCAGAAGTAATCTAGTGAAATACAAAACAAAACAACCTTTCTGTTGTTTCTCAACCATCCTTTGTCATCGTTATGTTGCTAGTAAAAAACTGCAAATTTGCGGTCGTGGGTTTTAGATATTTATTACAAGATAATTTTCACAAACGATTACATACGATCATGAATAAAAACACATACTTTAGCTTCTCGCCTTTTTAGTATTACACCCTAGCTGCGTTATTAGGAAACCTACAGTAACTTTGATGGCGTAAATTAATTTGTCATTTCAAAACAGATTATGAAACTAGAAATTGAAGAAATAGCTGCACAGAGATCTTTCATCTTCTTATGGTGTGGCTCGCATGAGGGATTGATTGAAGGCCGAAAGGTACACATTTAGTTGAAAAATGTACGTAATATTCGTGACATGGCCAAGTTTTCGAACAATTTAAATTGAAAAATATCAACTCGAACATTTAGTGTCTTCGCAAGTGGGGGTTTCGTCGTTGCGAGGACATTTGCTGGATCAAAACAAACAAGAAAAATCCCGGAAACGTGAAATTCCTGAAACCGAATGCGATATTTCAACACACGAAAGAACATTGCTTGATGGGGATCAAGGGAACGGTTCGAAGAAGTACTGATTTTGACTTTATCCACGCCAATGTGGACATCGACCTTATCATTACTGAAGAGGTATGTATTCCCCCTCACTCCCCTCCCCCTGTGCACATAAAGATACAGAAGCCTCATGGTACAGCATTATTATCAGTTGTGTGAATGCACGTTGGTATTCTATAGTTGAATAATATACATTAAAACCAATTACATTTTGACTGTTGTTTACGCATTCTTTAGCCACCAATAGAGAGCACGGAAAAACCCGAAGAAATCTTTCATATTATTGAACATTTTTGTTTGGGAAGAAGACGTCTTCATTTGTTCGGTAATGACAGCACTTTACGACCAGGTGAATAAATGAATTTTAAAAAAGAATGTTACGAGCAATGGTCTTCATAAAGCCTGCAATCCTCCAGGAGAAAGGTTGAAGACTCTCAAAAAGGCATCGCTTTTAATGGAAAGAATTGCCTATATTTAACACAACTATTTAGTATATAATATTGAGAGATGGATGCATTTTGGATGTAGTACAAAGTTTTATTCGTGAACTTATATTGTTGTGGATATTCCTGAGCCTCGTACTCACGCAACAAAGAGCTATGCCTATGGTTTATGCATTATTCCATTTTGTTAGGTTGGTTAACAGTCGGTCAAGACCTTTCCAGTTCAAATTTCTCCAGCGAAACTTATAACTCGTATTTCAACAGCACACCGACCGACTACCTCGTCGGCGACACGCCGGAAATCGAGAATCTCCGACCGAAGTCCCCGAAGGCAAAGAACAAAGGGGATGGCGGGAAAGGTCGCGGGGGACCTGGTGGTCCCGCGTGGTCGACACGCGGTATGCGTGGAATCGGGGGACGCGGAGGTATCGGAGGAAGGGGAGGGTTAACTAGGGGTATCGGGTTTTCTATCCGTGGTAACCGTGGGTTAAGCAGAGGTGGTTTTCCTACGCGATAAATGGAGAGGATCGCTGTAGAGTCACACCAGACACTATGTAAATAGTTTATAATCAATAAACACGTTTTATATAGTTTTCGTTTTCGACTCGGATTCGATTCAGCTCAGATTGCTTGCTTATGTTTTAGCGTAAAGATCAAAGTGGACCGCCAGCGGCACCTAATTCGGCTACACACAGAGTTTATTGTTGTCAACTGCCAATATTTGTTGCAAACACTCTGTCAGTACTAATCTCCCTTCGTCTTGATTGCCTTTGCATCACTCCGGCATCCCTGGTGACATACGCAATTTGCCTCGCAATTTTTTTGTGAAAAAAGATGCCAGGTAGGCGTTATTGCGTTAACTCAGGCGACGTGGTCGGGGTACAGGGCGATAGCCAAAAAATATTTGCATTGTTTACTTATTTACTAGTTTACTTTTAAATCAGACTTCGTTTTCATGTACATTATCATGGATCTCGACGATATAAAAATAGCACAATCAGTCACATGCAGCAACACATTCAGTCAAATTTCTTGAAAGTTATTTCGCTAGTGTCCCGCTTCTTTCTGTGCCCGTTCGTCAAACCACTTCAAGCCTGTATCTAATAGTTCGATCATACATTCACTGCACACTAAATCTGCGACCGTCACGCGCGAAAGACTAACCCTGCGACCCAAAAAATTATAATCTCGAAACCTAGCCCGAGTAACAGGTTCCACAAAAATTGAGAGATCTAATTTACTCCTCGACCAAGTTCATAACAATAATTTATGTTACAGTAAATATACTGCGAGAAGAACGATCAGATTCTACTTTTGGTAACGATAGCAGCAACGCCCTAATGCGTTTCTGGATCATTGCGTAAGGTAACATTAAGGCCTGGTTCACACTTGTCATAAGAAGCTAGGATTCCCTTTGTCACCCTTTGCCTGAGGTCGCTGGTAGGGAAAATGCTTTGTCTATCGAAAAGTAATACAATGGATCCCCGATTCTTAGGAGCTAGTGTTAACCAGGCCTAATTTTCTGCCGCGATCAACTTGTCACGCAATGTTTACTGAACGATTTTTAATTGGTGCTTAACAATGAGCGGGGAAAATCGCCTTTCTTCATAAACACTTTTAATTAATATTGCGGTATTTTCTAATGTGTTGGGTTTTAATTAAACTCCCTGATACTGCATGGTCATGCGAATTAATAGACACCTATATATGCGTGCTAATAAAATGCAAATACCATATTATGTCAAATTGATGTACAAAGAATATCAGAGAAAGTCCAAAGTCAACAATTCATTATTAATCAGACCATTGCTTTATTATTTCTTTTTATTGTAAGCCGGGCAGGTCGTAACGTGCTACGCAAACGCAGCCAATTCCCGTCGGTTTGCTTTCCATTTTGCATTGTTTTTAGAAATCTGCCTTTTCATATCGCGCGTTTGACTTCGTGACACGCAAACGAGACAAGTCCTAAACAGGCCTATATAAAACTACCGTACATTTATTAGAGAATGCATTACGTTCAAAACTCCGTAGAGGCAAGATGGCTGATGAAATTCTGTGAGCGCTCAAATTATGGTATGTTTTAAAGTTTGCATGCAGGCATTTTATTTATAGCTCAGTGCATGCATGCCAGTGGTGGATATACTACGAATTTTACCATGCAGACCCAGAAATAACCCTGTACAAATAACCAAATGGTATTTGTTGATTGTGTGCATGACTCGAGGTGAATTTAAATTTTGATGGTGCTAACAGCTGTTGGGTGAATTATTAACTTGATTCAATTTTGAAAAACTAATTCACTCAACCGCCCATTCAAGCAAGCGTGCGTGCGTGTAGTTCAAACAAAAAATTAAGCATGAAGTACATGCAATATAAGCATGCATTTTAATCAACGATACTGACCGTCAAAGGTGCTATCGCACCTATAGCGCTAGTCATTTGGGAATCTATGTTAGATTTGTTGTATATATTGTTATAACAAATAGATCTAGTTTATAAACCATTTAAAAATACAATTATGATGGTTGGAATGATTCGTCCATTTGTGTTTTCGTTTATATTCTATATATAGGCTAGCAAAGAAAAGACGAATGGAGCGTTAAGTTCTGCTGACTTCGTGAAAAAACGAAAAGCTGAAAATGTGCTTCCTCGCGTCGAAGAGTTAAACAGAAGGTATAAAACCAATATCGAAACGACCCAAAAAATTGAAGAGCAATGCGCCGAGCGAGAGATATTAAATGAAATACAAAATCTTAAACGCTCTTTGATTGATGGCGAAGCTATGTTACAACAGATAAAAGAAGGCATCAGAGAAGCACAAGAAATTTCTACAGAGTATGTGAAAAGTTTAGAAGAAAAGGTAGAGACCTTGGAAAGGCAAGTTGATCAACTTCAAAAGCAAAATTATTCTCTCCAAACTGGTCAGATTGCATTCGATTTCGAAAAGGATCTTGCAATATACGTATATCCAAACAGCAAGAAATACGGATCCCGGAAAATATTTACGAGCATGAAAAGTTGGTTGGATGCGAAAAAGGAGACACCACAAGGAAGAGAAGCGAACAAGAAGTGGAATGATTTGAAGAAGGAGTTTTCCTGGTCGGAAGAACATGAAAAAGTGTTCTTCAAACTGCTCGAGTTCAGGAGGGTCTTTGCACATCCGCAAGTTGATCGTGAGGCGATTCAAACCCAGATTCCTGACGACTTCAATGATGAGGAAAAGAAACGCATTCAAGACATCATTGGCATGACTGAAAAAGTGAACCAGCTGATGCAGGTAGATTGAGATACACGTTTGAATTGAAAAAACCCATCCCTAATTTTTTTTTTGCCACATCGAGACCCCGACCTCGGCAGCATTAATTTTGATGGACAATGACATAAAAAATACCATGGTATGTTGATATTATGGTACACCAAGTCTACTACATTCATTCAAGAGACAATTAATAATGGAACATTTGAATAAATTGACGTTGCAGACATTTGATAATGCGTGGAAAATTTTAGGGAAGTCGATGAATAAAACAACATAAAAATCCTGCCCACTTGTTTACAAAAAACGTATGTACTACGAGATTATATTTCACAATACATATTTTAAAATAGAAACGTTAGGAAAAGTCAAATCTTGTGCATCTTGTGAGTAGTTTTTATAGATTTGGATTTTGAACCTTGCCTTGTATATATATATATGTTTCGACTAAGACGTATGTGTTATACATACGTAGCTCGCAATCTTTCGGTTGGCAAGAGTTTTTTTATCCAATTAACCAGGGGCGGTTGCTTAAAAGCCGGTTAGTTTACCCCTGGATTAAAGCAATCTTTCCGTCAACTTTTTAAATCACTTGTTTACAAAGTTGAATATCTTCTCCAATAAAAATTTCTGGACTGACAGAAGTCTTTTTTTATCTTGTAAACGTTTTAAAGCGCACAGCGGCTCAGAAGCATAAACTAAAAGAGCGCATTAATCCTGGGTTAGCGCTAACCTAGCTTTAAACAACTCGCCCCCGATTGCTACGAACCCTGGGATTCTTCACTACCCGCAGAGTCGGTGGTCGGTCCCTGTTCAATGGCGGCTTTTTTTGCCGATGAAGATGAACTATTTGAGGAGTCGGACTGTTTTGACGAGAAAGGGAAGCACGGAAGGTAACTTTTCTTTTTTCTATCCGTGCACGTTATGTTAATCTCATCTTTTTCGTCGAGTTGAACGACAAACTTGTTTTCAAAATCTCCCGATCGAATACAGAAATCGTTTCCTTCCTGATCGTAAATAACGATCTCTGCATTCCTCCACGTTTCCTCTGATTCCGTGTCGAGTTTAGTGATCGTTGCTTGGAGTATTCGTCTCAGAGTTACGACAAGTGTCGGGTCGTCTGCCTGTCCTTCGTTACCACAATGCTTCACGATTAGTTTGCCAATGGTTCGCTTGCTAATGATCTCGACTGTCTCCTAGGTTGGTCAAAAGCGAAATAGTTTGAAGACGATTTCGCAACCAACCAGTGCCAGTCCATTTCTAATCTTCTTGTCTTTCACGATCGTCGATTGAACGATCGCGTCAAAAAACAATAGAAAAGACTGGCACTGGTACCCAATGGCCAATTCGGTACTTTTAACTAATATAACTTTATATATGTAAGAGCTATAGCTTTCGTTCGAAACTTTGAAAATACTCAGTCTTGTATTTTTGAGGTTTGATTCACAACCTTTATTAAATACGTCTCATGCTAACTCCTGTTCTAAAAACTGATTATTGAGAAATTTAGAAACGTCAGTTGTGAAATTTTGTAGGAATTTGCATGCAACAATAAACAAGATGTTGCCAAGTCGATTTAAAACCGGCTAATCTAAGCCGTACGTATAAGTTTCACTTGAAACCATCGAAATATCCGAAAGCAAGCCCTCAAATTCAGGCGAAATAACACTGCTAACTCTGATTTCAACTAAAAATTGTTCCTAAATTCCAAAATTTGTAATGACTTGTACTGTACTGAAGTTATTGACAGACGAAAAGTTCAGATTGCATGCCATATATACTTTGAATATTTTTGAACTTAGTTCGGTATTAAATTACGATTACGACGCAGCCACGGTTTCGTCAATCTCACTGCCGCCGTAAACCATAGATATAGTAGATGAATATCATATTGTAAACTCGCTGAAATGTATAGTACTATCGAATATAGCTACCTGTCTAGAATACGGCTGCTCCTCTATAGAACTTTTGGAACTACTTATTCCCATTGTGATGTATCGTTTGGACTCCTTCAAGATGCATGCCCCAGATGACCTGCCAGTCACGTGTATTTAATACTCTGTTTGAAAGAATCGTTAAATATAAAGAGTCAGAACGTTTCGTCTTCAAACGCGACTTTTCAGTCTTGAACTAGAATAACAGGCGGAATATTAAATAATGCATGCATAATAACTTTTCTCGGTGGGATACTTCAAGGAAACAGGAAACTGTGCAAAGAGAAAGGGAATAGACTTCCGGTAGATCAAATGATAGAGCTAATTAAATTTTCAGTTCTTCATTTCTAATAAACCAAATAAAGCATACTACTATTATCAAATGAAAGAAAATCCAGAGCACAGCGATGATAGAAAAACGATAGATTGTAGTTTGACCATGCAGTTTTACGATAAAAATAAAGACATGCAACATTATAGCTGTTTAATAATGTATTTCAGTAAATAATGAAACATGATCTCAAGGTTTGAACTATAATAAAGCTTTCGAATTCACTTCCAATGCTTTGAACAAACCACTTTCTCAAAACTAAAAATGAAAATAAGAGAATTTTTAAGGGGCAATCAAACATATATAATTCTTATTGCTAAGCTAGTGCGTATATATAGAGGTTATAAAAAGGGTCTTAATTTCGAGTGGAATTTTCACACTTCAAATTCAAGTCAGGAACAGTTGGCCTTATAGTTTAAAAAAAAACTATTGATATCGATACTAATTCTTACGTGCATGCATGACTCGGCATGTAACTAAAAAAGGCTGTTGAAATTAAATTTAGGATAACAACTGCCTAAAATACACAAAACGGCTTCCGTTGACGTTTCGACCTGATAGCCTTCGTCATGCAGGAGCCTTCGTCAAGAAAACTAAACACAAAGTGGCACCGTGAATATGATTTCTTTTGAAAGTGAAGAGAGAATTGATGCTGTGTTTTGAAAATCGTTGTTTTGTGATCCGAACATTCAATTGTAAAATCTTAAAATCAGTGTGAAAGAATGCAGGAAGAATATTTAATAGTGTAGATACATCATGCATGCAAATAACTTCATATATACCATAAGACGACATGAAAGTTTTGCCTGTATACTGATTTGAATTAACCTTTAATTGTTAAACAACAAAAAAGCATTTCGCTTTAAAATATATATCATTATATAAAACATTGCTAAAATATTAAACCTTGGACATGTTTCGAAATCGAGTTGCCTTGCATGCATGTCGTTACAGGATTCAACTTTCAAGTCTGTTAGATTGTTAGGCTCTACTCAAGACTTTCCAGCGTCATATTCCAAGGTCGGTTCATGGTTTATGGCAGCTTTATGTTCCGAACGTAGCGAGCTATTCGACGAATTTGTGGTCCGTTTGAAAGGAGCACCTAGGCATGAAAATAAACTTCGCTTTTTCTGTTAGTGCACGTTATGTTAATCTCATCTTTTTCGTCGAGTTGAACGACAAACTTGTTTTCAAAATCTCCCGATCGAATACAGAAATCGTTTCCTTCCTGGTCGTAAATAACGATCTCTGCATTCCTCCACGTTTCCTCTGATTCCGTGTCGAGTTTTGTGATCGTCGCTTGGAGTATTCGTCTCAGAGACACAACAAGTGTCGGGTCATCTGACTGTCCTTCGTTACCACAATGCTTCACGATTAGTTTGCCAATGGTGCGCTTGCTAATGATCTCGACTGTCTCCTAGGTTGGTCAAAAGCGAACTATTTGATAAAATTGCATTGGCTTTCGCAGAGGAGCGGCATGCACATGCATGCAAAAGTATTCGTAGCTCGGTGTACACAGACAAAACCACCCGGTATTTTGTACGATTTCTTCAGAAGCACAAAAGAATGACTGCATGTGTGATCACAGAATCGAATAGAGAATTAATGCGGTTTCCAACGTTTTGCAGGTCATGAATGCATTCAAAAGATGACCTTGATCAACGTTTATGCATGTTTTGTCATTTTCACACATAGCCAATAGAATCGTAGTATGCACAAAAGATTGCAATTCGATAGGCTAACGTGTAAGAATGGCAGAAGACGATAATTCAATTAACCATCAACCTAAAATTCCTGTGTGGCTATCGAAATGCATGCATATAACTAGGCAATTACAAAATATGACGTTCGAAATCTGTAGAAGTAATTCGAAACATATAAAAGCTTCGCTTATATAAAACAACTTCTTGTATTTTTGGTGTATACGTAGATAAGTGAATCAAAACACACAATCCCTACCAACACTTCCTGTGCTGATTTGTCTTCTACGCAACTTTTGCCATGTCATTTATGAATTGGTGGAAATTTGCTTCGTAATAATAAACACGAAGCTACCACTATAAGTTGATTTGAAATTAGCCGATCAAAAATCGCATAAAACATTAAAATTCATATTTTTTGGCAAGCAGCAAAATTCAGGCTGGTATATGTTTCAGATAGACTGTACTATAAAGCTCTAGAAATACACTGGACAACTCTAATTTCAATCAAGAATTGTTTCTACGAATTCCAAACTACTATTTCTCCCTTATGAGAAAGAATTTATTCATCCACGCATTGTATTTCGAAATAGTGAACGTATATTTGCATGTTTTGCGATGCAGCCACGCTTCGGTTCATTTCCTGTAAACCGCTTGCTCGCTATATATTTCGATGCAAACTGTTATTCAACAGGCAATATAATTTTGCGAGCTTATCTGAACTGCGTAAATATTATAAAAAATATACCTGTCTCGAATATGACTGTTTTTCGATAGAATTATTCGCACCCATTGTGAAATGTCGTCAGAATGTCCGGTGTCCTTCAAAATGCATGCCTGCATGGTCCAGCTGACCTGCGCATGCCGGTCACGTGTTTTTCAACCTTGACACTTCGTTTGGGAGAGAACCTTCGAAGTACCAAAACGCTTTGTCTTTTAAAACAACTACTTTTTCTCGGAATAAAAGGTAGAATAAATAATGCGCAATAACGTTTCTCGGTAAGATTGTTCAAGGAAGCTAAAGAGAAAGGAAATAGACTTCCGGTAGATCATATGACTCGCTAATTTTTTTCTTAATTTTCGAAAAGTCAGACCATTAACAAACATCACAGATTAATAAAGTTTTGGTAATACAGCTATGATAGAATAGCTGTAGATTGTTTTACAAGTTTTAAAATAAAAATATAGACAAAATTATATTTAATCGGTTTCAACAGATACTGAATGAAACATGATCCATGCAAAAGTTTATGAAGCATCGCGTTCACTGCTTAAAACGAAGCATTTTCTCCGAATTTCACACTTTTCTTGGAAAATATTTGAGAGAAGAGGGACATTTTCCCAGCAAAGTGATTTTAATTCCAATCGTAACGCCTTCGACATGGTAAGTTCGCAAATTAAGACTCCTATATATAATGTAATTCCTCTTGTCGTAAATCATAACATGAAGCTTTTTTGAGAATCCAGCAAACCTTTCCTTCAATTTAAAACGCAGTTTGTAACCAACAATAACATATATCGTACTTTCGCTTTTATTCCGTTGCAAAATGTCTAAAAGTTATTTCGCCCATATAAAAACAAAAATATTTGTATACTTTCTTTACACCCAATTACAAATCATTTAAGGCAATGTGAGCTTCGCTGGCGTAAACTAGGCTTCGTTTTGAACCTTCATGAATGTACTGAGCTTAGTAAACGAAACCGCATCATTCCTTATTTCCTGAGGCATCGGCAGAAATCTGTATTAAATACTCTTCTTGTTAGCCTTAAACTACTGCAATCCTGAATGATATATATGTCATGAAAGGGCAAGAATTACTGAACATGCACGAACCTCCCTTGCTCATGGGCAATGGCTACTCGTTACATAGCCGATTTTATTTCGTATCTTTCACTTCTATCACATGTACAATTTGTGTTCCCTCATCAAGAGCCGCCAGTTTGGGGCGTTAATTTCCCTCTATTTTATAGTAGGCCATGCAGTATTTGATATATAAGCGGTAAGTTCTTGCTACATGCTATAATGGCTTGCGCTGCATTGAATAAGAGGCTGTGTAAATTCTTTCTCATACACCTGAAGTTTGAATCATCTTTTTTTAAAACTAACTTGAACAAGCTTTGCTATATGAACGAGTTGTTTTATTCCATCTGTATTTGGCAAGAGAGTGCGTAGAATTAAATCATAGCATGCATGCATTCATGTGGTCAGAAGACGAAGCGATTTTTTATAGTGTGTGAATGGCCCATGCAATTGTATGGCCAATGCAATAATCGTGCTATATACTACCGTATTTTCAATACATTTTACTCGGGAACCATTATATATAACCCATGCAAACATTACATGCAGCCGTTGGATTGAGGAATCTGTTATCAACAACATTGAACTTAAGGGTGTTCACTAAAATCATGATCAACGACAACGGTGAAGAGTGTCACTTAAAAATATAAAAAATCGCATTTGTATATAGGCCTATAATTATTGTATGAAAAGCAAAACTCTAGTTGGACTTGGGAAGTAATCAATATCAACTTATTTATTTCGTGATCCGCAATAAAGCCAATTTGATTTCCTAAGATGGTAATGACGGTATATCACACACTGTTATTTTCAGGGTGTTATTTTAACACCACTTTTAAGGGATTCTAGGGGTGTAATAGGGGAGTTACAAAATTCCAGCTTAATAACTCCATAGTTGGACTTAAAATAACACCACGTAAGGGGGTTACGCGCAATGTAACACCATTTTGGGGGTTAAAATAAGTACATTATACCACGTGATCAAGCTGATGCAATCATGCAAAACGAGCTATTTTTCAAAACCTTCGCAAGCACTACTGGTTCCACGGGAGAATTGCCTGTATTTTTAAAGATAAATTACGACTAAAACCGAATTGAACGAGGAAACGTCAAAGAAAGGTTGGCGGATTTGCTGTATGCAGTTAAAAACGGGAATGTACGTACTTGAATATCATTTTCATGCCTCTCGGAGTGCGACTGTTTACCTGCCGATTGTGGATATAAATTAAACTGCAGTTCGTGAGCTAAATTGTCTGTAATTCTCTGTTGGAAGAAAGTGTACAGTTGCTCAGCCATCCAGGATACAAACACAATTGCGCTGGTGTGTAATATATTTTCAATATTTCAACAGAAAACCTTCAGCAAGTGTCGACAAAATAATTCAATACAAAACTATTAATGTAGGTCGCTAAAAATATCTTGATATGGAACAGTAGACATGAAAAACATTTTTCATATTCTCATAGTCTAAAGGAAAATGAGGGCTTATATATGAATTAAATATATTTAATAATAGGATAAAAAGGTATTATATATAGTATAATATATCCTAACGTAGGCAACTTCAATCACAATATCGAGATGTACACATGAAAACAATCCGAAAATACGTCAATTAATACTTAAAACTAATCTAAAATAACAAGTGAAATGAAATCTACAATATTTTTACTATATACTGCCTATGTTTTAACTTTGAAAACAAGTTATAGAAGCGAGAAAAATGCGAAGTTTTTGATATTTTACTCATTTTTTAAATGGGCCGTTGCTGGACCCGCGCTGCATGTTGACGTTTGAAAATGACGAATTCGTAATCTCATTGGCTGTCACAACAGCAAGAATAAAAAACAGCCAATGAGGTTACGAATTCGTCACTTTCAAACGTTCTTAAAAGTCTACAGCGCGGGTCCAGCATCGGCCTATTCCAAAAATAAGTAAAATATCAAAAACTTTTCGCATTTTTCTCGCTTCTATAACTTGTTTTCAAAGTTAAAACATAGGAAGTATATAGTAAAAATATTGTAGATTTCATTTCACTTGTTATTTTAGATTAGTTTTAGGTATTAATTGACGTATTTTCGAATTGTTTTCATGTATACATCTCGATATTGTGATTGAAGTTGCCTACCTTAGGATATAATTTGTAAAGTTTTTACAATGCATTTGTTTGTTCTTTAAAAGAAAAATGTTTAGATTTCTGATGATTTATCAGGAAACTTCAATATGAAGTTGTATTTATGTTGTAAATATTGTAGATTGAATATAAAGTAATAAAATTTTGCTCAAATTTTTGTATGATTCTTTATTTCTTTCCGGGTATTATAGCGGGATCCTGAAAACGGGGTTATTTTAACCCCAAAATGGGAGTTAAATGTAACCCCAAAATGGGGATTAAAATTTAACTCCAGAAACGGTGTTATTTGTAACCCCAAAAAAAAAGGATTATTTTCGATTAATCTCGTAACCCCTGTTTTGGTGTTAAAATAACACCCTGAAAATAACAGTGCATATAAAAGATAAAATTCAATGGTAAAGTTACAATCCTAGCTGCGCCTGTGCCTGTTTAATTAAGAACATTGCATTGTATATATGCATGATGCGCGGGGTAACATGGAAATATTTAACATGGTAACTGAGCATGAAACTTGATTGGGATTTGCCTAAATTAATGAATACATTGTCGTTGTATGAAAATTTACTATTATTACATAGGAGTCTTACAACTCCCCGTTACTACATTGTATATAAGAAGAGAAAAATGTTGTTCAACTGGATCAACCAGATTTATTCTCATGTAACTACAGGATTGAACCAACAAGTGATCCGTCAATATGCCCATAAATGGTAATATTTGTCTTAATGAAGAGAGGAAGGTTAGACATGTCTCAACGAAACTCTTTCATCTAAAGTACACGTCTTCGTTATTAATCCTAGATGATTTGATCATTTGAAACGTCTGTGAACATACAATTTTCATAAAAATAAATTTCCGAGTTTCTTAATTCAAGCTGAATTTCAAGCTTTGTATGATGCATGAATTTCAGTCTTGTCTTGTGAAACATATTGATTATCAAGCCCCATATCACCAAACTCAGCTTTAATGCTTTTCTCCGGTAGAGATTTTCGAATATCGTAGGTGAATATATAGGTAAATTTTACACTGTTTGCAGATGAAAATTCCACTCAGACATTCAAAGTGAATTTTGCAGATGAAAATTCCACTCAGACAGTTCAAGGTGAATTTTGCAGATGGTCAATCAACATGCTGCAACGACTCGTCCATCACGTGTTTCCTTTCTGTGTGAAAACATTTTTCAGGTCGATACATTTCAAATGCCTTAAATGACTGGAAGTGATGTTAAGGAAGATGATCTCTTGCATAATAGCCAAAAATATATGCCTGCGAGAGTAAAATTTTCCTCACGATCAGTTCTTCACGAAAAATGAAACAAAGGAGTGGTTATAGAAACGTGCTGCCGGAAGTCTTCCTTATGGTGAGGAATGTAAGGAGGTGGCTATATATACCATCGCTTCGTCACAGTGTGAGCCATATGTTTTAAAACTTCGTCGTGGTAATTAAACGAAAGGCAGACTCTGGAATCAGTGATTCAAAACTTCTAATATGGTAAGTGACTCTCAGAGACCATCTACAACCTCATAATTATGGCATATGCTTGCGCGTTCTTTCAGTTTCTAATAAAAGTTATTCAGAACTCATGCATGATGGCCATAGACGTGCTTTCACCTTTGAAATTTTGATGAAATTTAGTAGTTTCGCCTGTTCGATTTTGAGCAATATGATTAATTATGCTATAGGTCAGGGAAATCTGTTGTAACCCAGAAGTTAGCCACAAAGACATAAACAGATATTTCGACCAATGCACCTGTGGTGACTGTAGACATGCGATGCAGAAGGTACGTTTGATTGCCACCGAGACCGAGGTTTGGGCTCGTAAAAATATGGAGATTTCATGCTACACCAATCATATATCCTTGTGCTTCTGGGCAGGCAAACGCCAACACGAAGTAGTTGTACAAATGGTCAATGGGAAATTAGAAGTGGAGACGAATATTAACAGTTGGACTGCGTGGCTTCAGGCGGTAGTCCGACGCAAATTCAGCGAATTCAAGAGTATTTTTTTCTCTATTATTGGATGTGCATTGCGTCTGGGAGCTGCCGCGGCATTGAAAGCAATAACACATGGTTAACTAACTGCATATTGATAACATCAGTCTAGCCTAGCGCTACTGAGCAAGAACATTCTGCATGAATCAAAATTGGGCCATCGAAATGAGTTAATTTACAAGTACGGGATAATAAAAGATCATGCATGTAAGGGCATATAACTATCGCAGTGATTTGAAATAAATGCAAGTAAATCTTTACGTTTAACTGTGTCAAATTGTATGACTGAAATGAACGTAACGCGAGATCTTCTGTAAATGCACGTCAAAGGCCTTCCTTAGATCGTTTCTACTCAAATGTTATAGTATGGCGTGGGTCTTGTGAAACATCTCTGATAAGGATCAATTTTGTATACCCCGGGTTTTGTCTATGAAACAGAATCGGGTATAAAGAGCATTTGCTGCCGAAGGATATGCTAATACAAATATACTGGAAATTGATGGCATGGCACGGCTAAAATGGGTACCCGTGCCCATTTCACGGCTAAAATGGGTATCGAACCATTGCATGGCATACGGTTTAAGGTGGTCTTATACAAAAAAATCACGATCAGTTATTCTGTTTTTAAAAATGATTTCAAGGGATGGAAACTTAAATGTCTCTCTAATCGATCCTTAATATTTTTTGTCAAAAAAATATATAAAGAACGCGAGAATTAAACGAAAAGTATTATTAATTAGGGTTTTACCCCGAGCAAACAAAAGAGGCCCATTGGCTTATTCTATTGTTTCATTGTTCTATTGTATTGTTCTCTATAATTTATGAATATATGCAAAACGTTTTTCGTCGCTTTTCTCAGCAAACTAAAATTCTCATTCCCCTTATTTTGGGAAAAGGTAACTCAAAAAGTAGTAAAGCTAACTTGATAAAATTAATATAAATTTTAAATTTTAACGTTTAATACTGGAAAAGTTTTATTTATTCAAGGTTCAGCTCCGAGGCAAAAATACACTGGCGGGCAAAAAGAATTGCTCAAATGTTGCTATTATCGTATGTAACAAGAATAGAGACAATCTATCTTTTATTGTACACTAGCGGTCAAAAGGAACTGTTTAGATACAAATTGATAAAAAAGAAGCGAATATAGGAGAGAGCTTCATTGGTATTTTGTATAATTCTCTTATTCCAAACAATATTTCAATAATGTAATCCAACCTGCCACACTTCCAAGATATTGTCAAACAATGGTTTCAGGAAGAGGGAGTGACAGAAATGGATTGGCCTGCACATTCAAAACACCTTAACCCTATTGAAAATCTGTGCGACAATGTCAAGGGGATAGTGCAGGAGAGGAATTCATTCATAAAGCGTCCATGATTTATGGGCTGCTGTAAAGACTGTCCATAGGATGAATTTCTTTTGACCGCTAAGATTACCACCTTAACAGAAAGTATGCCACGCCGGTGTAAGGCCGTCATCAATTATAAGGCCAAAGGAGCGTCAACAAAATAATAATATTTCATATGGCTTAGCATGTAATCTAGTCTGTATTTACTCGTATATATCGTTAGAGGGACAGTTACGTTTATTTGAGAGCATTTTAACTTGTTTTGAGCAGTTCTTTTTGACCGCCAGTGTATTTATAACTAACTGATAAAATCAATTTCGTCGTTCTAGTGTTAAAACCTAGTTTTTAATAGTTTTTTCAAAAATTGTCAATTTTCCACCATTGGATGTGTCTGGTGTGGGTAACTATATATAGTGATTGAAGATTCTTACAAGTCTTTTTTCACTCAGAGAAACTTGGCTTGCAATATGGCATGAAAAGATTTTATTTTTCAAAATAAAAAAATTGTATAAGACCACCTTAAATACCTCGATCACTGGGTAATTTCCTGATCACCAAGATGTGATTGAGGTCCTGGGTAGTCAAACTGGAACAATGTCAATGAAATGTAATTAAAACACTGAAAACTCAGCGGAAATAATGAAAATTGAGAATAAAATATGAAATGAGAGAAAAGGAAATGGACGAAATAATGAAAATTGAAAATGAAAATATGAAATGACCGACCCTTCCAACTCTTGAGCAACAGTTTACATTTTGCCAGTTAGCCAGCAACTTTCGTGCCCATAAAACGGTGTATATTAGATCATTAACTATGATTAGATGGGGGCGGTTATTAGGGAGTACTTATCCAATGGGGCGTTTATTAAAGGGAGGCGTTTATTTCAATTACTACCGCTCGTGCCAAGCTCCCACATATTCGCGCGTTCTTTTTAGATTTCTCTCTTGCTGTAACATCAAAATGGTATGTTTTGAAAAATAGACTTTTCGAATCCCTGCAATATCTTACTAATCCGAATCATTATTAAAATATAAGATGCGAATCCGAATAGCTTGTATAACATTTTATACAAGCATCTCCTTATTTTTCAATCGATCACGATTAAAACCCGAAAAAATCAGTAGTTTCCTCGTAATGATGTTGAAATTTATTTTACGATTCATGTATTATTATACGAATGCTATCGTTATTGTATATCGTATAACAAAGAATATTACAGAAGGGAAGACGTTTTAGTTCATATATGTAATCCAATCTACCAGAATGCGTGTTGCAGAATTACTTGTTGTAAAGCTTTGATTCTATTTCATTTCATATGCTGTTTTGTGAGTTGTGACCAAGTCATGGTAGATGATGTGATTCTAAGTACACGAGTATTCTTGCTAGTGGACTTCAGAGAGACTGTTTGCCTCATTTATACTGACTTGATCATATTTCGTACCCTGATATGGTTACAATCGTTCATATGCCTAATCAAAATGAAATGGAATATAAGCAAAAAATTGTGACAAGAACTCTGTACTCTGTAGAATGGTAGTATCCATAGTAGACCTTACATAAAGTCAAGCAAGGTTCTGAAAGGCTCTTTCTTAACATGAGCAAACAAAAATATCAACAGTCAACTTCAGCTAGTTTTGCAGTTATGTATGGGATTAATAATGGGAATAATTTATGCTGGTTGCTTGTATATCAAAAAGCGATGTACCTACTATTTTAGATTTTTTAATGAGATGCATTATGAGATTCAATTTTAACTTCATTTTAGAGTGAAGGCACAGCGACCATTAGAACGAGAAAGTTCCTAACAAACCGCTTGCTGCAACGCAAGCAAATGGTATGTTTATTAATCCTTTGCCTTTTTTCTATATATCATTTGTTGAGTTGAAACACTGCTCAGCTGATCATTATCTTTCCTCTAAAGGTTGTAGATATCATCCACCCAGGACGTGCAAATGTACCAAAAACAGAAATCCGCGAGAAACTAGCAAAAATGTACAAGACAACAGCTGATGTGATCTTTTGTTTTGGTTTCAAAACACAGTTTGGTGGTGGACGAAGTACCGGCTTTGCGCTTATTTATGATAATTTAGACATTGCTAAAAAGACTGAACCCAAATACAGATTAGTCAGAGTAAGTTTATGAAAGCTTGGCATGGCAACCTTTTGAGCTACTCTATGGGTTTCCACCTACAAAACCCTAAGTTTAAAATGTTAAATTTCTGTCTATGGGAAAATGTTTAGAAATTATTTTAATGCTTACTGAGTAAGGTGTCTTATTATATACTAAGCAATGTGTTATTTGTCAAGTTTTCAAGGTGCTAAATGTGTGATTTTATTGCTTTAGCATGGTTTGATGGAAAAAGCAAAAACAGCTCGTAAGCAGCTGAAGGAAAAGAAAAACAGAATGAAAAAGGTCAGAGGCACGAAGAAAGCCAAAGTAGGAACTGGCAAAAAGGTATGTTTCATGGATGTTTTGCAGTTATGCACCTATGTTCTAGGTGTATGGCCTATTCAAATGGCCTATTCAGCAGTTTTGATTTAGCTCATTTTGTTTTTTCTTCTGTTGTAGTAATGGATGCTTCTCAGCCAAGAATACTTTTGATTGTTCTGAAATAAAATTTAAAAATTAAATTCTTGTTGTTTTTGCTACTGAAACCAGCCTGGTACAGAAAATATACAGCAGTTATTCATGGTATAGCTGTTATTGAATGGGGCTTAGCTCCAATTGCACTGAAACAAAATCTTTTCATCCCCAGGGTGTGATGTTGGCATTTTTTACTATATTTATGTGGACACATAAAGTAATTCTTATAATCAATACATACATACATAAAACCATGATAAAACTTTATTTAAACATGCTAACCTCAGCAATTGCTGTTTTCATGAGAGGCATGTAGCCATGTACGCAACCTGCTCTCAAACTCGAAACGTTTTCCAATATATCTTTTATAAAGGCCCTAGTACTCTTAATAGATACTACCATCATCTTGATACTACCCGCAGTGATTTCAGTCATAGTCTTATAGATATGGAGTCAGTCAAGAACAACCACAACAGGTTGTTATTGATTGGGGAGGCTTAGAGCTTGAATATTTTTATTTTTTAATGTCACAACCACGCGCAGTTACGAATTTACGGTGGTTTTTGATGGGGTATAATAGCTGACCTATGCGGCTTTAATTGTGAGCCTACGATAATGTGGTATTTCGTTACCATATCCATAGATAACCAAGATAACCACCGCGATTGATTATTATAGCTCAGTGGTTGATCCTGTGACCTCGTTGAATTCTTTGCGTGCGTTGTGGGTAGAAAAACACGTGACGTCATCCCAAACGAAAGTAAATTTTTCATATAATTTATATATAGTTCGACTTTGATTTCTGGCACGTGTGGCTTCAAAAATTAAACAAAAACTACGATCTTCTCTCAAATAACCCACCGAAATGGCTTCGGGAGACGAATCAGGAGGAAAGGAGAAAAAGAAAAACCCGAAACCAGAGGTACGCGCGTAGAAGAGTGCCAAAATGAATCGTGATTCGGCCACATTTCAGACAGGAGTTGCACTAGAATGACTAAGGTTTATCCTTATCAAAGTGTAGTGTACGCTAAGTCAGTTTTCGATTAGATTTTCATATAGGTCTCATCAAAAAAGGATAGATTTGTGTCAATTTCATATTAGATTTGTTCTGTATAGGTTAAAGGATGTTTATTTGATTCGATATAATAAACAGCAATTATGCAACCTACTTGATGCAAGGTCAAGCCAGTTTATAGACACATTGTCCAGAAATAGCCACGAATTAAATATCAGATTTTTTAGGGTGGGACAACAATTGTAAATCTTATAGGATGGTAATTAAATGAATTCTCATATAAAGGAATTGGCCTAAAATATGTGGACTTCGTTTTGTTACAAAAGAGGATTGTACAATCTATATTCACATGTACAACTTTTAAATGTTGAACATTTGAATGAACAAAAATCCCCCTCTAGATATAGCCCAAGGTATTTTGCCACACTATGACAAATTAGCTGCTATATGGGAAGGAATTTTCATGAAGGTTGTAGGTCTGCCAATATACTAAAGTTCATTGACCAAAAACATGATACCAGTCTTTGATCTTACCTTCAAACCTTCATGAAATTGAAGTCTTTTGTATTTCAACTTCCTTCTCATTTTACACAGTGCTGCCAAAGGCAGGGAGGCAGGGGGTTGAGCAATTTATTTGTTGAAAACCAATAAGAACCGCAACTTTATAATGATTCAAAACATTGAGAAATACTGATTGGAATTTCATACACATTGCTCATCTTGCCTCTTTCAATTTGATCCTAAAATTGTATATCTTGTGGAAGAAACAATGTGTTAACCCCATCTGATAACCCCAAGGATTATGAAGTGGTTGCAAATGTTTGTAATATTTTAATTTAACAAATATTTAAGTTTGCTCTTTGAAGAATTGCATTTCTGCTTATTGCATGAGACAAAATAACTGATCAAATTTATCCATAATAAATATATCTGTTCAAAAGTATTAATTTATATTGTACTAATATTTTTCGACAGAATGTAGCTGAGGAAGCAAGAATGAACCAGATATTTCGAAGGAATTAGCTGTCAAACATCCATTACAAAATAAATGGGCTTGGTGGTTTTATAAGAATGAAAAGGGTAAAACCTGGGAAGCAAATCTGAGACTTATAACTACATTTGATACTGTATCCTTTGATGATGTACTTGCTAGTTTTGGGGGTACATTTGAATTTGTTTAACTATATATTCTTTGTGTCTTTTTAAAAATGATTTTCATGACTAGACCTGGTTGGTCAGTAAGACATGGTTGGTCAGTAAGACATGGTTGGTCAGTTGGGTATCCAGCCTAACAATTTGTTATTATGTAAATTTTAATAATTATTCATTTCTTTAGAAATAATTGTTGTTTTTCAAAGTCATTGATCCCCAAAATATTGGTAGTGTTGCGCATTTCAAATGCATTATTTGTCTGATTATGCTATTGTGGCAAAATAGCGATGTAATTATTGTAAATTATCATCAAAAATGATTTAAGATAATCATATTGCATTAATATTATTTCTGTTATAAATCCATAATGGAAATTCTCAAATACAAAAGGTCGAGGATTTTTGGGCGATATACAACCATATAAAGAATGCAGCAAAATTACAGTCTGGTTGTGATTATAGTGTTTTTAAGGTAATCTCATAATCATGTATCATAATTATTATCTAGTGATGTTTTGTATGGGTTTTTTCGTGCTTTAATAACACATCTCCATTTTCTAGGATGGCATAAAACCGATGTGGGAAGATGAAAGGAATAAACTTGGTGGTCGTTGGCTAATCAATAGTAATAGGACTCAACGTGCAGACTTAGACAGGATATGGTTAGAAACGGTATTGACAGACATGAAAAGTTGTTTCTACCCTACTAGCATCCTTTTTGTAGTAAATTGCTTCTTTTTTACCAGTTTTGCTATATGTATATATATAATTTATTTTTTCAACAGTTATATTTCAAACATTTCTAAATCCATTCTTTGTAGCTATTATGCCTAGTTGGTGAAGCTTTTGATGACTATTCAGATCTAGTATGTGGTACCGTAGTTCAGATACGACCTAAGATGGACAAACTAGCAGTATGGACAGGAAACGCTAAGGAACAACAAGCTAATATAACAATAGGGTAAGACCAGACTTTGAGATTTCATCTGATCATTTGCTCTTTGAGATTTCGTCTGATCATTTGCTCCCTAAAGGCTAAAAGCTGGTAAAATTTTTATCCAATTTGACATTAAATCAAGTTTTTTGATTTTATAGAAGGGTTATTAAATCACGATTACAAATTTCTGGTAAAGCATCTATTGGTTTTCAGGTAAGAGATTTATTGAAAGAATATTCATGCATGCCCAAAGTAATGGAAGTGGTTAAACGCTATATTTGAATGAATGCCTTAGTATAGTAGCATGTTTTGTTCTTGCAATACAAGATAGCATTGGTTGTTGATAGTATATATAGATCCACATGGAATTTTGCAAGTGAAAATTGTCAGACATTTTCTGAAGAATCTCTAATCCTTATAAATCTTAAATATGACCCGTTTATCCAGTAAGGAGTTAAAATAATCCTTAGTAATTCTAAGTTCCTAATCCCTAAAGGGTTAGATAAACTACTAACCCTAAAGGATTAGATTAAGGATTAAATTTGTGAATTCTGGACGTTAAAACCCACGTCTCTAGCTATACTTCATGTATACTTTTACATTACGGCGTTAATAGTTTGCACCATCAGCAACGTGATGCATCTTTGTATCATTTTCAAACTTATAAGTTACAATACTCTTACAAGATGCTGTTTATTCAAACATGACAATATCTTCCAGACACATGCAGACACGATGGTAAAGACTGGTTCAACTACTAAGAACCTATATACCGTTTGATGTTGGGTGAAAGCTGAATATAAACCTAGGCCAAATATATATTTAAGACGAAGCCACGGAAACCATCAATATCGTTTGCCTTGGCAAAATAATATTAACTGAGGCACATAAATTTTAATCCGTTTTCTTCCACATAAACTAGAGTTGACGAGAGTTGCATTGAACATTTTTTTTGTCAAAATCCAGCTTGGTTGAAACTCAAATATCGAGATCTTTGAAAAACGTACATGTTAGGATCGAATAAAAGGATTATCATATTTTTTACATTATCTATCGATTGTCAACTCTCAGCGATTCTTGTTTGATCTACGCAAAGATATCGACGATCATGGTTATTAATAAGGCGGCCATCAGATAGCTGATTCATCAGTTTCACTGACTGTGAGCCAATTGTACGAAACGTCTAAAACGTTTAACTTTGTTGTGGACAATATACAAGCATGGTGATATACATTTATCATCCAATGAAGCATTGAGACATATATTTTATTTCGTACCGTCCTTATATATGTGTATTTTGTTTGGGAAAGACAAGGGAATTCGTTCTGTGTTCTTCGTTCGCGCGCATGCGTGGCGTCACCAGGTCACGTGATGCGCCATTTTGGTTGTCATCCCCGTGGTTGAAATGTACCATAATTAACATGTTGCCATAATTGGGCAAGCTTGTATCTCATCGAAGAAATAACCGTTCTCTGAACAAATGAATCGGCTCTGTCTCCATACGCATCCAAAAGGTTACTCAAAAGGTTTCCTAATCATATTTCCTAACCCAACTACGTCTTTTGGCCATCGAATTAATATTTTAAATTATTGGTTATTTCATTGTATGCTTTACAATAGTAACCCAACAAAAATGCTAATAAGATGGCGCACGCGGTTGTTAAACTACGTCTACAAATAACTAGTTATTGGTACAAATACTCGATTGGTTTTATTATATTTATTTGATTTTCTATGATCCGGAATCATCATAGCTGCCACCTAGTTTTCACCACAAAACTCGGAAGCATGATGAACCCCACGGTTAGTTTTTGTGGTCAATGTTGGGCGAAGTGATGTTGCGTTTGCGATTTCCCTTGTTTTTCGTTCGTTCAAATTTTTGTAATAAACGTATTTCGGTTTAGTGTTAAGCATTTGTGTCCATCCTTTTGCAATTGTACAAGTTTGGTAATTACTATAGTTCTACCATGTTACCCTTTACTTGCTTTTTAAATTGCTTGTTTTTGTGTACAAGATTGTGGGTATGAACTGTCAGTAAGGATGGTTCTGTGTGGTCTGTGAGGAGAATTACCACGCTTTTTGACCCGTGCTTTGATTTTGACCCCATGTTCAACCAATCAATTTTGCCCCTTGTTTTTTTCGCCCCTTTCATTTTTTGTGCCTTGAATGTTAAAAGAAAGAAAATACGGAATACCTTGTTGCCCAATTTATTGTTTAATCCCACGAGTATATTTCGATTAAAACTAATTCGACTTGCAAACAAGCCCGTTGTGTTTTTATTTACCTTGTTCGAATAATTCCATGACAACGTGTTCAATTTACATTAGTACAGAGTAATTTGATACACTCATTATTTATTAACACAGCACTTCAATTCAAAAGGTATACACGAATATTTGGAAAAACTTGACGTTTAAACTTTAATCTTTGTGGCATAAATGGCGACAATGCATGAGGTGGCAACAGATAGGAAGCTTCTAAGCCGCGGCAAACTAATTTCCGACAGTTTAAACGAGTTGCCGCGAACAAGCCGATATGCGTTCGACTCGAAATCGCCTTCAAGACAAGGCTTGCATAGTCGAAGTGCCAGCTTTCCCCAACGATCAAGCAAGAGTCCTTTTTTTGTGCGCCACAATCCGCATCCGAAAAGAGTTATCCATCTTAAAGGCTTGCTAGATGTTCCTGTTTGTACGGTGATAGACAGCAACTCGCACGAAGATCCGGCAAGATTTTTGGTCAAAACTCCAGCTTTGCCCGCTGAAGGAACCGGTCGCGTAAGGGGACTACGAATGCCTTTAAATTCGACATCTTTTGTGACATGTAAGGAAAAAGCTGTACCGGGAATTGGCTTAGGTAAGGAACCTTTTATGTCTGTACTTTGTTTAAGGATTTTGTATTCGGTAAATAAATTTTATGGAGTCTTATTTGGTCGGGGTTTACGGATTTGCCTTTTGTGTTTGCAAAGCGTGACACAGTTGTTGTCATAGTTACGAGTTCACTTTTAGCTTCTAATACTCGAAATTTTTGTTTTGAAAGATATTTTTGTTTTTTGCCTAAGGTTTTCTTCTAGTCGGTAAAGAGCACATTCATATTAGTATTTGTCTTCACTGCATGCAATTTATTATTTACTGTATTAATGCGACCAGTTTAGTACGAATAACGGTAGTGGTTATATGTCTTACTTCGTATCGTATTTTAGTACCCATAACACAGACTTGGAGAGAGGAGCTTGCAAAGTTAACAGAAGCGGCAGGTTTAAGAAAACGCCATCCAACTATCAGCAAAACTGGACTACTACAGCCACCAAGTTCTCGGCAGAGTGAGAGGCCAATTGCATCAAGGGAAGCTGTGAATGGAGGTATCCCACCATCCAGAAATGGTAGGTCTGTCAGCAACAGTATCATTGCCAATATTACCATGATCTGATCATTGCTATCATGGTAATTACATTACCAACATTTTGCACTTGGTCATTTAAATCATTGTCCAGTAAATGTATGGTAGGCACCAACATTAAAACCAGCATTATATCATGGCTCAGTTCAAAAGTTCTTTCAATCCTATATTATACTCTTAGGTGATAAACCCAGGACTCCAGGGAACCATGAGATGCCACCAGCATCAAGACAGTGTTCACGACAAGCGTCTGAGAGGCCGCTGGAACACATAATGTCTGTCACAGATAACGAAGGATGGGTATGTTTCATTTCCCCAAAATACTTGCTTTTTTTAAGATTTTTGCAGTTACTGTAGGCCAAAAGGTGCTGCTGCAACAAATATATTAGTGGCCAAACTACTAAGTTACTCAGATCGCGGTTTATATTATCATATTATTGACGGCATCACAGTTGATGAGATGCCACTTGCCAATTTCTGTTTGCGCATTTTCATGGCAATTCCTGAATTGTAGGTGATGGAAACATTGTGTAATATTCTGCAAACAGATTCAATCACTGCTGTTCAATCCTGGCTTGTCAATGCTCCCAGTAGAGGTGGGTTCACTAACTTCATGTATTATGATGAGGCATGTTGAGTGAAAAATTGAACGTACTAGAGAGTTAAATAGTTCGCTTTACGTTTCAACTCCTTGTTGAATAATCGAGACCTGACTAGTTCTACTTAGACTCAGTACAAATCAGCTAGGGCTTTCGTAAGTTCAGCATTGAAAAACTATTTCAATTGCAGAAAAAGAACTCGTTCTCGATATGATTCGTGCCATATCAACGTCGGACTTTGAATTTCGTGAGGGCTACCAGCAAGCGGTGCGGTCGCCAATCTACGAAGATCAGTTGTTGCAACACGAAAGCACACTTGATATAGACGCCATTAAAGAGTATAACGAAAAACAAGGAAGAAAATCCAAGCAACTTCAAGACAAGGATAACATAGGAGAAACGCAGAAAACTTTTGCGGTTGAGGAATTGCAAAAACCGAGGTGCAAATACGCTAATTTTCGTTTGTATCTATCATTTATCAAATGCGATAGCTTCACCTTCAATATGTACCAACACTACCCGCTTTTATTGAGCCGGAGAAGATGCATATGGATCAATTAAATGTGATATAATACTACGAGTTTAGCCAATCACGAGCGAGTGACAGGCCAGCGAAACCTAGGCTAGGGATGGTGGTATAGCCATAGTTGAAATAAAATCCAAACCAGTCTTGCTAATTGCTATTGTGTTAATGTGGACCTAAAACTATTCCCTTTAAAAAGTCTGCCTAATTGACACAATAGGGTTTACGATTGTATAATTAAATTTCCACAATGAATCAAGTTTGTTAATAGTTCCAACTTTTCTAAAATATCTCGTTTGTCCGCAGACCCGCATCTCAAAATGGAGTGAAATCAAATTGGATTGCAAGTGAACTGAAACCCAGCTCTCCATTCAAACCTCGACCGGGAACCAGTGACGCTCAAATCGAAGGTAAAGTACTGGAGATATTAAAGTGTGTTGACAATTAGCCTTTTTCACTTGGGAAAAGGCCCGTCATTTGAGACGGGCTGACGACAACTATTTTCTGTTGTTTTAGAAATTCGCAGTAAACTCGAATCGCGATGTTCCCCTCGCGTGTTCTCTCATCAGAATCGCGTGCCGCCTTCCCGTCATTCAGCACGCGCCGCATCTCAGCAAAGTGTGTACGTTCCTCCGACCAACTCCCTCGACGCTGCTGCTCAAAGACCGCCTAGTCACCAGTCCATCAAGTCCCAACAGAGCGTTTTGAAAAGTATATTGGAATATAAGCCGGAAAAAGAATGATGTTGACTGTACATACATACGAGTGGATTTTCCTATCTTCGATGCGCATGTGCGTTGGCACATTGGGAAGTTTAAAAACTTCCACATTGAAGAAGTATCAGCCTCAGCCAGTTTTACACTTGCAATCCATCTTGAATTTTGGTGTGGTTTTTGGTGCTATTTTTCTCATGAGTGTGAATGAGAGTATTGAATGTTCGTTATTGACCATGGACATGGTAGATCGTTCACATACATTCAAAGGAGATGCACGCAAAATTTCAAGAGAATTAACGAGAGGATTTCCCCATTTTTTAAACCCAGTTTTTTACACTTTATCCAGTTATCTTTATAAAAATGTAATTGCATTAATTGAGCTTCCACACATGATTATTCAGTCAGAAATTAGTCGTGACTCGTGACTATAGTGAGTAATGTATATATAAAATCGTTTATTTAATCTTTTGAAATTGCGCGAATTGCAGAAGACATCTCCTTCACGTCGTCTGAGAATTCGTTTTCTAAACTGAGGATCAATCCTAAAAAAATAAAATAAAAAACCTGGAAACTACCGAGCGTAATTTAGTTTAGGTTTCTTTCAGTGTACGCTTTGTGCTGGATGAAAAAGGCCGACCTTACTAATCCTCTAGGAACAGAGAGTTTTGAAATTATTTGCATTATAATGTGATTTTCTTCTATAAAAACACTGGACCAAACTTGAACCAACCTAACTTTTACACTTGTCACTTTTGCATACCTGTGTTGGCTTGACTTGTTGCAACTATTGTCACAACTAGTGGAAGAAAATTAAACTGGACGACCTGAAATATAAATACGTTGTTCTATGTATTATATTTACTTGTATATATCTGAAATGGCAGTATGGAGTATGAAGGGGCAGGAAAAAATTGAAAAAAAACATATTGTCATTAACTATGTATGCCTGAAGGTAACATACTTGAAATGATGAAAATGAGCAAACAATAGTTTTATTCTTTGAAAGACCAAGTTTGCTTGCCTAGAATGAAGCATAAAAAATGTGTTAGACAGTGGTTTGAACTGACCAAAGTTCTGAAAAAAAGTTTTGTATTTGGAAATTGATTTTCATCTTTCCCAGTCAAACTGATGTCATATGAAAGCAACACAATCCTAGTATTTTAAACATAGTGTTGCTCTAATGAAAGTTGTCTTTACTTGTTCAGTTGCAGATGCAAAAGTTGCTAGAAAGCTTCCTCTTAAAACATTGTTTGGCACTTTGTCTTGGGTTGCTGGTGAGTAAAAGGATTTGAGAGAAATATTTATAATAGTGAGACGAATGAAGATTACAAGTTAGGAGAACAAGGTGGGGCAAACATACACATGACAAGATTCTGCAATTCTAAAGTAGTTTCTTTACCATCTGGTTACAGAGAGTGTTGATCAGAGAGGTAGATAAAAAATTTATCTATGTACCATTGAATTTTGGGAAATTGTTTCTGATTAGTAAATATATAATTACTAGGGATGTTGGAATCATCATGATGGGTATGGTGTGACCATACTACTTTAGTGAATGGTAATGACAATGGTAATAATTATTGTATTTACAATTTTACACCAGCAGTGGTACCTTTCACTATGGGCACACCGTCCTTGTCAGTGACTACAGCAGCCAAAAAATCTGAGTTCCTATAAATACAAACACCTATCTATAAACATGCCTGAGCATGACAAAACAACAGACTGTAACAAAGACAATGTTGGCATTGGAGAGTGCTCCTTCAACCATCCACTTATTTATTAATAAGATTCTAATATGACCTTGGCGTGGGGTCACTATATACATTTGACAGTCACATGACAACAAAGTAACAATCTAACAATTTCTTATATTAGGTCATTTATGGTCACAATGACTTCATAAAGAAAGCGTGATAACAACAGACTGTTTTATATTATAATATCGTACATGCAAATAATACATGCCAAAGATAAACACGGAAAATGTCGCATCAAAGCAGACAAAGCTAGTCTGAAAGACATAAAAAACTACCTCCTCAACAAGGCCTCAAAAAACGTTTTCAACCTCTAGAAACACGTAGAAACAAACAAAGAAGTAAATAAATAAAGCGTAATATGTAAGAAAATAGATATTTTATACTTCTCCAACCTCAGACATAATTTTGACTTGAATCTTGATCTATTTTCTAAGTCATTGATCCACTTAGTTAAGGCTTACATGAAATACGGTCATGAATAATACTATGTTGCTGTGCAAATTTATGCAAACGTTGGGCTCACTGCTCAGAATAATCATTCGTAACGTAATATTGTCAGGGAAATCAGCAGGAAAAACAACACGTGGGGGAATCACCGATGTTTCGCTAGAAAATTGTCGAAAAAATCATTTAAAATATTGTTCGAGGGCAGCGAAGGGTGGTGAGTAGTTTATATCGATGCAGAGCTCGTCCGAGAAGTCAAAATTTGGCTCCGATCGCTCGCCGATGTCGGAAAAACATGATCAAAGTCCTCGTAGGTCAGGCAACAGCAACGAGAGAGAAACTGAACGAAGAGGATGGCAGACTACATTTGACGTTTATGTGGGCAGAATCCCGTCAGATTGGACGAAGGTTTGTACTCTTGTATGCTGAATGTTTTGATCTGTTGCTTTGTGTTCATGTGGTGGTATGATTACTTAATAATGTTGAGTATGTAATGGTAATGTTCCCAAAATTAGGCCAATGGCCAAATTATACTCCAATGGGATGGGACGTCTATTTCAATAAGACTTCCCCCCCGGCCCCCCATCACTGATAACCTGTTATTCCAAATTTGTTCAATGCTCTCTACCACATGCCAAGAATGGACCCTTGGCATAGACTTGTTCTGCAAACCAACAAGATTCCAACCACTAATTCTTTCTTCCAAATATCTTCAGTTTTGCACAGGAGAGTGCTCTAAACCAAACATGACCCTTATAAGTTATAACCCAACCCAGAGTTTTGTATTTTTATACTTCAACCCTAGCCCATGAAACTGAAGGTGTTATGGCCTGTGTCATTTCAGTGGTAGCGGAAACATTAATGGTGACTTTTTAACAATTCCAATCCAGCTTGATTGAAAAACGAAACTTAGTAGTCGACTGATTTTAGTTAGATGTTAAAAACACAATATCAAAGTGATTTGATATTTAGTGATCAAAAAATGTTGCCAAAAAATCCTTTGATCAACATGCAGAATTTTCTGATTGAGTGATCTTTGGATTCAGACATAACTTGTCCAATTCTTGTCCAATCCCAGCACCATAGGCAGGTATAGTCATTAGGAGATAGACCATGTATTGATTGACTGTTACTTTTTTGGTGGAACTATGACTATACAGTTTACAGGTCAATTGTTAGATATCTGATGATTGACTCCAGGGAACTAATGACTTGGGGTTTTTTCTAGGAGAAACTAATGGAAATTTTTCAACCCTTCGGTGAAATTAAATCAGTAGATTTAAGGAATAGCCCAGAGAATTTAAACAGACTACAGTTTGCGTGAGTAAAAATTTTTTGCTGGTCAATTTTTATGCTTTAAATTGTCCAGGTCTATTTGCAATGGTTCACTTCCTTACCTTCAATTACTATATTGGTCTAATACCCTTGTTGCAAATATGATGTTGTACAAATATATGTCTAAAGCATATTTTAAAATTTTTTTGTTGTCATAGTTTTGTAAGATATCCACAAGAGGAGATGGCAAAATGTGCAGTTGATGCCTTGGCTCATAATCCTGTTGAAAATGTTAGCTTGCAGGTATTGTTGGCAAATTAAATCAATCAATATTGTGCATAATACTTTGTAGAATCTTGTCTTATTCTATGATAGTACATATTTGCTACAATTGTAATACTTAATGGTACTTCCCAATTTTTGGTTTGCTGTAAACAAAGAACTATTGGTTACTATTTCGTGTCTCTTGTTAAGCATCATTTTATTTCAGATAAATATTGCTCAAAGAAACAGATACAAACAAGAAAGGTACAAAATATATTATGTTATTTTGTAATAAATATTAAATAGTGATGGTGTGGTTTGTCTCCATGAAATACCAGAGAGTGCATTAAAATACACATAACTTTGATTACCTTTGTAGCTTCAAAGCTTCATAAAAATCTATGCTCTTTCTAGGCAAGGCAGGTCAGACTTTGGTCAGCCTCGAGGCAAAATGTATTCTGAACACAAGCGAGTGAATGATTCAGATTGCAGACGACCTCGGACAAGGCCGTTTGGTAGTGGTGAAACTTCAGATTATGGAGGTGGTTATGGAAACTCATCACATCCTCAAAAGAAGGAATGGAGTTCTGACCGACAGAGAAGTCGTGAGGTCAGATAACATGGTGCTATGATTAATGATTCCAGCTATAGCTGAACATTACAACTTGAAAAAGCAATCTTATTTAATCGATCTAGGAACAGGAAAAAGTGATTTTAGTCACAGAAGTCGATTCACCAGTCAGATTTTGGGGTCAGATTGCCAAGCCAACCGTTGCACATAATTTGTCAACTGCAAGTGATGAACTACAGTTTTATTGCCCCACAGGCCTGAAGGTTGCTGACATCAACTCCCTTCAGAAGAATAAGGTTTGATTATTTCTAGTTAGTGATTAACAGTTACACAATTCCTAGGTGGAGTTTTTCACTGTTGATACTTGATAAAGTGTTATTCTGGGTTGTGCCAAACTGCAGAAAATTTAATGGTTTTATAAAGTTATATCCACTAGTTTTTGGATTATGATAACTTTTTTTATATATTTGTGTAGATTTATGGTGGAATGTACCCTGTTGATAATCTTTGGTATAGATGTTCGGTTATCAAGTTTCTTTCACAGGGGATGGTAAGTTAAAAATGTTTTAGTATTATGTCTCTTAAATTGACCCATGTGCATACTCTTAGTAGACTGGAGTGATAAAAACATCACCTTTACTAGATCTCTGAAAAGAAATTTTTTGAACTGGTAGTTTGTTAAATTGAATACAAGTGTCATGTTTGAGCTTTTTTGTCTATTTTATTATCAGTTTAGATCCAAGGAAAATTAAATTAGCTTCAACTTCTATTGTAAATTATGACAGTGTTTGAAACCGTTTTGGTATGAAAACGAATGTGAAAAAAATGAACATAAAAATTATACTTAAGAATTTATCCGGTTTAGATAGCCAATTTAGTTTGAGTCTTTGAGATAACAATGAAATACACTGTAGTATAGAAGTATAAATTGCTTTTACTGAAGACCCAAGGGGCATCGCATCCAGTCTGAATTGTCATTAGGTTCGAAAACTCACTG